GCTGCACAGTTCTTTAGCCAGAGGAAGACTTTAGGCTGGAAGCCTCTTAGTTCTAGAGAACTAAATAGAGTTAAGGCTAAATGCCACTTAGTTCTAAGGAACTGATTAAACGACTGATAGTCACCCTGTTCTACGGAACTAGGAAGGAGACTTTTAGTCAGCAAGCAATAAGCTTAAGGTTCAGAGAACCAGCGCACAGAGTGCAAGAACAAGCTAGAAGCTTAGGGGTTCAGAGAACCAACGCACGAAGTGCACAAGAGAAGTCAGAACGACTTGCGATCTTAAACTCAAAATGAGAACTAATTTTATTTATGCATTAAGATTTTTATGAATATTTCTACTCTAAGTACCCTACACTAGATTAATTACTATAATAGTAATTATAATATGCATACTTTGCTATTGGACGACGTATCGTCTAAACATCTGTGTATGATGTACTTAGTACTGCGTTATCGATTATCGAATCCTAATCGATAAGATACGGTATTACCGAATACCGTATCTTTAACGCTTATACTTAATACCTCTCTAAAGAGAAGAGTTTCATGGTTTTTAATTTTTTTTAATTTTTATTTTTTTATTACTTTTTTTTTACCAAAAATTTGTTATAATTTAAAATTTAGAAAAAAAATAATGTTTGATATTATATGCAATATAAGGAAACTTCAACTTTAAGCTTTCGGAATGACGTTACAACCGTCGTGTAACCCCGTTACATCTAAGGACCACGTACCCTTTTGGACTTTAGTATCATATGACTCGTGTGACTATCAGTCCATTACACTGTATGTCATGGCTGCTATAAAGTAATGTGTCAACTGCACGAACATGATGTACTGGCAGGGTTAATATGCACTTCCCTGCTCAAAGAATGTGGGTAAGGTTATGGATATAAAACCACAGCTTGTATGTCCACCAAACAGGCATCTTTAACAAACATTCCAGTAACCTGTGGAGAATGGTAGTCGCCAATGGAGAATATATCAATGTTATCCAGGTCGTGTACACGACAGTGGCTACTACCAATATCTGGATGGCATTGGTGAGATCATTGGCGAGATCATTGGCGGTGGGTCGGTATCTATATAATAAAAGAATAGTGTCCGTCCGTTTGATCCTTTTCCGGCATTCGGATTGGCTATTTTTGCATTATTCGCTTTTTTGGCTCATTTTGCAATGGCTGACTTTGCATGTTGCACTATTACTCCGTCGGAACGACGGATACAAATTGACCTTTGGAACGACAAATATTCTGTGCTCTTCTTACACATTGACTATCACCTATATTTATTTACTTAAGTAAACTGGATATATAATGAGGTATAGCATGACTGAAATAATATTGTAAGATGTAAAGAAGACCAATAGATGTGGGTCAAAGTTTAAGGTTTTGCAAAATATTTGTAGGACATCTAATAAGACAGGTAGACATTGACCAGTGTCGACATGTACACCTTAACTTTCAGACACCTTGACTTTATTATACATTGACTTCATAGGTAGCAATCACCTGATTTAACCAAATATATAAAAGTAAAGTGATAGGTCAATATACTATCCACGTAGAATTCGCGCACCTATTTGTCGAAACGACGGGCACCATCCACAAGCTGCATACAGGTTCAAGTAGCAGCACAACAGCTAATTGATACACCGACTTTCATTCCTTTATACAGTATAAAATATATATATTTAAATTGCGCGCACTTGGTCCGTCGAATCTAAGGGTACATATTCCTTGCGAAGCGCTACGTTTAATATGTTTCTATACTTTTAGCGTCAACTTCGCACGAATGGCCGTCGGTACGACGGGTGAACTATTAGCAATTTGTCAGCATGACGGTGGAACACACTAACAGACGTAGGCTGATGGAACCATGATGATATCATCCATCGATTCACCGGGTACAGGCATCATTTAAAAATAAATGACTGTATATTAACGCGTTATAGAAATTCGCTAATGGGTACCCGATGGAACGAAGGGTTTACATTGGCCTGAGTACTGACTTTGATATTTAGTAATTTACCGGAGTCAACCAAATATTTTAAGGCAAAGTGATGGGCATATATACTGTCAGCGTAAAATTGGAGCACCTATTCGTCGGACCTTTCCGTCGCAACGACCGAAAGACACCCTTACAAATTTGCACTAACGTAAACAGATTCTGTAAGCAGATTGCCGTCACAATTATTTAGATTAGTCATATGTATTACGTCTATCAATAAATGTTGCGGACATCCATCTATAGCAGTACTGAAATTTGTATAGTAAAATCTATGTAATAACTCCGTTCATCATGCTATCTAATTAGAAAATCAACGTAACGCAAGTACACATTGATATTTATACCACTCACTTAATCTTACTCAGCCAGAAATATGGGTTCGAACATTTCCAGGCACCATGTCCGTCGAAACGACGTGTGAACACCGTAACAAAATCGCTGCGTTTAAGATCCCTTACTATAATATTCCTGTGTAGGAACGACGGGTTAACACTTAAGCAATTCGCTGCGCTTAAAATGCCTATATATTACTTTTCGACCGGTGAATGCCCTAACGAAACGCTGCGTTAAAATTGCCCATATGAGTACACATTGACCTTTATATCATCATTTAAATGTAGTCAACAAAACGGTTAAGCAATGATATAAAGGTCAGTATATTACCAGCGTCGACTCGCCCACCATATCCGTCGGAATGACGGGTATACACCCTAGCAAATTGCGGCGTTTAACATGCCAAAATTTGTTACTTTGCACCATCAAAACGACGGGTGAACACCTTAAAAGAGGTGGGTCGATGAAACACGATGCAATCGTCCATCGATTTACTAGGGTGTTGGCATTATCTATAAAATGACTGTATATTATAGCGTTACAGAAATTCGCTAATGTGTATCCGGTGGAACGACGGGTTTACATTGACCTGAATACACTTTGACTTTAATACCTATCAATTTACCTAATTCAACCTGATATTCTAAGCAGAGTGATAAGCCAGTATACTGTAGGCGTGTTTGTCGAAACGACGGAAACACCCCTATATATGTATTAATAGCATACATGTAAAACCATGTCCGTCGGAACGACGGGTACACACCCTAGTATAGTAATAATAGTAAACAGCTGCGTTTCCTGTGGTTCGCCCTGTCGCTGACACGGTGATTTGCCATTCGTGTGAGCTACAAGATATGATCATGCTACTGGGTGGAGAAGGCACGCTGAGCGAAGGCGTTTAATTATGCTCAGAACATTAAGTGGTGAGGTCGTAGCCTTCGACTGTGCTAAACAAGCTGAACACACTGAACACGCTGGCAACAGCAACGCCGACATTGCTGAATCCTTACTGGAAGACTCTGTAGGCAAAGTCGTGACTACTGCTTTTTCTGGCACCTAGCACCCGCAGATGACACCAAGCACTCACTGATGACACCAAGCACCCGCTGATGGTACCAAGCATCTGCTGACTTGCACGTCAACACAGTCAACCCATTGCGACCACCATTATAGCGAGCACTAGTAAAGACACTTTGAAAAGCAGCGCCGGCGTACGCATTTGTGACTCAGTCTCTTGGTCCACAACGGTTGGACCGTCACATCGTATGCGTCGTCGAGACACTTCCGCTCAGCTTTTAGCATTGCGACCGGAGCCCAAGCGTGGTGTTGGCAAATCACGTCGAGATACAGTAATCAGAGCTAGCCGGCACGACTTGCGCATATGCTTTTGTCGCCGAGAGCTCCGTATATCGCATCCGCCTCGTACTTCAATCGTTAGCTCTGCGAGTTAACTCCTTTGCCCATGGACACCTTGTTTATTGAAGTTCGTCACATCCAGACCGAAAGCCTTGACGTACTTCTCTGCGAGGCCGAGCTGCCCGTGGCTCCAGACAACGTTAATGCTGTCTGAGCCAGGAACTGTCATGTATGCCGGTCAGTACGGAGCGCTAACAGCGAATGGTTGTACACACACCCACACTCCGAAGGGTCACCTTCATTTAAGGGCCAAAGTAGGTCTCCAGCTTGGCGATATCCAGTTCGTATTGGCGACTAAAAGACGTCTAGTATGCATCTTCCCGTCAAACGAAGGCCGAAGATGAGGTACAACCGTAGGCACCGTACTTGTCAACATCATCCTGGATAGTGTCCTTGTCCGTCTTAATTCCGTTTTTTGTGATCGTCCTAGTGGTAGCAGCCGTGGCCGTTGTCATGAGTCGTCGAAGTTGGCGGTGTCGCTAAGGTCACTTATGCGTCGTGGATGACGTCATTGGACCGAGTCACCTCGATGACGGAATTCCCAGCACATTATCGACACCATCACTTTTTTCGCAAATTTGGCCGGTAGGAAAGGAGATGGTGATCTTCTGTCGTCTTGGAGATGGTCACACAGACGATACGTCTGCCTATAGATTGGCATACCATCGTGCAAAGACAGTCGGTCGAAGATAGCGAAAGAAGAAGGGTAAGAAGGCTGTGTGTAATATTCTCATCACGGTGAAAATAAGTGTGGGTCTGGTAAGATTCTTGCTGGCGGATGCGTTTGCGATGTAGTTCCAAACGCATGTCCTGCTGGTCGTAAGCGCTCTTTTGCGATCGATATTCAGGTTTTTTGCGACCTTCGCGAGCAAGTGCGAAGGTGTCAAATCCTAGAATCTTATACGAAACCCTGGCATGTGACAATTGAGGTTTCAGTGAGTACGAGTTTTTATGTAGCCATGAATCTTAGCATCGAGCTGGAGGTGACTTTTGAATACTTAGGAGTGGATTACCTACGAATTCTTTTGCAATTCAAGCGTAGATTTGCATCGGATCGTGTCGTGCCAGTCAAGAGAACCTTGTAGAACTATCCGATCAGATCCAAAATGTTCTTTATTGGTCCGATCGAATGGGAGCATTGTTGTAGTACCAAACCAATTCCAGCCGAGCTCCAACTAAACGCCGTTGCCAAATCACACCATTTTTCAATTTGCGCTCAACTCACTACTCAAGTCAAAGATGTCTGCAGCCGATGGTACTAGTAACATCAAGAATAAGAACTCGCACTGCGGTACCTGCGGCTCCGACCTGCACACTATTGAGAGCGTTGGGGATCTTTTGACGTGTCCGTGTGTGGTGGGTCACAAAATTGTCGGTGAGGTGACGTTGGCTGGCCCCGATGTTAAGGTCGGTGACCGTGTGGGTGTGGGTGTGGGTGTCGGCGATCTAGCGTGTTCTTGTCTGAAGAAGGACCCCTCGGTTCCATGCAATGAATGTTTGAGTGACGATCACGCGTACTGCACGCACAGGGTCTTGACCTATAACGACAAGTACAAGAAGAACGGAGAGACGTCGCATGGAGGTCATCCCGACTACGTGCGTGTAGCTCACAAGGACGCTTTCAAGATCCTGGATAATATTCCATCCGACGGTGCTGCGCCGCTGCTGTGTGCTGATACCACTGTGCTCATATCGCTAAAAGAGGATCGTGTGAAGCCTGATAAGCGTGTGGGTGTCGAGGACATCGGTGATCTTGGCCACAAATTTGCCCATGCCATTGGTGACGACGCTGTAATGGCGTTCTCTAATATGACGAAAAAGGAGGAGAAAATGGCTGACCTGGGTGCGACGGAGTTTGTGATAGACAAGAACAAAAAGCAAGCTGCGACTGTGATCGGCTTGACGGATGTTCTCCGGTCTTCCTACGCGAAGGTGCTAACTGCTATTGCACTGCTGGCGTGTGTAGCTGCGAGGGTGGCCACCTCAGCATGGATGCCACAGGATGTCATGCGAAGCTCTCGCGCGTTGAAGGCAGCTCATACGCCGTTCCAGGCCAAGCGAAACTTGAGGATTAACGCGGCAAAGAGCGATCACACCTATAATTTCGGAGAGAGAGGTGTGTCTCCTGTAGTCGTTGGACAAAGGATGGCTATGGAATTATCACCAGTTGAAGCTGCTGCCCTAGAAAAATTGTCACAAATGCATGCTGGCAATGTACATGAGGCAGCTGGTAATATAATACTTGGAAAATTTTCGCAAAGAGTCGAGGGTTTCACACACTCGGACTCAAAGAGAGACATATATGACCGTTTACTCAAGCTGTTTCTAGAAAAGGTCGATGAGGACTATACACTGGCCATATTGCTCTCTGCAGAAGCTAAGATCGAGGAAACGAAATCCTTCGCTGAACATCTGCAAGCTGCACAGATCCGGTATTGGCACCAGAAAAAGAAATCTGCGGCAGATGTCTTCGATCTTTTGAGGCTCGGCACGTCAAATGAGAATCTATTTGAAAACCCATTATTGGGCAGATTGGTTGATTATATCAAGTCAAAAACACCGAATAAGACGATCTCAAGTGTGTACCCAACCTTGTACTCGATCTTGTCAAGTAAGTTCAATGACGAAGATCTGGTCAAGACTCTAGTCGAAGGAGCAAAAGCTGCCGGGGAAGACTCCTTTGCTCCAAAACTGCTACTAATGCGGCTGCTGAAGGGTCAATTCGCTGGGGAATCCGATGAGACGGTTATAAATTTTCTGGGGTCAAACAATCAGCGCCTATTTACCATTTATCATAAATTTTTGTTTTTTTTTGACAATGATTCACCAGAGGCAAGTTTAATTAAGCTCAAGGAGATGTTTGGCGAATCAAAGACTGTAGAGATGCTCTATACGACGAATGAGGCGAGTGACGTAGCAACGCCGGCGAAGGACATGCTTCAAGTACAATTTGCTGAATGGCAGAAAGATATAGTGGACGATCAAATGGCCGAAGAATTGCTTGAGGATGTTCCCAAAACCGTGGCCAAGGAAATTGTTGATATGTACGTCAATCACGTGAATAGTTTTGCGGGATACCCTCAATAAATACCACCAACTGCATGAAGGTGGTGCGAATCAGCAACTGCAAAGAAATTGCGGCGGACTTTTTGGACAATGAGCCAGCTCAATTCTCAAATGCTGGCTTTTTTGCCCCCGGAGGATCGCCACCTACATCCTCGTCGTTTATGTTTGCAGATAGATCAGGATCTGGTTCAGGGAGTGGATCGGTTCACACACCCTTGTCTTTTTCAAGGTCTCTAGTGGAGTCCGGACGGGCGGGTTTTGAGTGTTAATTTGCGTAAGCTGTCTGCATAACTTCATGATCCTTAGCTCTGCGGTGCGATCTTCTTTGTCCGAATTTGACTCGCCTTCAGTTGCTGTGCTGAATCTTCACCATGGGTTTCACGATAATTGCCGTGTTGGTGTGACCAATGTACAATTTGAAGTCTCATATGGACGTCGTTCGCGCGATGACCGGCTTCGTTGAGGGTATGTGAGGCTCCCTGCAGTAGCCATTAGAGAGATAAACGGTGTTATCGTGCACGCCTCGTTGCGACAAAACAAAACAAAGTACGTGTAGAGCCTTAAAGCACAACACTAGTGTGTGGACCATTCAATCATAATAAAGTCATGTATACACGAACTACCACTAGCATTTATGATTCAGCTGCATCTTCGCAACTTCTTCACTTCTTTCAAAAAAGGCATGCAAACCTTCTCCATTGTCACCGCCTACCCAATATTCTGAACGCCTGTGAGCTGTAATAAGTAGCCAATAACCCAACCACATGCGGCCGCAATTGTGCCGTTAATCGCCATGGAGCCACCAGCCCTCCACATCTTTTGCCCGACGAATTTGCCCTTCACAGCACCCAACAAAAACAGCGTGACGACTGTAAGGAAGCAGGAAAGATACAGCGTCGTATGCTGACTCATATTAATGCCTGGAAACAAGTTGACAAGGTACGAGAGCAGCGGTATAACGCCACAGAGCATGAACGAGAGAAACGTGATGATACCGCCAGTGAGAGGTGAGTCGTCATCTTCCACGGGCATGATGTTGAGCTCCTCGACCATCATAATGTCAATGAATGCTTCCTTGTACTTGGCCAGTGTGTGTACGACGAGCAGCGCGTCCTCTGTTGAGACGCCTTTTTTCTCATAAAGTTCAATCATCTCTTCAATTTCTCCTTCTGGAAAGTTTTCAAACTCCCAGACTTCTCTAGAACGTTCGTGGTTGGCTAGATCAGTTTCTGCCTGGCTACTGAGCATGTCCCCAAGTCCCATACTTAGTCCATCAGCTACTAAATGAGCCAAACCGATAATGAGAATGACGGAATGTGGAAGTCCCGAGCCAGCCACGGATGTTACTGTTGCAAATGTAGTAATGATACCATCTAGTCCTCCATATACAGCACTCTTAATGTGTTCCCCACCAATCATATGGTTCTCTTTAGCGTGTGTGTGGCCTCCCATTTCCGTCTTGAGCTGATGTAGCAGCCGCGATTTCTCGGCATCTCCATGACCGAATGCGGTCTTGACATCAACCAATACTTGGCTGTATTTTGTGCTACCGTAATCAATCTTGTCGTGGTTTGAAACCCCGTTGATGGTGTTCCCTGAGCTGTCGTTTGAGCTCATTATTATATGGTTTGCTCGGTTCTGTAATTGGTCCGTTGGTCGTGGTGTGTGGCGGATTAAAAAATGGGATAAACCGAAAACGTTGGGACCTATTTTTGTTAATGATGCATAAATACACCCCTGACTAAAAATTAGAAGAAAAATCAACCAACGTCGGATTTTAGTCTGGTACGTAAACACCAGATATATCAGCGTCATGTTTGCGTATTTGACGACCATTTTTGACAACAGGTGGTACTTTTTTCGATTGAAAACCATGTTACGAGGAGTGCGTCAACAGGATTACGTACCCGATAGTTCAAGACGAGGATATTTCTTGTCGCCTGCCATCGGTGTTTGTTTTTGATCTAGCAAATAGCTTTGAGCTGCTCGCTCTGTATTGAAGGTCTTATCAGTAGTTTGATTTCAGTTGGCATTGAGTTGCGCACAAGGGATTGCCGTCTATACTGCTAACGGGTCTAACTGCGGTCCTGCAGCACCACGTAGCCAAAATGCACGTACCGCATGTCAGACGGACTAAGCTTAATAGTCAACTTTGGACGACATCAGGACAAGTCGTCTAGCTAGACAAGGAAGAAAAAGAACAGACCTAAGACCGAATCAAACTAAGCTCATTCGACTGTATCATTCTACCTAATTCACCCTGACCATAGTATTGCATCTTGCTCGTTCCCAGATACGAATAACGAGCAAAACGACAACTTAATCATCCCCGTGCACGTTCTTACTGAGCTGTTCGCTTCTTCTCGTTTTCCTTCTCATCTTCATCTTCGTCATGCTCAGCTGCATTCTGCATCTTCCAGGCCCGAACTCGCTCAAATTCATTGTAGTGACTCTTGCGCTTGTCCGCAAAGTTCGGGTCCTTGTGAATTTTCTTCCCCTCAGAGTCCCGAGTAGCAAAGTCCAGTCCTCCCAAATCCGAGCTCAAATTCGTGTCGTGACTTACATCCCGTTCACTGTCTTTCTTGTCCTTTACATCCTGCAGTTTGGACTGCAGTTCATCCCACTACAAATTAGAATAATAATTAATACACACATCCGCAAAAAAAGTTAGTATAAAGCACTATTATTTACTAAGAAATAAAATTCTTTAAAATCATATGTTATATAAATAACACGTACCTGCATTGGAGACTCGCCAGAGAAACTTTGAGCGGGTGATATTTTGCCCATTTCATCGCTCTCTCCATAGTAATGATACGGCGTATTGGGCTCGTCGATCTTCATGCGTGTGCCGCGATCCAGGTCGTGGAGAGCGATGGTCTCCTCGTCCCATGTCACGTGAGCATCGCCGTGTGAGTGACTCTGGTTGGACACTAATGCCTTGGGTTTTTCCTCGTCCATATTTGGGTGAAACGTGATACTGATTTTGTGCTGTTGCGTGTGACATGTGTTTGTTTACAAAACACGCTAAAATTTACTATTGCAAAGAAGGAAAGACGGAATGTAATGGCTTTATATACTACGAATTTGCATGGATCGCTGGCATCGAATGAAAGTAAAAGAGATTGACCTAAGTTATTCTAATGAAACGTTTAGTAAACCATAGAATTGCCCTGTTGTGCTGCTTCGTCCATTTATCGTCTGGAAAATGAGACATGGATACGTGTGCAGTTTTAGTCGACTACTGACACGCATCTATGAAGCCAATTACAGCTTTTGGTCCGTCTTGAGTCTAACAGGCAAGATTCGCTAAAGATCCACGCAAGATGTTCGGCAATTTTGGTCCACGGAAGCGCAAGTTTTCTTTTCTTGTTGTGAATATCTTCTTATGAGCATGGAAACGACAACGTGAAAAGCAGACCATTACAGCGATTATTCATATTGAAGGATGACCTCGTCGACCTTGAGCGAGTCCCCAGCAGCACGTGCAATGCTTTTGATGAAGCCCCTCTTCTCAGAGCGAAGCACGTTCTGCATCTTCATGGCTTCCACGACAGCCAGCTCCTGGCCCAGCTCTACTTGCTGGCCAACTTCCACTGCTACGGAAATGAGCATGCCTGGCATTGGACAAAGTAACAAGTTGGACGTGTCGACCTCGGGCTTTGGCTGCATATATTTGCCATACGCAGCCTCCAACTCGTTTCGCACAACTACGTCATGCACGGCGCCATGGAATTGAAGACGAAAACCCTCCGGAAGCGTCTGCAGCATTTGTGACACCAACGAAAAATCTGCTGCTCCGCTCTGCTTTTCATGCGATGCCTTGAATAGCGGCCCATTGAGCGACCAGTCTATATTGCCCACGACGTGCCATTCGCTGTCCACCATAGCTAGCGTCTTCGTTTCGGTGCGGTGCAGCTTGTTCTCCACCTCAACTTCCACAACCACTACGGACTTTGACTCTCCAAATGGACCATCGATGCTAACAGCCAGCTGCGTGCCCACATTCTTGAGGTGGTTCCGCTCCGCGAGCGCAGTCAGTTCATTCGATGACAGACCTGGAGCAAGGGCACGAAGGCGGGGAACGACTCCTGCTTGGTCTGACACAAACTCCACTTCATCTTCGTTGAGAGAGCCGAGAAATGCAAACCCTTCCACGGGTATTGTCTGAATGCGGCCAGAGATCTGGCTATTGGTGGCAGCTTTCTTCAGATGCATGATCGCGCCGACAACTCTGAGGTCCTCGGTCTCGGCCGGTGTCAGCTTGACACCATTAAAACCCTCGGGGTACTCCTCCTCGATGAACTTTGTAGTGATCTTGCCGCTCGCAAAGCGAGGATGACGGTAGACATCCTGCAAGAACGATATATTGTTTCCTGGGCCGCGGATAACGTAATTGTTTAGTGCTATCTTCATGCGCTCCAAGCACTCCGGGCGGTCTTTTCCGTACGTAATAAGCTTCGAGATCATCGGATCATAGAACATGGAGATATCGCTACCTTCTTTCACACCCGAGTCCACACGTACACCTGGAAGGTGGACGGGCTCCTTGTACTGGAGCAGCCGTCCAATAGATGGCAGAAAGCCACGCACCGGGTCCTCAGCATACACACGACTTTCCATAGCCCAGCCGTGGATCTTCACTGGTCCTCCTAGCAATTCCTTAGGTAGTTCATGTCCTGCAGCAACGCGAATCATCTGTTCGACGAGGTCCACGCGCGAGATGAGCTCTGTCACGGGATGCTCAACCTGAAGACGCGTGTTCATCTCCAAAAAGTAAAAGTTCTTGTGTTTATCACACAAAAACTCAACTGTGCCAGCACTTACGTAGCCTACCTTTCGTGCCAACATGGCTGCTTGCTTACCCATAGCCACTCTCGTTTCCGGATCCAATAGCACACTTGGTGCTTCTTCAATTACTTTTTGATTCCGACGTTGGATCGAGCATTCTCTTTCAGGCAATGGCACGATATTTCCATGTGAATCTGCAATGAGTTGAATCTCAATATGTCGTGGATCTTCGATAAATTTCTCGAGAAACATCCGATCGTCTCCAAAACTGCTCGCTGCTTCTTCTTTTGACAGTCGGTAACCCATCCGCACCTCTTCATCATCATACGCAACGCGCATTCCCTTCCCTCCTCCTCCAGCACTAGCTTTAATCATAACAGGATATCCAATTTCCTGAGCCACTCGAACAGCAGCTTCCGATGTGTCAATCTCTCCCAAGAAGCCAGGGATCGTATTAACCCCTGCGTCCATTGCCAGTTGCTTGGACTCAATCTTGTCTCCCATAGCCTGGATAGCTTCACGACCAGGGCCAATGAATGTCACTCCAATGGCCTCTAATGCTTCGCAAAAGTCCTTGTTTTCCGACAAGAATCCGTAGCCTGGATGCACAGCTTGAGCTCCCGTAGCTTTGACGGCTTCTAAGATCTTGGGGATACTGAGATAGCTTTGATTTGAAGGTGCTGGACCTACACAGACCGCTTCATCCGCCATACGTACAGCCATAGAGTTCACATCAGGCTCTGAATACACAGCCACTGTTTTGATGCCCAGTTTCTTGCACGTGCGCATGACACGCACAGCGATCTCGCCACGATTAGCGACGAGGATCTTGTCAAATAGGTTTTCTTTTTGTTGCTGATGCAGGTAGCGGAAAGTTGAGGGGACGCTGTAAGGAAGCAATAGCTGATGCCGTAGTAGACGTGCGGATAACATGGCAGAGTGATGGTCTCTGAAGTTGAAGAGCAGAATGGGAAATGAAAGTGATTTGGTTGTGGATTCGGATAATGGTGCAATCAATTACAAACAAGCCAGTTATCGTGTGTACTCGGATTAGTGACCTTGGTTGAAGTGCAACTTGCATAAGTTTAGCTTCGTTGAAGGATCGGTGGCACAAAGATAGACGAGCGTCGATAAATGCTTTTACTAGCGTCGAAGATTCTGATATTACAGATAAAGCCCTTAACAACAAGGACAGGTAGAGTTTTGGTCTTGTAACATTCAAGATAGTGCTACAGACTATTATACAGAGTATTATCCCGATTCCTAACGTAGGCAACACGTGCTTTAGACATTTCAATTACCATATTTTACTGGGTCTTTCTTTTGATAAAGGATAGCATTCAGTGATACCAACTTTGCCCATCGCTTTCTATATTGTCGGTTGCAGGTCATCAATGTAGCGCGGATATTCGAAAGGTGAATTTACGCCGGTCATCTAGTTGTTGAATCAGTCTCACGAAAACGCAATTTGTGACGAAAGTTGCTGCTGGCTCGATCTTCGTCACTTGAGATGCTGCTTCAACGGCTGGTGATTGCGAGCCGCGCTTGTAAGCGCGCAATCATCAGCCATTATGGTGTAGACGGCTGAGTATGCTGGTGAAGTGGGCATTTCTTACGAAAAGGTATGCTGCTCATATTCAATGCCGAGCAAGAAATAACGTGAGCAAGTACAATGCTAGACTCGCCCTAGAGATTGACGGCGGTTTCGTTATCGAAAGTGCGTGGTAAGTTGACAAGCCTATCCGCTGGTATTGTAGCAAAATGTAAGCCATGATGGTGGAAATTCCAATACATAACACCATCGACTTTAGTTCTAAAAAAAACTATGCGCAAGTATACTATTACTCTTCAGCGGCAAGGCGTGACAGTAGCCAAGAACACAAGGGCATGTTTGCGAGCTCGGAAATTGGCAAACTGGGCTGGGAGTCGTCAGACACCAGCGGTTGGGGCAAAAGAGTTCACATGCACACGACAACACTGCACTGCATGCAGAGAGCTAGTGTTGGTGAGCTTCGTAATCAATCATAGCAACGCAGGCCTCGGTACCGTATGATATGATTCCTACATCGCAGAGCTTGCGAGTTGTCTACCCAAACGGATTCATACAAGCATGATCTTGGAGTGCTCTGTGTGTAGTGTTTCATAATCATTAGACGGACATACCGTGATTCAGGGAAAAAACTGGCAAGTCAATATAGACCTCAACCTTACACAATTATACAGTAGTATCGTAGTATGAGCACAGCAACTTGATGCACTCAAATGTTGGCACAGATAACTACACTACAAGTATGTATGTTTGTGGGCTCATCAGTGCATTCATCTCTCAAGTTACCGAGAGGATTTCCTCACAAAGATTCAGAGCAGATCTTGGTATATTTGCGAACATCATTTGAGCAATAGTTACAAGATTTCTTACAGCAGTCGAAGAATTTGATGAATGAGCACTTACTCTGTTTTTATTATCTTCTTCGGGATAGCCCACAGCCAATCGTTTTCTGCTCCAATTCATCGCATAAGTTCCCTATAATTTCAATACCTTATACTTTTAAAACTGCGTCCGGAAACTAAATGCCTCATTTTTTGTTATCAGTGAGGCATACAGTGTTTAAAGTGCCTCAATACTGCAAACACAACAACACAACTGTGCACACGCACGCACTCCACGACTTTATTAGTGGTTATTTTTGTGTCCTGCAGTCAAGTGTCTCTCACTTTGGTAAACCGAATGCTACTTCCTATCGTAGACATTAAGCTTACGCCTCGAATTCCACACCAATCTTGACCTGCTCCGCCTGTGCGACAATGTCGGCGATCTTAACAGCCTTCTCGGCCGCGTCCTCCAAGTCGTCGGCCACAATCATCTTGATGCCCGACTCAGCGATTATCTTGCGCGCAGGCTCCACGTTGGTACCTTGCAGACGGATAATGACCGGCTTCTTCAAGCCCAAGTCCTTGGCAGCAGCCACAATGCCGGCAGCAATCACATCGCAACGCATGATTCCACCGAAAATGTTCACCAAGATTGACTTGACCTGGTCATCGCCGTCCAAGATCTCAAACGCTTTCTTCACCTGCTCCTCAGAAGCGCCTCCTCCAACGTCAAGGAAGTTGGCAGGCGAGCCGCCGTACAGTGAGATGATGTCCATAGTGGCCATTGCGAGACCAGCTCCGTTTACAAGGCAGCCGATGTTGCCATCCAGCCCGATGTAATTGAGGTCGTATGCGCTAGCTTCCACCTCACGCGAATCCTCCTGGGTCTTGTCGCGCTTGGCAAAGATTTCCTTGTGACGGAAGGCGGCGTTGTCATCGTAGTTAAGTTTAGCATCACAAGCAAAAATCTCGCCCTCACGGGTCTCGGCCAGAGGGTTGATCTCCACGAGCGTGGCGTCCACGCCAATAAACATGTTGTACAGGTTCCTGATCTGAGTCTCAATCTTCTTGAGGACGTCGCCCTCACCCCCCAGGGCCTTAGCAAGACGCGACACCTGCGCATCCGTAGGACCAGTAGAGATGTCCACGATCTCCTTGAAGATGAGCTCAGGTGTCGCCTCAGCAACATCTTCAATGGAAGTTCCACCAGCGGGCGAGGCCACCATTACAGGGCCCTCCGACGCGCGGTCCATAAGGATCGAAAAGTACATTTCTCGGCGCATCCACACACGTTCCATAAGGAAGACCTTGGCCACCTCAATGCCCTTCTCGCCTGTCTGCTTGGTAACAAGTGTCTCACCCAACATCTTCTTGGCAAACTCTTCAGCCTGTTCGGGCTTCGTGCACATGTGTACACCGCCCTTGAACCCATTCTTGAACGTACCAAGGCCACGTCCACCCGTAAGCGCCTGTGCCTTGATCACGACATCCACACCCTCTGTATAAGCATCCAAAACATATGTTTGTATCAATTAAAATGAACGTGGGTTAGGTCAAATACAAGATAAAAGATGTTCCCCTTCCCCTTCATTGTTATACCATATATAAATAAAAAAGGTACGCACCACGATCACCACGAATCTTACTGAAGGCGGCTTTGGCCTCCTCTGGCGTATTGGCTGGTATACCCTGAGGCGTAGCCACCCCAAATCCCTTCATAATATCCAATGACTGGAACTCATGCAAGTTCAAGCGGCGCACTTGCGCTTTCTGGCACGCTGGCAGCGACAGGAGCTTGGGGTTACGCAGCACACGACCAAACATAGTAAAGACCTGTTTAAGTGAATTTGAAAATAGCTGAAAAGTGTCTCTAAAAATGAATGATACGGAGATCCAGGAGGACCCCACAGAACGGATTGAAAGTACCGTGTTCGCGTTACATTGCGTAAGAAAATATGTGGCAAACTTCCCCGCGATACGTTTGTCTATTGTGCGGAAAATAAACCTACACCCTGCGATGTTGTAGCATCTAAGTGAGCAGAAAATGATACATCACTGTGTTATGGGATCTAGACAAGGTCTGATGATACAGACTTTATCATGCAGTATCTAAATGTCCAGAATTTAAAATGGTTTTTGTCTCGTGTCTCATACACCAAAAATATCAACTCTAAAATACCGGTTCTTAGCAGTTTTCTTTCAAGTTTACTTTAACAGGTATAGCTCTTCATGACGTCTACCTCTTCCTTTAATGCCACCCTGGCTGTATTATTAGCCGCCAAGTATTGCCGTCAATATCCTCTATTTCAATGGCGCGAAGAAGCTCTCCCATCGATTGGTAGACGCGCTGAGAAATATTGTTTTCGTATCGATATGCTTAATTTACGTCAAGAAACATGTGGTGAGATGGTGTTGGCTTTGATACCGGTACAATTAAGTCTACTGGATTTTCAAAAAGAAAATACCGTATACAAACTGAAATCGTTACTTGTAACTCTAAAGGTGCGTCTAATTTCATGATTTGACGCTTTAAAAAAGCTGCCTAAAAACCAAAAATCGAATAATTAATTTGATTTTTAATACTCTGTAGCATCCATACATTCTTCCAGTCATGGATATTTCCTACTCTATCCAGAAGAAGGCTTTGCTACTAGTCCAGCCATTTATAGCTCCTGGCAGTTTAAAGGACCGTATTTATCAAGTAAAGAATCCTGCAACATCTTATGATGTCAAGTACCGACTTGAAAAGGCTCATCCATTGCCATTTCAAGACATTGCCAAGTTTTCACGACAAATTCTTGAAGCTCTTGCTGGACTTCGGTCCAAAGGATTTATATGTGACCATTTAAGCTCAACCAATGTGGTTGTGGACAATGGCAATGCACGAGTCGCAGAAATTTATACGCCCGTATTGGCTATTGACCGCTATAAAGACAGTCGAAAGCTCACAGTGAGTCTCGAGCAACAGATGGACATTGATGTGCTACTTTTTGGGCACATTTTATATGAAATGGCGACCGGGATGGAATTATTGTGCCCTCGGCCTGAAAAAAAGGTGTTGCAAATGTTGGCACCAGAGATTACTGAGGTACTGGAAGCTATTTTCTATTTTCAAGAGGGACTGGTCCAACCGGATATAGCACTGCTATCCTCGGAGGAGGAGAGTAAAAGTGTGGACGTTGATGATGCTGCAAAAATGGTAAATTGCTCCGTCAATAGCCGCAACAAGAAACACTTGTTCCTTGTTGATGTGGAGAAAATGCTGGAAGATTTTCCATTGTTTAGTGCAGCTCGTGATGTCCCGCCGATCCGGACTCTGTTTTCTGGATTTCGTCTGGATTCCAACATGAAGAGTACAATTAAATACAGCATGCGTATAAATGCAAGCCGCAGTCAGGCGCACATTGTGCATTACAACGAACAAGAAACACTGCTGCGAGCTCGTCAACGTGCTGAACGTCGCGTCTACGAAGAGAAGGAAAAACAGCAACAGCGTTGTCGGCAACTCACACCCAGTAAGAATTCAACTAGCAAAGGCATTGCATACAGCAGCAAGACCATAACGTCGAGAAGAAAGACGTTCCGCGCCGATAGTTTCCGGAAGCACGCCCGACGTACGTTGTCTCGGCCTGACAGTGATAAATCCAGTACTACGAGTGCGTCTTCTAATGCCTAGTACAGCAGAATCTCCACAACCATGGCGTATACGTTTTCAACTATCGGCACCGTGGGCTATTGTATGAACTTCTGCATTGCTGTGATAGTGCATGACAGGTAGTATGTATGACCTGAAAGAGGCGACGAGTAAACATGCAGCTAATGTCACTTCGAGACATGAAGAGAATGCTGATTTCTTCACAAGCCGACGTGTGCTTTGAAAAAGCAAAAGCCAGCTCGACAAACGAGCCGTAATTTCTACGCCAAGAGCAAGCCTGCAAGCATGAGTTGGGGACCATGAAATATTTCACACAGGCCGCAAGGTGGTGAGCAAGACTAGAACATTGTCGAAACAATCATCGAGAGGACGACTTTGCTAATGTCACTGAGCTCTATGGCTTACAAAATGTTCATCAAGATAGCCTCGGAAGGCACCGCGATCCGTTCCACAGAGAAGACAGAAGAAGGTATACGAGAAGATCGTGACGTCCTGCTCCACGATTACGTGGAGAGACTAGTACAAAGAACCCAGCAAGCACGTAGATATATTGGTCCGACAGCTGACCATCACTTTGCCTTTGTTGAGTAGATCTCCATCTTTGTAAAAACACAACGTTAGTGTAGACTTTTCATCAGTCACTCAGCCAGCAAAGTTGTTTTCATCTCCTTGTTCTCTCCTTCATAATCACAAACAATTCGCACTCGCCAGTCTTCACAAGTTCTTGCAAGAATTGATAGCACTCGGTCTCTCCTTCAAATGGCTATCATCGCACACCAAAAACGACCATGAATCTCTTCACGTCCACAACGACTTTGTCAAACTTACAACATACCACTGGAGCTGGTAATTTCGAGTCCAAATTGTAGCAAACGCCTTGAATTTTCCGAATAGCAAACCAGTGCCTCTGCACCCATAGACTGCTGAACGTCGTCGTCATGATCACATTGCACAGAACTCCTTCCACCTCATCAAACGGGATCAATTTCTCATCCACGGGCAATCGCTTGTCGATCCATTGCATCTCGTATCCTAAACCAGTAGCAACAAAATTCTGTTGTTCAGCCCAAAGTCTCCACTTTTCGAGATCTCCTCGAGTTTTCTTGCATGGATCACCTTTTTGCTGTAGAGCTAGAGTCAATAGATTGATATCATAGTTCCCAAGACCCATTGGAGCTTTGTGTGGGTTCCAGACCCAATGTAGCAGTCCATTGTTACCAGTCTGATCGATTCGAGTTGTCAATTCAGAACAGGTATCATCAAGTGAGCTTTTCGTGAATATGGGGCCTAGATCAATGTGAAAACGGTTAGTACATGAAGATAAAGTCTGTTAAGAGTTCGATTTGGAGTCAGTTGCCTTGGAGTACGTTGTTCAGAGCATGGAGACCACAGCGATAGAATATCTGGCGCTCGTGATACACTTCTTCGGTCATGTTTTTCTTCTGAAAGTCCTGTTTGTAAAGCTGAGACGAAGAATGCATTCAGGAGACCAAAGGATTGGGAAGTCCTTGGATGAGCTTTGGTGGTTGCTAGGAAACTATTACTATTGTGTGTCCCATGTTGTTCACTGCTGACTCAACACGAAGCTTTTACTACGAATCACATGGAGTGCTAATGCCAAATGGAGTACGAGAAGGCTGGTTCATCCTTGGAAAAATGTCACCAACTTCAGCAAGAGCTCACCACGAAATACGATTCATGCAGAGTCTTGGGTGTATAGACGACTGCACGGGCAATGACGGCTAGAGTTACAAGGCTACGACCATCAGGACCTTGACATGCAGGAATGATGAGAAGCAGAACATACTTTCAAAGACGCTGTCTACTTCTTCCAACCGCGACCGCATATCAACCGCTGAAACACCCATCTTTGATTCCCATTAGATCCTGCAACGACGTTTCACATCTAGCTAGCAACAGAACACATCTCGATATCCCCACAAGTTGCCATGATGCGTGTCTGCATTTGCCTTTACTCAGCCAGGCTATCAGGTTTCAACAACGAACGAGCTGTCGATACCAGCAATCGCATCTGAAAGAATGTGCAGCTCGTAGCGTGAACTTGCTGATGCCAACGGCAGTGATACATGCACCTTTTGTTTCCAAGCCACGTGCTTTACATGAACAAGCTCCTCTCCAGCACCCTGCGTCTTGGTCGTCAAGAGCACGTAAAAGCCGTACGGCTTGGGTTTCTGCAGTCGAGACGTGAAGGCAAGATTCCTGCCACCGTGGTAATTTAGGCCTGTCATTTCCACGTCAACTACTTGCTGTTGCTGCTTTTGATTCACGAGCACATCTACACGAAGCTGCGGAACTCCTTCTGCAACGCGAATAAGCTCGTCGATCTTGTGCTTCGTCAGAATACTAGGTCGACCTCTTTGCTGTTGCGTTTGCAGATTCTGCAGACGTTCAATAATCTGCGCTTTCGTGCTTCTCACCTCCAAAGCTGCTTGCAGATCAGCGACTCGTGATATTTGAAATTGTTCGTGCAAAAGCTTCACTACCGATTGTGACGCATGCGGCAACTGAGTCAGTACAGTCTCGCTGCCTACATTCGTTTCATCCGGCCAACGGCCTTGCACAACAGCTTGTGACAGACGAATCCCAGCGAAAATCAGGTCCGTAAGCTTCAGAAAAGCGCAGAGATCAATCGCAGCACTTAGCAAACGTGGCAAATGGTCCAATAATGTTCGGAGATCGTTTGTGAAGTCACTCGACGGCAGACGCATGCCCATCAAATGCATTTGCAGCACCAGCAGCGTCTTCACTTCACTCCCATGCGTCTCCAGTAGTGCTCTCTGACGCTTAGGAGAACTCGAGAACAAATGCTTCAGCGGCGAGTACTTCACCTTCGTGCAAAGATCAGCAATCAAATTACTCATGATCTCGTTATGACGCAACGGGATATCACGAAGCTCCACGCTGGATTCACAAATTACACACAGCAGCAGCAACGTGTTCTCCGCTGTAGTGTTCACCCTCACATTATCAGAGGGTACCGCTTTCAAAGTGACTAGCATGTTGGACACTGAGCGCACATCCACGTAGAGTGACGCTGCAAGCTTTCCCGCAAACGTTGGCTCAACGGATAGCACTCCACCAGCTTGCGACGTGGTGATGCACTGACTGGACTCGAGCTGCTGCAACGTCGTCGATATCAACTGCTGGAAGAACTTTTCTAGCTCGTCTTGCTTCGTAAGGGTTTTATGCTGCTTCTCTTGCGTGCTGTGCTTGCCAGGTTTTGCATTAGACGACCCGATCGCCGCCATATCAGCCCCAACACCGTAGAAGCTAGGATTTTTGAGCACACGCTGGAACAGCAAACTCCAGCTCAAGTAATTCATCACGTCCTTCGTACTGTGGATCAAACCTGCCGCAATCTCGGCGTTCAAATGGTTAGCCAAGATGTAGGGCATCACATTGCTGCCGAGACAGGACTCAACAGCTAGAGGCTCATATAAAAACCGTTGCGTCATGTTCTTCTTGCTTTCTTCCACCAACACACACGCAATTCCCTTGTCATCCAGTAGCGGACGGCCAGCACGACCGATCATCTGGAGCAAGTCACCCAACGGGTAGGAGCGGTATCTCCCATTATGGAAGTATTCGGTACCCTTGATCACGACAAGGTGGGCAGGAAGATTAACTCCCCACGCAAGCGTTGACGTCGAGATCATGACTTGAATAAGACGATCCTTATACAGCTTTTCAACCAGCTCGCGATCTCTTCGCGCCAATCCAGCGTGGTGCAGGCCGATACCAAAGGAAAGCGTGTGCTTCAGGGTCTCGTCCACGATCTGATTCGACTGGCACATTGAATCTATGACTGCTTCATCCATCTTCAAGAAGCGCTTGCTTCCATCACCATTTTCGTCGGAAGCAACACAAAACTGGATCAAGTCGAGAGCCGTAAGTTTGGTCTGTGCCTTGGACGAAACAAAAATGAGCACAGGCTTGTCGGGAGAGTGAGTCTTGATAGCCATGAACGTCGGTTTGTTCATTGCAGCCATGCGTGCCACGTAATGGCGCTCCGGAAAGCCCTGAATGTGCACATCCATCGGTACTGGACGCACGGACGCTCGGAAGTTGTACACTTGGCCATCGTCATGGTTGTTAGCGTTACTGGCAGTGATCCCGCCCAGCCATTGACCCACGTCGCCTGCATTTGCAAGAGCGGTGGACAGCCCAATAACGCGGATAGGCGGACCAGAGCGCTTAAACCGTCTAAGACGACTGATTAGTACTTCCAATACGGCACCGCGTGGTGCCTCACCCACTAAATGAACCTCATCCACGACGACAAGTGCCATTTGAGTCATCAAAGTACGACCAACCGTGCTGCTACGTGTAAGCAAATCCCACTTCTCCGGTGTTGTGACTACAATGTCTGCCTTGTTCAGAATAAACTCCACATTGACGAGAGTATCCCCGGTAACTTCCACCACCTTCTTACGCAAGTGTGCGTTGTTTTCAAACCGAGCCTTCCATTCCGTCACTTTCTCGCGAGCAAGTGCTTTCATCGGCGCGATGTACACAATCAAGGAGCGCCGATTACGGCGTGTCGGAGTCTCTGAAGAGCCCTCAGCTTCACTATGAGCATTTCCACTGTGTTTCTGCTGTTTCCACACCCGCAGCATTGCTAGCTCAGCACACACCGTCTTCCCACTACCTGTAGGTGCGCAAAGTAGCACATTTCCATTTTGATGATAAAGCTGGTGGAACGCTTGCGTCTGAATCGGATTGAAGTATTGGAACTTGCCGACGTACATCGCTTGGTAAACAGGGTCGTCAAGAGATTGAAGAGGTTGCGGGTGGAGTCGAAGAAGCTTTGTGTACATTTCATCTTTTTGCTTTTTTGTCTCAGCACTAGTACTTTCGACCGGCGCGTAGCTCACCTCGTAAAACGACTCGATTCCAACAAAACGATCGGAAAGAATGCGAATCACGTAATTTGCCTCCGTCTCCGTGTGTGAGATAAACACCGGCAGGTAGCATTCCATCTCAAGCGTCTGAGTGCCAGCCTTCCATCCCATAAATCGGCTCTGGTGAAGGACAAAGTACTCGGAATGGTAGATGTAACCAGTAATAGCGTCTTCAACCCAAAGCCAAGAAGACAATGTTTTGCCCTGGAAAATTCCTTCTTTCCACTCTGGAAACAGGGGATAAAGGTCGAATGTGAGCTTGACCATCGTGCTGCCAAATGGTTGAGTCTGAACGTTGTCGATGTCGATGAACGGAGCGCTTTGGACCCATTTTTTTACCTTTGCGGTCAAGTGAAAAGCATCAGGGTCGACAATGGCATCGTACAGAGTCATATTGTGGCGGCGGTCAAACTCCGCAATGATGTCAAATGGTACATTTGGGAGCTGCAGCATCGCATTCTGGTCCCACCACATCTTTTGATCAATACACTTGGCAAGTTGCAGGAATTTTTCAGCCTTTCGCGCACTGTTTTTCTTCAGACAGATTTCAAATAGCGCGCGACACACACGAGAACCATTCTGGGCAACGTAATTCGTGTCCGAGATGAGTGTGAATGTCGACACACGAGCACGACCGATAAGACTCTGCAGAAGAACGTTTGTCTTTCCAGTGTATGTGTCCATACCGCCTCCTAAGATATCAATGCGACAGAACCTGCGCTTAAGCTTTTCCAGCTCCGACATTTCTTCTTCGCGCGATTTCAATTGCTCGAACTCGTTGCTACTGCAGAGCACTAGAAACACCTTCTCCCAGTCCAGGTCATCCTCGTAACCTTCTTTCTGACCTGCTTTGCTATCAAGGAGATCATTAAACGTCTCAATGGAAGTGTGTTGAATATAGAAATGGCTTGCTACACGTCCCATAGAGGTCACTGCAAATGCGGTCTTGCCTTCTTGATCGGAGCCCAATTGGATCTTCTCGCGAAGGATTTTAATCATCCGACATGAAGCCAATTTCTCTGCAGCATCCATGAGCAGCTGTCTGCGTCGAGCGATCAGCATAGGGTCTTCATTTACATTGTCTAACTTCATTCCATAAGCTAATGGGTTCTTTCGCATGCGTACGTACAAATACGTGTAACTGAGCCACGTGCACGCTTCTTCCAAATTGCTCACGGTGCCGGAAACTATCTCAGCGTTCAAGTGATCAGGCAACGCCTTGATCAGGGCCGACTCCATCGGGATTCCTGTAGTTAGCAATCGGAGGTAGTGTGGCAGCTGATCTTGTGTAGTCACTAAAACAGCATCACCACTTGTATCGTACTGCGGACGTCCAGCACGGCCAAAGATCTGCATTACATCTAGCATGCTCAATTGCGTCATGCCGCCCTTGTCGGCATTGTACACTTGAGTGCCCTTGATAAGGACCGAGTGTGCCGGCAAGTTCACACCCCAGGCCAATGTTGCGGTACAACACAACACGCGGATGTAGCCCTGCTCAAAGAGTTGCTCCGTCAGATTTCGGTCACTGCGTAGCATACCAGCGTGATGAATGCCCATGCCGTATCCTAGCAGCTCCCTGAGCTCCTTGTTGCGGCTTTTTTGCACTCGATCCTGCAGACTAATAGGCATCTGTAGCTTTGAAGGTGGCAAGAATGCCTCTAGCGTGCCGGGCTCTTCTTCATTAGCACGCGCAAGCTCGACGATGCTGTGCATCGTACCCGCCGTATCTTTCCGCGAGTGAACAAACACCATCACTTGTTCGTTATGCTGAACTTGCTTCAAGCAATGAGCTAGTGTGAGCTTATTCATCATCAATTGGATTTGGCGTTGGCGACTCATGGTAGCGCCTGCAGCCTTCTTCTCTATAGCAAGGTCTTCTTGGCTCCTTGTAACCGTCGAGAGTGCTGCAGCACTCAGACCCAGAGCCTCTTTTAAGTTTGCATTCGTGCTCACACCAATAAATGTTTGATCCAGCGGTACAGGTCGGTACGTTGAGTCGAAAAAGAATAGCCCTCCCTTACCGCCATTAGTAGCTGCATTTTGCATGCGGACATCTCCACTGGGAACGTACACACGCAGAAATGACGCGACATCGACGTAGTTAGGTAGAGTAGCTGAAAGTCCAACAATACGAATCATGCTCTGCGTACTCTCCACGCGACGCAGCGTACGAGCTACAATCGTCTCAATAACAGGGCCACGTTCATCCGCAAGCAAATGCACTTCATCAATAATCAGAAGCTTCACCTGGCTAAGTAGCGATTGCTGGGTACTAGACTTGCGCGTAATGACGTCCCACTTTTCGGGCGTTGTCACGATCACATGAGTCTCTTCAATTTCTTTCTTCGTCAGCTGCATATCACCGGTAAGTTCACGTACTTTCAACTTTAAAGCATGTAGCCTTTGACCAAACTTTGTGACTACTTCTTGCGCCAAAGCCTTCATGGGAGCCACGTAGATTATCTTCATATTGGCCACTCCTTGACTAATAGACTGGTCTTGATGGCGATTAAGCTGGGTTTTTAACTCTTGTAGGATAGCAAGCATAGCTACGTTAGTTTTACCAGCACCCGTGGGGGCACACACCAACAAGTTCTGATTCGAGTTGTATGCCGCATCAAAAAGTTTGGACTGCAGTCGATTGAGTTCCGTGATCCCATGAAACGCAGTTTGCGCAAAGCTATCGAGGCTCAAGATTGCCACGAGCTTTTCTTCTCTATCCAGTGCCTTTTTAGCATGAGCAGGGATGAACACGTGCTCGTAGCCTTTATAGTGTGTCCTCTTGGTATTCGATGGCAGTGTAAGAGCTCCTGCTGCCATCAATTGACCCGCTGCAGCATTCGAATCATATCCTCCTTGCAATTCTCCAAACTCACGCTGTACTAGCGACGAGGACTGTAACCTTCGTTCTTCTTCCGCATACTCTCTCTGTAGTCTCAGCACTTCAGGATCGTATCCTGCCGCTTCCAACCAGTTCATTTCTTCTTTTTCCTCGCCGTTGTTTTGTCGATTGATCCTCCGTTGAGCCTTCCGTTGTTGCCGTTGAAATTGCTGCTCTGCTTCTGTCTGGATACTAAACGCCGTCGCTCTCATTCCTGTACTTGCACAATCTGCAAACTTCTCAGCCATCTCCAGCATCTTCTGTGCCTCATGTAACTTCTTCTTCGTAATCAATGAATCTCCTAATTCCTTCTTATGTTGCACTGCAAATGCAATAAGATCCATGCCTTCGACCCCCACAAGTCCGAATAGCTGAGCCTGTATGATGTCAGCATCGCCGTGACTGTCTTGCACTATCTGCCGTACCGAGTCGGCCAGCTCCAGTGTCGTCAAGAAGCAATTCTCACTATTAGCAGTCGTTTGCTTGGCACAGGCTGTCAGTAGCAGCTCTACGGCATTTTCCTTGGTCTTAATGGGCTTAAATTCCTTGGATTTGTGTCTTTTCGAAGTCACCACGGCATTTACAGCGCCCGCTTTCGCTTCACGTTCATTGGCTGTACGTAACATATCATGTTCTACTTGCAGCACCTTTAGTAGGTCATAAGGATGCACGGGGAGCGAGCTTTCTACCATTTTGTCTGAACATTGGAATGGATCTTGGAATATTCGGCTTTGATTGACTGTAGCGTTGTCGATAGAGGGCGGTGAGAGCTGCGGAGACTTGCAAAATGTTGTATTTTGACTGGCAGAGATGACTGGACTAGAGGGAACTGGGAAGGCAGCGCGTAAAACCGACAGGAATGAAGTCATGGTCACGTCCTCGACGTATCAACTGATCTTTTGACTGCTAAGAATTGATGCAGGGACTTGTATTGAGGTTGGGTAGAGTAAGATCGATATGGCTACATTTGTGATGTATTATGAAATAGAAATCAGGTGTATAAAGCCCTAAGAAAGTTGTATATGACCGAAAAACGACATGTCAGAGTCAATGCCCATCGTGTGCCTTATAATGCGTGGGTATGAACGTAGAAAAGCGAATATTTGCTGTTCAGTTGGTCGAAGATTCGGCGCGATGTTTCGATTAGCGTCATCCGTTTTGATAGGAGGCAGAGCAGCTACTTGGCAAGATGAGTGGTGCGGATAGCTTTGGAGAACACAGCAGGTAGAAGAGAAGACATCAAGTTTGAATACGGAAATACTATTGTCCATCCACTGCCTACTACTGCCACACCTACAGATTATGAGCCCAATGGCAGGAGCTACCGAAGCGACTGCCAAGACACCAGGCGAGGTCGCACGAGCTGAGCCAGGGCTGTGTGCGTGACTGAGAGGTTTCTACTGCGCAGCTCGCCAGCGCGTGTTCCGTCCCTGGTCTCCGCGCTCGCAGTTGTAGATTTCCTGCCCGCTCGCGAAAGGAGCGAGATGTCTGACGATGAATTTCGCGGCCCTGGCCGCCATGACCGATTAATCTGTCAAAGCTAGAGTTTTTACAAAGCGTTCGCGACGAGAACGAGCGGATGCTTGGCACGGTTAAGAGCGGTATGTTCGCCTCAGAGCGCTTGGAGCGTACATGCGCGGCCAACAAATGACGATCGACGCGCTCGGCTCGCCCGAGCAGAAGCCAGAGGTCCCGAAGACGCGCGGACGCAGGACGACGCTGGATAGTCGATGTTTGAATTGTTGACACTACGCGTGAGCAAGTGCCACCTCAGCAACGCGCGCCAAATCGTGCAGCGTCTCCCCCTCCCGCGCCTCGCCCGGATGATGCGGCTCCTGTGACGTTCACCGCGGTAGGAAGCTTATACTAAGGGATGCCTAGCGCGAGTAGCACAAGATGTCGACCAGGAAGTTTGGACCGAAGAGTCCAAGGATCTCGACAGCGCTTCTACGACTGGGGTGTACCTTTCTGTACGCAGTGAACCTCGCAAAGGCGTCATGCGGCTTCGCGTGGACGGAAAACGTCAAGATCGACCCCCTCGGCCACTTCCTGGTCCGAAAATACTACCACAAACAGGTATATGCTTGGTGGGTCCAGCAGACGACGCTCGAGCACGTGATGACGCAGCTTTACGCGACCTTCTAGACGACGATCACAGCAAGCCAGGCAATGAAGCTGTTCATGCAGAAGAAGGACGCGAAGCGTACCTAGGCCAAACACTTCCTGTACATGGTCGCATCAGCGACGCTCGCGGTGGCGCAGACTCGCTTGTGATCAACAACATAGTTCACCACGAGTTGCCAGAGCTGATAAACGTTATTCACGCAAAGTACGACTCAACGAGAGTCGACTACTTGCGGCACACGGAGGAACTCGTGCTTCACTTAGTCGATTGAGCTCGGAAGTGGCGCAGTCGGACGCGAAGTAGCTGCGGCTCACGTCGAAGCGAAGCGCCTGAACTCGCGGACGTGTTTCCGGTGCGGCAGGACGGGACACGTCGTAGCTAAATGCAAGGAGAAGGTCGTGCACGACGACGAAGTGAGCGACACGAATGGCGGGAGCCACATGGTGCTTGCACTGACTGAAAAAGACACCCGGAGGTCACACGAAACAGCGCAAGGGCAAAAAGAAGAAGAGCTCGCGCATAAAAAGATCTGATGCGAGAGGCACGGACCATAAGACGTCGGTGCAGGCGGCGCGATCGGCTTTGTGCTCGCAGCGAACGACGCTGTCGGTATCGAAAGAGGCGGCTGGATCCTCAATAGCGGAGTGAGTCGGCATCTCGTGAGCGACGAGTCACTGCTTTGCAACTTCACAGCTTGCAGCCATCAAGTTGCCATGTTCAACGGAAAGACGATGCGATTGACGCGCACCGGTAGCGTGCATATCAAGGTCATCTCGCGCGGTGTTAAGGCGACGGTGACACCCACGGAAGTGTAGTTTGCGCTGTGTCTGGCAAAGATTTTGTGTCCTCCAGAAAATAGAAAGCAAAGGCTTCGCTCTCTTGTACGACGGCGACAAGCGCGCTCTGGCTCGACGGAGCGACTGTGTATTTGCGTTTGACGTCGTGATTAACCATCAACGTGCTGTACGTCAAAACGAGGGCGACGTGAGGGAAGCACTGAGCTGACGACGTGATCATGGCTGCAATCGAGGCGCACGCGGTGGAATCGGATGCAGTTGAGGTGCAAGAATGCACGCTTTTACACTTCCACCTGCGACTTGGTCACCTTGTGTACGGCACAATCGAGCGAATGGACCGTGACCCCGCATCCGGCATCCGACTGACCAGCAACAAGCGCATGGCATGTGTGTCGTGCCTCGAGGGAAAGCAGACGCGCAACGCACAGCCGCAGCGGAACAGCGGCGCCACCTCGCTCATCGACAGGATTGGCGGCGTCATCTTTTCAGACCTCAAGTGACCGATAACGCCGCGGGATCGACTCAGCAATCGATACCTGGTCAACATTGTCGACCACACTAACTGCCGTGTGTATCTCGCGCACACGAAGGATGCGGCGGCAAAATAGTTCGAGAGCTTCCTCGTCCACTTCGAAAAGCTCTTCGGCTTCAAGATCCACGTGTTGCGCACAGATCGGGGCGGTGAGTATTCCGCGCGGACCTTTTTGCAAGCGGACAGGCGTCGCGCGGCAGATCAGCGAGGCGAGAAACCAGGCTTTGAACGGCAAGGCCGAGAGTATGCAAAGGACGGTGTTGAACCTCGCGCACAGCATGAGCTCGCGTGTGCGCTGCCACTGCAGTACCGGGGCGACGCGGTTCTGTGGTGGAGTGGGTTCTTAAAATTGTATGATGAGACCCCAAATCACTCACTGTGCCGGACTGCCGACTGTCGGAGGGGGTACCCCGATGCCACGCATGGACCTTGTGTACCCGTCGGCTGTCGAGTTGCACTCTTCGGAAGACTTGGTGAGGATATAGACGTCTGCCTTGAGGGAGGTAGACCCGGGGGTACTCTAGTGGATATGCTTCACTCGGTGAGCCGGTAGGTGGCCACTCGATCGACCTTGTCGAGAGTGGGCTTAGAGCCAAATTCTTCAGGTAGCTTGTCGTCCCTGGCCTTTTCCTTCTTGTTTGAGGGGTATGAACCACCTGACCTTTACTTTGCTCCCGGACCGTGAGGTGAGAGAGACCGCTTCCGATAGCGAGTATGGGGGGTTTTGCTACTCGAGCGAGCTCACAGGCCAAATATATCCTGGAGCTCTATTCGCACTTGAACTTCGCTACACAACTGTCTTCAACGGGGGGCCAAGATATATCCCTTCCTGGGACAGGTGAGTAGCTTAAAACAAGTTCTTTAGGACGACGAAGTCGTGCCACGTGGGGTTCACCTCGCACTTGAGTCTAAACCCACGATTGTCTTCAACGTAATCCTTGACTTTGTATAATTCCATGATTACTTCTAATCCTTTCCCCGGAACAAGCGTGTGGCCAGACTCGAGTTCGTTTAAAGCGCGACGAAGACTTGCCAAGTAGATCGCAAATTGAATAGTATTAATACAGTCCTATCCTTTAACTCCTTTACTCTATCCTTGCCTAAAGCTCTGATTCCTTGCGTCTACTGGTCTGATCCTTGTGTTAACTGGTCAGGAGTGGCTGAACCCCGAGGGGCCGAGGTCTACCGACGAGGGACCCAGGTCTACCAACGACGACCAACGAGGGACCGGGTCGACCAATGAGGGCTCAGGTCTACTGACGTCAGACCGGGTCTACCGACGAGGGACCCAGATCTACCAACGAGGGACCCAGATCTACCAACGAGGGACCGAGTCGACCGACGAGGGGCTGAGGTCGACCGACGAGGGACCCAGGTCTACCAACGAGGGACCGGGTCGACCAATGAAGGACCGTGGTCAACTCCCTTCGGTACCGGTTAACCAAACCCTGATACTGATTTTCTTTCGTGGGTCCTGCAGATTTACTCCGCCAACGGTCGCTCCCCTCGAGGCCCCTGTCTCTCTGGTCTCTTTTCCCTGATACACGGTCTATACCCCGAATCCAACTGTATTCTGGGGTCTCCATATCGCAAAACAAGCAATTCATCACAGTTTAATATGCCGTGCACATCTTAAAATCGGAGTCTGACGCGGATGAACGCGAAAAGAGCGTCACCGATCAAGGTGCTGGCCGCGCCTTAATCGGTGACGCTCTTTTAAGTGCCGGATCTGCACGAAATCGTCGTCTTCGGGTCGCCATGCAGCTTGTATTACAACTAGCGCAAAAATTACCTGCTTTAGCGGTTGCAGCGCGATATGATCGTCGGCTTCAGTGAGAAGATAAAGGGCTTCAAGGTCCTTCTTTCGAGCTAGAATAAGGTGGTCGTGACGCAACTAGTCGAGAACATCGACACGCTATCCGACTCGCAGAACGCGCAACTCCAGCGCGCGATGGACGCGGACGAACAAATGGACGACTTCGGAGAGCCAGTGTGTAGCGACTGCAGCGACAGCTGAGAGAGCGCTGCGGTTTGGAAGACAAGCGCGAAGCCGTGGACACGGTTTGCGCGCGAATCTTGTGGCGTATCGAAGCGAGCGCAAGCAGCTGATCGACAGGGGAATAAAGCTGGAGGTGGCGAAGTGGTGAGCGCAGCTTGTAAACGCGATCACTATACTATGGCGAAGCGATGCGCAGTGGTAAGCACGACGGATAGAAGAAGGCGATGGAGGATTAGATCGCCGCGCTTCAGTAAAATGACGTGTGGACAGTGGTTAAAGCGCGCGCCTATGGGCTAATGCTCTGCACACCCAGTGGGTCTACAAGATCAAGACGGACGCGCGTGGCAATCTCGAGCGACTGAAGGCGCGTCAGGTCTCCTGTGGAAACGAGCAGGTGCTCGGCGTCGACTACACGCTCACTTTCGCCGCTGTGATGAATCTGTCGATAATTAAAGTGATCCTGGCGCTTGCTGATACGTGGGGTGTGCCTGTAAAGCACGGCGACATCGCTTAGCGCGTATGTGAAGGCTCACAAGGAGACTCATCTGCGGACCTTCCTGTAGCTACCGCGCGGGATGAGCGTGTCGGTGGAAACGCTGAGCGCGAACGATCTTTTGCTGGAGCTTCGTAAGAGCCTGAATGGTCTCCAGCAGACAGGTAGGCTATGAAGCCAGCTGCTGTATGCCAAGCTGTCTGATGTGTTGATATTTGCATTGACACAGCAGTCAATTGGTCCTGATCATTTTGGCGCATTGGACTAACAACAGATTATGAGCCCAACTGACGCGAGTTCGATTTTCACCGAGTGCACACAGCTTGTCTTGCTGGAAAAAAATGGCAAAAAGGTAGCCAATCAGGAGAAACCAAAAGGGGATGAATGCAATTAATAGGGTGTCAATTGAGGGGGAGTGTTGAAATCTGCATTGACACACTAGTCAATTGGTCTGACCATTTAGGCAAGGTAGATTAACAGCATGACGCTGGTCTCGCGCGCTGCGAAATCGACATACTGGAAGCGAGACGGCGAAGATCTGATCGTTGTTGGTGTCTATGAAGACGATCTCTTCGCCACTGCGACGAGAACGGCAGCAGTCGTAAGGACCTTTGACAGCTTGGCGTCGCTCTCAATCAAGAACCTCGGATGTGTGAGTAAATAATCTTGGATGCGCGTAGAGCTTTACAAAGAAGGCGAATACAAACTGGATCAAGAGGAGGCGATAGGTGATCTCCTGCGCAAAAATGGGCTGGCCGACGTAAGCCCGATGCGTGCGCCAATCGGCGATGAACGCTATGAGGTAGAAGCGAGCGACGCCGAATTCCTGTAGTCGTCAAGCGCGCGGGCGGGACCTCTGTGCGCGAGTTTCAATTGCTGGTCGGATCGATCCTCTGGGTGGCACGTTAGACGCGCCCGGGCATCGCATTCGCGGTCCATAAGGCAACGCGGCAGACGCACGCATCACGTTTGCTGGACTGGAAACTGGCAAAGCGAATCGCGCGCTACCGGAAAGGAACAGCTGCGATGATAATTTCGATGGCGTCAGCTCTCGACAGCGGGGCGCAGCTACAACTCGAGGAGTTTAGCGATGCTGACTTCTCTGCCGACAAGGTGGACAGAAAATTAGTGGCGGGCGGAGTGGTGCATGGCAGTCAGCTGGAACGCGCGCAAACAGGGCAGCGTGCCGCTGTCCACGATAAGCGCTGAGTTCGTCACCGCGAGCGAGGTCGCGCAAACAGGGCAGCGTGTCGCTGTCCACGATAAACGCTGAGTTCGTCATCGCGATCGAGGTCGCGCGCGAGATTCTTGGGCTGCGCAAGATGCTGCGCGGGGTGGGCATCGAGCCAGCGTTGCTCGAGTAGTCGTCGCTCAAGACAAAGCACGTCGATGTGCGGCAAAAGTTCCTGTGCGACTTTTCTCGGCGCGAGATCATCGGCGCGAGCTTCGTCCGGTCGGTGGAGATGCTGGCCGACTTGATGACAAAGGCGTTGGATGCGACTAAGCGCGCCGTCATGCGCAACCTCTTGTGCGTCAGCTGAAGGCGTTCAAGGGCGCTTAAGGTTGGAGGAGAGAGGGAGAGAGAGAAAGAAACCGAGGAAAAGAAAAAAATGGAGACGCCTTCGAGGAGGAGTGTAGGAAAGCGAGGAATTTGCTGTTCGGTTGGTCTAACATTCGTCGCGAGGTTTCGATTAGCGTCATCTGTTTTGATAGGAGGCAGAGCAGCTGCTTCACAAGGTAAGTGGTGTGTTGAAAACTTACACGCCTGACAAAAAGACTTTACTTACGGACGCGTGCCAGACGCGTTTCGGACTGCCGCCGCGGGCCTCCTCAGTGGCTTACTGATCGCAAAGAGATCCTCCTCAGTGCATCGGCCTCTGCCGCTGCCACACAATTTACCTATGCATCGGACATTCTAGAACTACTTCAAAATCGACTATTCTAGAACTACCTAGCAGACTTTACTGGCGTACACCGACTAGATACGAAGTTTTACTTTCCAACATTATGTGGATAGCTTTAAAGAACACAACATATAAAAGAGAAGATATGAAGTTTAAATGCAGAATCCTATTGTCCACATACTGCCTACTACTGCCACACGCATAAAGCCTACAGTGAAGCCACTTTTGCACGCACCCCCAATCAAAAGGTCTTCACATATCGCGTCGTGCGCGCTTCACATCCGTCAACATGCACGGTAACAAAGAACTCGAGCGAACGACGTCACTTGTGATTCAGAAGAGACATGGCCATCCTGACCAACATGCAATGTCGGTATGCGATGGAATGCTATACCGACAAGTATCTCAGTCCCCCTTTGGAGATACATTTTTAACATTGCAGCTTTAGCATAAGTGCAAGCAGCTCAATGTAGCTGCACCTTGTGCATCCTTCGATTCTGTTTACGGTCCTGCTGTGAGCGACTGCATTATTGTAGTAGGTTTGTTGCGAAGTAATGAACATGGCGCAACACATGTGTAACGCGCAGCTGTTGAACATCGCATGGGCGTTTGTAAGCTCTGCGGCAAAACAAGGCACTCTCAAACATACCGTATGTAATGCTTGATGTGCCTTAAGCCGTGATGCTTTCGCGCATGTATATAGTCCATTTCTTAGATTAAAGAGCACTCTCGATTATGCTCTAGGCCATCGACTTAATGATGACATCAATCGGCGGTTGTACCGCATTGTTCGACTTGTTGTTGATTCACTCACAATGCTTCAGGTGTCTGTGATTCTTGACGTAGAAAGTGAGTGGTTCCCTAGATCCCCGGACTTGACCTGCTTTGCGACGACATTGAACAAGTCGCCCATGGCATGTACTTGTTCTCACTGCAAAATCGCCGTAGCCGCGCTCGTGTCCGGTACGAAACCAACCTTGTGCTGGATTCACTTATACTGTCGAGCTATAAGATCCCCTTTACACTCATTACTTAGCGAGAACTACTTTGCTCTTTCAAGCGATTCTTATAGTCTTCGCACTCGTCGTGGTGCTGCCAATGTCCATTTACTTTAGTTGTTTCAATGCAAAACCATCAACATTCGTTTAGGCCTACGGCATGCAGTGGTCGCCGTATATCCGAGGGGTGCATTGTCAAACTCCATGTTCACGCCAGGCGAACGAGCTTTATCATACGCGAATTTACCAAGACCTTTTGAGCATCTTATCGAATGCAGTGAAGTTCTGTAAGAAGTGTCGGTAGTGATATCGCAATGTCGCATTCTTCTTTTTTGCCGTTCCATTCAGGTACCGTCTGAGTTTGTCCCAACAGGTTTTGTGAGGCCAGTCTTCCCACGTCGCAAATCATGATCACGGGCTCATTGTTGTATACATCAGTACTAAATGTATCATCCAGCACGCAGACACGCACCTCTTTAACGATGTGGACAGACGTAGGTTGACCCTCAGGCCAGATACTGTCAACTTCTGCTAGCATGGAAATAGTTGATGCTCGATATAGTCGCATCAAGTCCAGGGCTTTGCCATTGTTGTTACTACAGTTGATCAAGGCTTACAGCACATACCATTAGCTTCCCAATTAGTGAGACCTTGTGGTCCATGTCGCGGTAGCAGCTGGAAACCAACGAAGTCACGACAGACATGTCCATGCAGTTGTGTTTCGATTGTGAACCACTGTAGTATACGATTGTTTGCAAAAGCACTTGTAAAGCTTTCGATGGCAAGTTTTGCCATAGAGTATAATGGCTCAGTCTGTAGCCGTCGACGCCCATCTACTTTGAGTCGCATTGGCACGCACTGTAATGGTCTTAGGACTTTGTCCGATCGATGTGCACGATAGTCAATAGCAAAACAAATCGCTCTTTATGTTTGATTCGAGCAATTCTTCATGGCACCGTCAGCAGCTGATGCATGGAAACCCGATTTGTTCAGGTGGAAAGGCCACCAGTAAAAGCTTCAGCTCGTGCGAGAGAAGGGAGGACCATGATTAGTGAGCTCGCAAGCTTTATCTTGGCGGCGGCGACAGTGTCACGAAGACAATCCTCGTATAATCGATTGAAATCGACCAGGTCAGCTCGGGATTTTCATTGGAAAGCACAAAAAGCGAGTACTTGTAGAATGCTACGCGTGCCATGGCTTGGGGCTATCGTCCTGACGTCAAGCGGCAGCTTATCAGTGCTCGCAGACTACTCGACAGTTGAAATCTACACGGACGCCAACTGTAAATCGATTCCCTTGGTAGTAACTCTCGAAATGACCAACTCGACTTGTACGACGAATGATGCGTGCATTGCCACGGAGATTAATGACTCGGCCTACTACTTTGCACAGCGATGCGCGACCGACCGGCTCAAGTACACCTCATCGTTATTTACTGGTGCCAAGTACCTGATGATTGACGGCTTCACGAAAGAAGGCTGTCAGTCGTACGCGCGTTCAAACGTTTTCCTTGCTGCCGGAACGTGCCAACTCGCGTCATACGTCGGTACACGCAGTGGAATCGCGACACTCTTCAATGACGGATCGGCATTTATGACTATCTACAACGACGCAGCGTGCGGTACCAAGGCACAGACGTTCGACCTTAATGCCTCCACCATTCGCGATCATACGTGCTACCGGGGCTACAACAAGTTCTACACGTCGGAACACACAGGTATCGATTTGGAGAGTGCTTCTAGCGACAGCGGCTATACTAGGACTACAACCATGTCCACGAACAAATCCAAGATGGGCACGGGTGGGCTGCTCGGTATCGTGCTTGTATGTCTATTAATCGTGGTCCTTCCTGCTGTGCTGATCTATCGCAAGGTGCGCCGAACAAAGCAAAAGGAAAAGCGTGACAGCCCTCGCACTCAATCTCGCGATGTTGCATTGGCTAGTGACAAGTTCGACAACGAGGAGCGATATGCTCCAGACATGTCTCCCAAGGTTGACTCGAGAACTACTTTTAGCTCGCAAATAAAAGGATCGGCACCAGTCCGGCGTGATATTGAGCTATCCTATGATCGTTTGCGTAGTGATGGGCAGCGCGAAACTCCTGTGCACTTCCAAAAGGACGAACAGCGGAGCAGAAAATTACGGGGTGAAGAACGAAGAAGTGGAGGCAGGTGGCACAGTGAAAGTTTTCGAGGCGACTCCGTTGGTTGTAACGACCAACTGCATCCGAACGAGCTTGGCACTACCTCGATGCGCGAAAATCGGCTGCAACGGGAGGGTTTGAGTAATAACCCAGCGCACAGCAACTCGATCTATACTTACTGCCCGTCAAGTGAACGCATGCACGAAGAGAGTCAGCGGAATGAGAGACAACGCGTGGATGACCAGGTGAGAAGCCCTCAAGGATTTAGCAACATCGTAAGGAGTGGTCGGATGCAAATTGTCGATCTGCACAGTCCTCAACTCCCCAATGATCCTGTACAGAGTAATGGGGTTCATGGTACAGAAGAGCGATCTGGGCAGCCTATTCACGCTCAAAAATTGCGTGGTCCAGTTACTGCAGATAGTGTCTGTGAAGACGACGTCATTTTGTCTTCCCGAATCCCACGAGACAGCGTCTTTGTGGAAAACTTGATCGGTCGTGGAGGATATGGCGAAGTGTACAAGGGCACGTACAATGGCAGGGTGGTCGCCGTAAAAATGCTGTTCCCGGAGACGCGTAAAAGCACAAGACACGTGACCGAATTTCTGACTGAGGTTAAGATGATAGCGGTCATGGACCACCCCCGTGTCGTAGAATTTGTTGGTGTGTCGTGGAACAACTTGATGGACTTGTGTGTCGTGACCGAGTATATGGCAGGAGGTGATTTGCGGGCATGGTTGAGTGACCGCGCAGATAACAATGGTCTCGTTGGCTTTGACTATACGAAAATGAAGATTGCAATGCACGTTGCCCACGCGCTTGCCTATTTGCACTCGCTGACTCCATCAGTGATCCACCGTGACTTGAAATCAAGAAACATCTTACTGAACGAGAATCAAGACGCCAAGTTAGCTGATTTTGGTGCGTCTCGTGAGCGAGTAGACCGCACAATGACGGCAGGAGTTGGCACGTCGCTGTGGATCGCGCCGGAAGTGATGATGGGAGAACGATACGATGAGAAGGCAGACATGTTTTCATTCGGTGTAGTGCTGTCTGAATTGGATTCTCAACAGACCCCATACACTCACGTAAAGGAGAACAACCCAACAGGACGGAAGATGCCCGAAACAGCCATCCTTCAGCTAGTGGCCATAGGCAAATTACGTGTAGAATTCTCTCCGGGGGCTCACAAGGGAGTCGTGCAGCTTGGCATAGCATGTACGGTAATTGATCCAACGGAGCGGCCAACTGCAGCTGAAGCGCTTCAAAAGCTCCAGGTGATTCTTGGAAAAGAGGCCAAGAGAGTTGGCAAAGCGAAATGAAGATACAGGAAGAGAAATGTTACAACATTCTACACCGTTCCGCGTTATAAGGCTTCAGCACAGCGTGCAATAGGCCGAACCTGTTTGTATGACCTCGGCAGTGGTGAAACCAAAGCGTTTTCCAATCCTGCTACTATCGACACTCCAGAATAAAATTGATGTGTATTTGTTGTACTCGTGTGATCTTGTAAGGTGACTTTGTTCTTCTCAGTTCGAGTCTGTGCACAAGGCGTTACAAGAGATCGAGATAGCCATCAGCGCAAAGCATGGCATACACTTACCAGGATGCAGACCAATGGCACCCGTCTTGATACCTCCTGAACTTTCAAAAGGAGCGGTCAACACTCTGGTGTTGTTCATTGCTGCTTGTCGGCGCTCCGACAATTATTTTTAAACTTTGGTCAACGAAAAAAGCTCCCGCTACGGTTGACTATCAACGCACTACTCAAAAGAGCTGCTGGAGCCATACACGCAAGACGTGCGACTTGGCACGGTCTCGTTGAGATCCGAGTGAAAGTCTCGACCATCAAGTAGTTCTGGAGTACGACTAATGAGTGCTATTTCTTAAACGTAAGTGTCGATCATCGCGACACACCGCTGAGCATGTGAGCATGATTTCCATTGCTTATCAAGCTATGTCGCTTGAATTGGTACGGCTACATGCAACCTCTATAACCTTCCTGACAACTAGTGATGCCTGTATTGTATCAAGTATTCCATGTCAAGAGCGTTATAATCTTCCTTTTGTACGAAGGCTGCAACTGATGGACATCTCTAAGGACACAGACGGAGGTAACGTCCGCATGGTCCTGATACGATTCGAAGCCGCAAAAGTATCGGACTCATGGGTTTATCGGCACCAAAGTGGTAATCTTCCTCCATATTGCTGAAGGTCTCACATCTTTACGGCGTCCGACCGACCGTACGATTCGTCGTGACGTCAAGTTAAACAGCATTTTGTTAAACAAGATCCTAGGATGGACTTTGAGGTACGATGACTGCTGAGATCGACACATCGTACCCAACACCATGATTGTCGACCATAGAATTGTGTTCATTCGGCATTGTATCGACCGTAGAAATGTTTGCGCTCGACATTTGTGCTGGAAGAACGAGCTATTAGCAGTTGCCGTGTGCACACGAAAGAACCTGACAGCTTATAACGGCAAAAGTTTGCAGATAATGTGGCCAGTCAATGAAATCGTACGGTCGATCTTAATGCTTGGTCATTGCCCGTTGAAGCGTTAGGTTACAGTCCGTTGATCGAAAAACAATCATGGTTTTGTCGCGTGGTGTTATCGCATGATATTGAGGCGAAGAAGAGAGCCAACCGGATCTACAGATCCAGCTCATTTCGTCGTGACGTTGAAAGTTTTGAAGCGATACCAGAGTCTAATCCTGCTTTGTATGTTTACATGGAGCCAACCGATCTGGGTGTGGATACGAATTAAGGGCATTGTGCCCAGGAGAGGCTTGAATGATTTCGATAAATGCTCAGTCATGCAATCATCTCAGTATGGTAAGCAAATTGCCCCGCTTGAGTTACTACCATCAACCCCCTTAACCAAGATTTGGTTTCAGTCGACATATCTAATGCCATTGTTTCGACACGCAGTGATGAGCAAGTGAAGCGTGGAAATCACAAGAAAACTACTGCGGCACTCGAAACTCCATCGACATGCCAAGATGCAATGGACATCGCCTCAATCCCAGATGTGGTTCGATGCGATTAACAGGCCCATATAGAAGAAGACGAACCTCCAACAACAAAAGGCGATCGAAAAAGTAAGTGTTTGCAATCAAGCGCAATGAATATGGTGAAATTGATGCTCGACTAGTGGCGTTGGTTCTCGACAACCTTATGCGGTTGACTATTACAATACGTACTCTCCGGTCGCAAACATTTGCGTCTTCCTGGCAGTGTGTTGGTACGGCTATACAACAGTATGATGTTGATACTGCATTCACCGATGATGTTCTAGGGGAGATGATGTGTATATTTACACGCCTCAAGGTGTCGTACGTGCAACGAAATCAAGTTTTGAAACTACATCGAAGCTTACCACGAACGAAAACAAGCTCTTGCAACGTGGTTCCAAACGATTTCGAGTGTTTTGAACAACATCAGGTTTTCTCGCATGTGTTTCAGATCCGTGCGTCAGGATAACAATTTTTTATGAGTGTCCTTCACTTCATGTGAGTATCGTAGAAACATGCATCGAAACTTTGAGCACCACAAATTCACATGTGCGATAGATCTAACTGAATTTCCCAAACATCCTTTAATCAAAGCCTTGGTTGGCTAAGAAGCGCCTGTAACTCGGTTCGTCACATATATTGCAATATTCATAGCTCTCGTTCACCACTTCGTCTCCACTTGCATATGATTTAACATTAACCTTGCACGTTTGCAAGCGGTCAGTACGGGTGGAACTATCTAATCTCTAGCAAAGACAATTGATTTGAGACACCATTGTCAGGCAGCAGTCGGAACCCGACAGGAGACATATCCAGGAGTAGCTTTAGATTTTTTAGAAGCAATGGATAGTCTAGTACGTAATGATGTCTTTTATGCAGCAGGAAGTCCATTCCAAGTGTAGCATTTGCCTAAACGACTTGACGATCGTTGTGACAGTCAGGTGTATGTGTCTATCCATATGAATTCTGACTTGATGGGCTTTCTTGGCGCGTTTTGCAAGGGACTTGTGGTACTTTGTACAGTGAGGTTGGAGGATGCTGAGGTTCTGTACATCCGGCATGTTTTCCCGGATGGACTGAAGCGAGCTGCACTGTACAAGAGGTTGAACGCTTTAACAAAAGACAACAATTTCTTGTGTCCGAGCAGTAAGACGAAGACACGGTGGGGTACTATCGGTCTTTGTTTTCCCAGTCTCACTTCTACCTTTTGAACTTACAATGGTTGAGTATTCACTCGCCTCATTGAAGAATGACAATGTACGTCCTTGTAGGCTTGACAATACCAAACCTTGGCTGTGAGATATCTAACACGAATTCAATGTGCTTGGTGTAATTGGACAGGGTGAAGTACTTAGCACTGTGAAGAACAACAAGGACCCTGTGGATGATTCCGGAACGGAGAACGACAAACCGGCAGTATATCCAACGACTACGGGCAATTCGTATAATAACAATTGGTTCAACTTGACGACTACTTCGCCGGCTAGCACGTCTAATTTGACCCCACCGCCGGCAGCTATAGACAATGCTTCAGCGTACAAGTCGGTCATATCCGTTTCGGCATCCAATAACACCAGTTCAATGGGCGGAAGCGCCATCGCAGGAATTGTGGTTGGTGTAGCGTGCCTCGTGTTCATTGTTGCTGCATTTGTGACTATGAAGCGGAAGCGTGCGGCGAGTCAGCACTTTAACATGAACAAACTATCGTCAGCATTCGAACAATCTCGAGCCCTGCATCTTACTTCGTCCAAATTAGCACCTCCTTCGGGGGTATTTGAACGATTCAACAGCGGTCGCAACGTGACTGAAGACCTTCACATGAGTAACAGCTTCAAGCTCACGGATGTGGATGTATTCACAAGGCAGCAAATGAGCATAGGTGGCATTTGGGACGACCCAGTACTTGTTGCTGCTCGAATTCCTTACAAGAAAGTCCAAATTCAGGAACTTATTGCTCGCGGCGGCTTTGGTCAAGTCTTTCTAGCGGCGTACAATGGCCAGACTGTGGCTGTGAAGACGTTGCTACCAGAGACGGCCGATGATATGGACGAGGTCAATGCACTGTTTGCAGAAGCTAAAGTCATGGCAACGCTGGAGCATCCTTGCATTATCAACTTCATTGGAATTGCTTGGGAATCTTTCAGTTCTATTTGCTGCGTGACGGAGTATATGGTTGGTGGCGATCTGCGTGCTCTACTAAACCACTTTTTGATGAATAAGACGCGACCTCAAGGCTTCGACCATGACAAGGTTAAGATCGCAAGTGATATTGTACACGGCTTGACGTATCTCCACTCGATGGAGCCGAATATCCTTCACCGCGACCTCAAATCTCGAAACGTGCTGCTGAATTCGCAGCTAAACGCGAAGCTCACGGACTTTGGCGTATCTCGAGAGCGCTCAGACGGAATGATGACGAACGCAGTCGGAACTTCCCTCTGGATGGCGCCCGAAGTTATGCTGGGAAGCCATTACGACGGCAAAGCTGACGTCTTTTCTTTTGGCATCTTGCTGAGTGAACTTGACACGCACTTGATGCCGTACGCTAACGTCCGAAACGCCAGTGGACGCAAACCTTCAGAGACTACCATCTTGCGAAAAGTGGCTGCCGGTAAACTTCAGGTCGAGTTCTCGCGTGCTTGTCTACCGGAGCTATTGGAACTAGCTAAAGCTTGCATTTCCGTGAACCCCAAGGACCGCCCGACAGCTAGGGACGCGCTAACAAGACTGGAAACTGCACTTACGTCCTTTGAAGCGGAAGAGGTGGCGTTGTAATGCTAACACACTCGAGCCATTTATATATCTACAAGACACTGAGGAGGATAGCACTCCCCAAACACTTTTGCTGAGGTTATGCATATGTGGCAAAAGATGAGCTTTGTGATCCTAGCACCCTTGGTCAAAGAATTCTTGGATGATTCTGCTAGACAACCAGTCCTACCCTAGTAGTTATGGCAATCATCATCACTATTTGTAGAGTCGTTCATGAGGTACCTCAACAACCTTTTGCAGCCGTCCATAAGGCCTCAATCAACTAATCGAGATTGCTTCGTTCTCGCCAGTAGCATGCATGATTGTCGACCAACGTATCATTGTACAGTGGCGTAACGACAACAGGACACATCAAAAGAAGATCGTCTTGTTGGTGGTAGATAGAGATCACATCAAGTGTATTGTCCTGAAATGAACAAGTGGCGTGTAGTGCTCAGCGTAAGCAATTGAAGTGAAACTCGTTCATGAAAGCACGTGAAGTGAAGCTTTGCAATCCTCTTCGCCACGCTGGAAAACACGTTTCAAACGGGGTTGTTACAACTAATGCCTTTGCTTCCAAGTTATATTACCTTGACATTGATGGTCAATAGATGCAGAAACTCTTCTATAAGGTTCAGAGTCTTGCAGTTAGACTTCCTTGGCAAGAATTTGCTCTAGCCTACACTGTGCTTCAGCCGCAGTAGGTCGGTTTTTCGGGTCAAGTGAAACACAAGCCAGTCCTAATTCGACCATTGACTGAGGACACGCTTCAGAAAAGTGAACGCACAATTCGCCAGCAGCCACCATTTGCAAGATCGCCGCGTTCGAGAGCTTGCGTTCCTTGGATGAACAAGACAAGGTCGTGTTACTCTTTGATAAAGCGTATGGCAAAACGTGAGAGTCGAGTTCCGACAGCACGACGCCGAACGAAAACATATCTGCCTTTTCATCGTAACGCTCGCCCATCATAATCTCGGGCGCCATCCAGAAAGACGTTCCAATGCCTCCTGTCATGGTCGCATCAATACGTTCCCTAGATATCCCAAAATCTGTCACTTTCGCGTCCACCGCTTCGTCCAGCAAGATGTTCTTCGACTTTAAGTCACGGTGGATCACTGAAGGACTGCATGAGTGTAGGTATGTTAACGCGATCGAAACGTGAAGTGCAATCTTGACCTTTGCATGATCGAAGCCAACAGGATATTTCTGGTTGTCAAACTCAGTTATGAGAGCTTTCAAGTCTCCACCAGCCATGTACTCACAAACAGCGCAAATATCGAGAAGCTGGTCCCAAGCAACTCCAATGAACGATACGATACGAGGGTGGTCGAGACTTGCCATCAACTTAATCTCTGACAGAAAAGCGTTCACCTGAGACATCGTTTTCTTCTTTTCAGGAAGCAGCATCTTGACAGCAACTTGTTTGCCATGGTAGCTGCCCATATAGACCTCTCCATATCCACCTCGGTTAATAAGTTCTACTACCTTCACTTCCGCACGAGGAATACGAGCTGCAATGATAACGTCGTCGTCCCAAGTATGCGAGTCAAGTTGACAAATGTCCGAGTTTGTAGTCGTCGCGTAGCTACGGTGCTTCGTCGGACTAAATTGCATCTCATAGGCATCTCCGTTTGCCAGGCGAAATCCCTGAATCGATTCGTCTTGATTCAGTCTGCGCTGTAGCTGTCGTATTCTGTACACAAGGACGACGACAAGAACCAGCACGAGTAGAACTCCACCGATAATTCCTGCAATGGCACCGCCACTAAGTCTGGAGCTACCGTCATTTAGATTGCCATTCGTAGCTGCATCTACCGAGCGCAAGTAGTATTTCCTGTCGTCCAAACATGTATGGCTCGAGACATCGTCTTTGGTGATCAAGAACGAGACGGAAGGAATAGTGCACGATCCGTCAAGGTAGTACGTCAATTGTGCAGACCCGTTCGAGAAGAGCGTAGCAATGACACTTTTGCCATCGACATCAGCAACTTCACACACCCCAGAGGCAGTAAACGCTTTCGATCCGATGTACGTGTTGCAGTCCTCTCCCTTGTATAGATCCATGAGCAAGTAGTCGGTATCTTCATAGACACGTTTCGTGTGTTCGTAAACGTCCTCGGACGGACAACTAGTTGCAGTGTAGTAAGTATTACCAGCAATGGTCGCCAACATGCAGTCCGAGGTTGAACATGTTCCAGTCGAGATGATAGTCAACGAAACGACCGATTTACACGACGAGTCCGAGTAAACTTCTATCGATTGTATCGACGTCATTTCGACCTCGCTTCGACTTGTTTCACGTCGATACTATCGAGTGGCTGCGATCAACTGATGATGAGTCTGTTCCTTGGTGGCAGATGTAGAACTGCAAGACAAAAGAGAATGGACCTTAAGCACTCAAGCGCGTGATCCGTTCATGCGAAAAAAAGTCGCATGGGTTGCATAGTGAAGACTGGAGACTTCCGAAATCGGAGCATCGATGGATTTGCACTCATGCTCAAAACATGGCCACTTGTTGGCTTGGGAATGCATTACTATGTCAATCCTCGATGATGTTTTAGCCAGAACTTGACATACAGATCAAGAAGCAGTCCCACCTTCAGCATCAAGTGACATATGCTAGCAATGCAGCACTTCTACTGCTGTTTTGAGTCTGTAGACATTCAAGCGAGTGAGATAAAGTGAAGTCCGTCACCTTGATGTTCATCGCTTCGGTCAGTAAATACAAGTCGACTCAACGTCGTGGTGGATAAGTGACTGAGGATGCAAGGACAAGTGCGCTGATGCGTAAGTTACAAATGAAGGACCTTTTGTCGTGGTCATAGCGATATAAAGCTTCTGCTTTTGGACTTACTAAGTAGATCCTTCAGGTCGATACCGATGAACCCAATGCGACGCAGAGCAAACGAGCTGACATTTGATGGTATGAACACTGATGAATGGGTTGGATAGTGGCAAGATCAGTTGAAAAAATGCTTAATCAGTTCGAAAAGGTGATGCTGACTTGTGACCGATACGTCTAAGCATCAGTGAAAGTTTTGCTGACAAGTGGTGAAGTGATGATGAGGAACAATGTGGCAGTTACGAATGAACTATGAAACCTGTCGATCCCAAAGAGAATGAAACTTTGTTAATGTGATAAGCTTCAATGCACTACTTCTTTAGCTGAAGCTTTCGTGTATATTTCTTACCGGAAGGTAGTCGGTTCATCTTTCTGTAGTATTGTTCACACAGTTTCAATGACCTACTGATCAACTCCAGTCCACAGCTATCGCAAGATCTCATCGTTCTGTTTGAATACCACACGCCATCTCATTCATTTTGAAATTGAAACACTCGATCAAAGCTTTGAGGTCGGCTTAGCAAGTTGCCTTGTTCTAGACTCGCTTATTTAGTTTGGCGTTGCTGATACGGCGCTGGAGGTTCTGAAGCTGTACTTCCGGCTGTAGCACTTGTCCTGGATTCAACGTCCACAATGTTGCATGTAAGAAAAAGAAAAAAAAATGTCCCACAAACCCCGGTCTATTCATTCAGCTTTCGATAGCGGATCTTGCCATGCTCATGTCATTGATTTCAGCTTTTCATATGTAGAGTTGATAATTCCCCATGACAACAACGAACGAAAGAAATTCATCTGCACTCCGCGGTATAATCTCTTTACACTGTGGCCACGCTCTCGGAAAGTAAGTTGTAGCGCCTCCCATGGTCCGATAAAGGGCTGGCCGTACATACTCTGCATACGTGTTCGTGCCACTGCAAACATCAAATCCACCCATTATTTAGACATAAAAACCAGTCACATCGCTCAAGCCAAGCCCAATGACTGACTCACCGTTGATAGGATATGTGAAAGTACTGATAACCGCACCCAGCATGGCACCACTTATAAAGTCGTTCGTCATTATCGCTGCTGTCGTCTCTCCTCTTGGAAACAAGTCTCGTAGCGGTTCACGCAGACCAAAAAACAAAATATTGCCCGGTCCATTGCGACACAAAATAGCTGATAAACCTCGATAATGCTCTTTCACTCCAAACTTGTTAATATGAACCATGGCGTCATATGCACCCGCAATCTTTCGATTAAATTTAGGCGTTTGCAGCAACGTCTGTGCTCTCTACAACAGTAAAAAACAATAACAATATCAATAACAATTCGTACAGTTATCAACTCATAACAAGAAAGTAAAAACAAGTAAAATAAAACAAGAAAAGATGTAAAAACTCCTCCATATCATACCTCAAAGGGTGCTAGGACTGCCTCAGATGTACCTGATAGTCCGGCTGCAAGAAGATGCAATCCTGACTGTTCTCCAAACTTTTGAACGAGTAATTCATGGTAAAAATTATATAGTCCAAACATTAGAGACTTGGACACCATCGCTTGTACCAATGGAGGCTTGACTCCTCGATATAACATCATCCAGCCTTCATTATGCACATTTTCAATAGCTTTCCATGTATTTAGTCCAAGTAACTGTTATATAACATATCAGAACCGACAGGTTAATGTTAATATTGCATTTTGATGTAAAAATACATAAACTACTTTTTTATTTTGTAACTGTTTCAAATCTCTAAAACCTCATCAGGAATGAATGTACCTGTTGACGAAACATGACTTTATTTGGTGGAAAAGTGACGACGATATTAATAGCGGCTGCTGTGCCACCGCAGAAAAATTCACGTAAATGTGGATACCGAGCAAAGATACGTCCATTTTCTTCTTCTTCTTCTTTATGTTGTTGTGTCTCTTGTGAGCGTTTGTCCGACCCCGCGCCGCCCAGGAAACTCTCCATCGTGATCGCGGGCGAGGAATACCGGTATGACAGCAACGAGGTGTCTGATTGTACCATGAAAAGGGTACATATACTTGGTCGTAAATAGGTAGTGTACAGTACATGTATGTTTTTTTGAAGGTTGTAGACTGTTTTTTTTCATTCGTGATGCGTTTTTTTGGTTTGATTCAGCATTTTAAATTTCAAGAATTTAGAACGCTAAATTAAGAGTACAAAACCATATCGGCTCTTTTTGTAGCTCTATCTGATGTTATTTTAGACTCTGTACACTACTAAATGCCGAAGTTAGCATACGACGTCGTTCTCGTGAGTAGTAATGATTCTTGATAGAATTACTACATCTTCCCGGTAATTCCTTGGCAATTACACTCCACTGCGTCGCATGTTTCTTGACGGCTTTTGTCAAAAGTGCATCTTCAGCTTCTGTCCATGGCGCCTGTCACAGGACGACAGAGTCAATAAAAATTCATGTATACACTGCTGTAGAAAACCATCATCCTCCTACCGTGTTAATTGACGGGTCCAAGTGATTGACAAACCGCTCACGGCATTGATTTCCAACTCGACCTGGCAAAAACGTTGCAATCTACAGAACAATTCACTTGTTAGCAGATAAAACTCGACCTCCATCACCATTTTCATCACCTGTGTCCACTTTTTCCCAATCTCTGCGACCTTTTCCATCAACACTTGGTCTGCCATCTTTGTCCACGTTCCTCTTCCTTTGACCCCCTTGTTCTTCAGCACTCGATACCATTGTTGCAAACACTGCAAGTCTGTCCGTCCAGGCAGCTGGGATGCAAGAAACAACCAGTTTTTTGCTCCATGCTTCTCCACCAATGCCCGTAGCTTTTCCTTTTCGGCAACAGTCCATCGTTCGGGTGGTCTTCTTCTCCTCGGTCTCTTTTCAGCTGCTCGTCTAGCCATCAAGAGACAACGATTCTTAACATTCTCAGCACTTTTCCCATGAAATGCTCGAGCTATTTCCGACCATCGAGACTTCAATTGGCTCTGCAGTTGCAGCAATTTCTCGTCATCTTTAGAGCTCCACGTACTGGACACGGACGTACGCGACGGTGCCAAGTGATTCACAAACCTCTCCCGACATTGTTTTCGATCTCGTATCGAGAATTCCAATGCAATTGTACTCCAGCTCTTATCTCCTAATTGTTGCACTAATTCCTCGAGTTTCTTGTCTTCTTCCAGCGTCCAAGACGAGCATCGCGTCGTACAAACAGACGATGGAGACGTGTCACGGGACAAGCTCGTACGTGGTCTACAGACAACAAGCAATTGCCGTTCTTGCTGGCAATTGGCAAGAAGATCCCCACGTTCAATCAGGTAATCAAGGCGCTCTCGCTTTGTCACACCATTAGTCGCTACAGAGCTCGAGACGGACATCACCATTCACGAGACAGACTAGACTCATGGACTTGACACGTTTCGTCCTCGTTCGAACAACATTCGCTCGACCTTCGACTCCCATCTGTCTGTCATAAACGGTCCAGCTCCGAAATGGTTGGTGGGTATGGCTCCAAGTACGTCATCGGATGATCGAATGACACTCAGGAATTGCTAAAGGACAAGAACCATGGCTGCCAATATCTCCAAGAAGCGTAAATTCGTCGCTGATGGTGTCTTTTACGCTGAATTGAACGAACTATTACAGCGTGAATTGTACGGTGATGGCTACTCTGGTGTTGAAGTGCGTGTGACGCCCATGCGCACTGAAATCATCATCCGTGCGACTCGTACCCAGGAGGTCTTGGGGGAAAAGGGACAGCGTATTCGTGCACTCACGTCCGTTGTGCAAAAGCGTTTCAACTTTCCCGATGGAGCCGTGGAACTTTACGCTGAGCGTGTCGCCAATCGTGGTCTGTGCTCGCAAGCTCAGGCTGAATCACTCAAGTATCGTCTACTTGGCGGTCTGGCTGTGCGTCGTGCGTGTTACTCGGTCGTTCGCTTTATTATGGAAGCTGGTGCTAAAGGTGTCCAGGTTGTTGTGTCGGGCAAGTTGCGTGCTCAACGTGCCAAGGCTATGAAGTTTAATGAAGGCTACATGGTCAAGACTGGTAATGCTTCACAGGAGTACGTGGACACGGCTGTACGTCACGTATTGATGCGTCAAGGTGTTCTTGGTGTCAAGGTGTCTATCATGCTGCCGCATGACCCGACGGGTAAACAAGGTCCCAAGCGTGCACTGGATGATGTTGTCACGATCCTTGAACCAAAGGAAGAAGTCTATCGTCCGTACGTGGAACCTACGACTCCTGTAGTACCTGCTGCTGTTCCTGTAGTAGCTGTGCCCGTGGACCCCGTGTACCAACCAAGTGCTTAAAGCTAATGGTATCACATAAGGAACTTGTCCGGTAATGAAAAATAAACCTTCTTTTCCTGAAGTATATAGTTGTTGATCACCTAGCAATGGAGTTTGTTCTACATGTACTACATAGTGATCCATTGTAAAAGATACTTTCATTATAGATCGAATGGTTCGTGAAGCTTGTACGAGGTGTAAACGTCCATCTCGTGTCTGCTATTGCGCGTGGCTACCGGATGAAAGAATGACCACGAAGACGACACATGTGTTGATGCTTCAGCACAAGCACGAGGAACGACGACGTGCTGCGATCTCGTCCGTGCCAGTTCTGACACAGACACTGGAAAGTGTTACGCTCATTATCGTTGACGACGACTGTGACTGTGGCCCTGGCATGAATGAGGAGCTTGATGTCTTGCTATATGGTGGAGGCGACAGCGAGTTTGACGCAGCGATGATTTTGTTTCCTGATGAACATGCTCAAGCACTAGGAGCGACAAGTTGGTGGGTAGAGAATATTGAGAAACCGAAGCGAGTGTTGCTGCTTGTCATTGATGGTACGTGGAAGGAGGCCAAGAAGATTGCACGACGTAACAAAGAGCATTGGAAACAAGCTGCTAGAGATTGGGAGGCACGAGGGGCGAGTCTCCAGTACATTTGCCTAGACAACAAGGAGAGTGGTGATGTAGCTATTGCTCCATCGAAGCAGAGTATCTACGGTGACTTGAGAAGGCAAGGATGGCAGTCATTGTTGACGACGATACTGTGCTGGACTAATTGAGGTCTTGTCATGTTTATAGAGAACCGATGGAGGGCTGTATGTCGACGCTGGAAGCGGTGGCGTCGGCGTTGGTCGTGCTGGAGCCGAAAGAGTCTCATCAGGTCGTCCATGACTCGCTGTTGCATGCTTTTGAAGGAATGGTGTCTATCCAGAAGCAGTTCCAACAGCGGGGTCAAGTGATCAAGCTGGAACAGTACGGAGGTATCTTGAAAGCCGAAGCTATCGAGACCAAACGACTGGAGCTGCAACGTCAGCAGCTTCCAAAGAAAATCGATATCGTTACTACTGACAAGAAGATGTCGACACCTGTCCGACGCGAGTACGTCTTCTATACGAGCGAGACGGATTTCCGACACCGTCAGCAGCTCACCCAGCAGGTAAAGCACGACCTTGTCATTCCATTCTTGCATGTGTTTGAGCATCATTAATCCCGTTCCATTGAATTAGGGTGAGGTCGTCCTGTGCACTTACGACGAAGCGAGAGAGCGTTGCATTGCGTTAAACCGGGACCGAAAACGTGGCCAACGGATGGCAATGCTTCCACTCGATGCGTTTCAACAGCATCTCTCTGACAATGTCACGACGAGCAACGGTCCATTCTTCTAAGATGCAGCACCCCCTTAGGACGTGTAATGATGATCCCAGTGCTTTCAACGAAGCCGGACGTCGTCAAATGTTACGATCGATGCCACTCTACAAGTCTTGATGCCTTCCATGGAGGTCTTTCGACGTTTGACTTTGGATGAGCTCAGGGAATTCATACCGACGAGGATTCGAATCCCTTGATCATTCTCGAACGACCATGACACTGCTGCAATGTCAGTCTCTTGTGATGATCGCTTTCTTGGTATTGAATCGTAGTTCCTTCAGCTTTGCAATCAAGTCCAAGGTGGTTGCGATATACAACGACAGTGAATGCTCGACAACTCCATTGAACTTGCAAGTCTCGAATACCTCCTTGTACTGTAAGGAACAGACTTGCAGCTCGATAGCATTCGGTAACAACACGTACTACTACAATACCAGTTGTATTAGCACCGATGCTCACTCGTTCATTGCTACGGTATTCGCGGAGGACACGAGATACATCATGGTGGACCAATTCCGACATTCAAATTGCAGTCAAGACACGTACTTGCAAACTCACGCCGTCCAGCACTCAAGTGACTGTGTCCCCTTTGCAATCGACTCAATTTCAATGGCACACAATGCTGCAACTATTGCTACGATCCATACGAGAGGATCAGTGAGTATGGTCTTCTTCTCTGCACCGAATTGCAGCTTAGAACCAGTCTCGGAATCATTACCAAGCAAAAGCGAAGTCACAGAGCATACATGCTACCAAGCCAGTAAATTCTACATCAGTTCCGAGATGAGACCCTCAAACTCCAGCATCGCTGCTTCAAGTTGGTACAAGGATTCAGGATCATCTTCAAACACATTGGTAGACTCTCAATCTGTCACTAGTAGCAAACCGTCACTTGTCAGTGCCCTCATCATAGCTGCAGTGTTGTTGATACTTGGTGTCATTGGTTTCAACGTGTGGAAATGTCAATCTACTAAACACAAGTTGCAATTCTTACGATCTACTGAATCTAACGATAGTGTTGCCATGCTCGAACCTGATGATGTTGTTTTCATGTCCAAGGCAGTAAGTAATTGTCCATTTCTTCCTCAAAGTAGCAGCACGTGTTCAACAATTCGAGAACCGATCACGACGAGCCGTTCCTTTGCTCCTGTTCTTGCAAATGTTGGTTCGAGTTATCAACGATCGAGTCGCTCATTCATGCCGGGATCAAGCACAAACTTGACATTTCAAGGAACAAGAATGAATCGTCCATGGGAAGACGATTTCGTCGTGGCAGCACGAATTCCTCGTGACAAAGTGGTTGTCATTCGACTTTTGAGCCGTGGTGGCTTTGGCGTTGTTTACTCGGGACTATACTTTGGTCGACAAGTTGCAGTGAAGATGCTCTTGCCTGAAACTCGTCGTAGTATTCCACACGTTGTCGACTTGTTGGCTGAAGTCAAGATTATGGCATCGATGGAACATCCACATATCGTTGAATTCATTGGAGTAGCTTGGGACTCACTGACAAACATGTGTGTCGTGTCGGAATTTATGGCTGGAGGTGATTTGAACGCTCTGTTGAGTGACTACGATGAACAGGATCAGCCAACAGGTTTCAACAAGAACAAACTCAAGATTGCGCTGCATATTGCTCATGCACTAACGTACATGCACTCACTTGATCCTCCGATAATCCATCGTGATCTGAAATCCAAGAACGTCTTGTTGAACAAGAAGCTCGATGCAAAACTTACAGATTTTGGAACTTCCAGAGAGCGTGTCAATGAATCGATGACGGGAGGTGTTGGCACATGTTTGTGGATGGCTCCAGAAGTGATGATTGGTGATAGGTATGATGACAAGGCCGACATGTTTTCCTTTGGAGTTGTACTATCCGAGTTGGACACACATGTTTCGCCGTACTGGCATGTAAAAGACCCCAATGATTCGAATCGTCCAATGCCCGAGCCAGCTATTTTGCAAATGGTAGCTACTGGAAAGCTCCGTGTTAAGTTTTCAAACGAAGCAGTCAAAGCCGTTGCAGAGCTAGGCAATGCATGTGTCTCAGTAGACCCGCAAGCACGTCCAACAGCATCGGAGGCACTGTATAAACTTCACACGGTGTTAGCAGAAGATGTTGAAACAGCTACTCCATTTGCTAGTGAATGAATAAATACATTGACACGGGCATCCAACAACCTTTCAAACTTACCACCACCACCGGCTACTCAAGTGGTGCAACCAATCTCAACGACAGCACTCCATTGAAATGTTGTCGAATATCCTGGTTCACAAGGGTGAGGATGTGGTTAAAGCCACGCTTCAAAACGTTGGTGAGGTCGGCACAGGTGCTTGTACTAAGGCATTTACGGCGAACGAACCGGAGCATTCGCAAGGCCTGGTCAAGTGTGCGATTTTCCACCTCGATCAAAATACGCGAGTAAATGGCATCGAAAGCTGCCGATCGTGCTCTATTGTTGTCAACTGGGCGCTCATCATCACTTTCACTGTTGGAAACAGCACCTGGAAGACTCTCGACAAGTTTTGCGTACAAGTCTTCTATAGATGGCAATACGGGTGCCAGCTTCTTGTTTACAACTTGCTTCGGACTGGTGTCGGATGGAACGTTGGGTCTTGGAATAACCATTGAAGTGGGTTTGCGTTTCTTCGCGTATCGATCAATTTCGTTACGAATAGCGAATGGTAGCGAAAAGTACACTTCCGAGTCAACTTGGGACATTCGGACGTCATTCAGTGCGTCTACCTTCTTTGACTCTTCAAATGAAGCGTGGACAGCGCGCGCAAGCCGGCTGTTTGACTTTGAATCAAAAATGTTTCGTGCGGGGTGTCTTCGTCGTAGTGGTGCCTTTCCATTAGTCTTCCGTTTTGGCGGAAGCTGATGACTTGTCGGGACAGTCCTAGATGGTGCACCTCGGCCATATGAAGCCAAAATTTCTCGCTTGAGCTGCTCAGGTAACTCTTCCAGAACTCCTGTATCAATCTGCGAAAACGTTGTAGCCGTGAAATCGTTTCTATTCACGTTCCCTTCGAGCTCGTCTTTGGTTTTCCTTTCTCTTTCCTCTTGTTCACTTGCGGTTGGCACTCGCGGTGAGTGGGACGAAGGCAAGATATCTGGTGGTTGCGCACTATCAGTGAGCCAAGCCTTAAACAGTTGTCCACTTCGTTTGTTAACGCTTTGGGTATGTGAAACCAACTTTGTCGCCTGCACTCCCACTCCCCGGAGCTCTTCGCTCGGAAAATTGAATCGCCGGAGCAGCTCGATGCAGATCTTGCCAATCACAACCTGGTCGTCTGTTGCTTCAGCCAGCACATGGCTCTTGGAAAAGTTATCGCATACTCCATGACCCATGAATTTTGAAGGCTCGACGGGCGCTCCTTCTGCTCGTTTCTTTATCAGCAGTGTTACGCATTGTGTCCGCACCTTCAGGTTCCGAAGACGGTGACTCAGTTCCTCGCCCAATGCCGATAAGAATACAGTCGCGTTTTCCCAATTCTCAAACCGAATGCCAAAGTTTACGACTGCCGACACGCTCTTTCGCATCATATTCGACTCCATCGACAACGGGCGAATATCTCTACCTCGGGCGTAATTGTACAGCATTTCGCCTGGAGCTTTACCAACGGATTGTACGAGTTCGCCTTTAGTCATCGAGACTAGCTGTCGAACGTCCTCGACCCCAAGTGCTTCAAGTTTCGCTCTTGTTTTGACTCCAGCTCCAGGCAAGTCCCGTATGTTGAGTGATAGCATGAATGTTGCGGCCTGATCTGGATCACTAACCTGATAAATTCCATCTGGTTTTGCTTTCTGTGAGGACAGCTTTGCAAGAAGGATATTGAAAGACACACCCACACTTGCAGCGCATCCAGTCTGCTCGAAGATCTCTTGACGAATTGTCATTGCCATTTCCATTCCATCCGTCCCTTTTCCAAACTCAAGAAATGCTTCGTCACAGCTGACTGCCTGCACAAATGGAGTATGCGAAAAGAAAATGTCGTAGATCTGAAATGACACGCGTTGAATGGCGTCGAACTGATAGGGCAGCACCACCAAGTCAGGGCACAACTCCTTTGCAGTCTGCATGAACATTCCTGCACCGACTCCTTTAGCACGTGCCAAGTAGTTGCACGACGAAATTTCTGACGAACCAGCATTTCCCGAGTGAGCGACAGCAACAGGTACGTTTTCCAATTGTGGGCGACATCGTACTGCTACTGCCACAAAGAAGCAGTCCATGTCCACATGAAGCATCACCCGATCGTTGGACGAAGCAAGCGCTCTCGTTACCTGCCCCCCTTTATATTTTGCAAGAAACTCGGCTGCTTTTTGCTGAAACGTTGATCGCCATGTACCAATGTGGTGCAATCTCGACTTGGCAAAAAAGTGCTTGACAAACTCTGGACCATCTCTTGTTGAAATTGTTTGCAATTTATCAGGTGCGCTTGAAGTCTTTTCACATTCTTCGAGTACTGGTGATACAAGGAATGGGTCTTTCAACGCGTTCAATCCATTATTTTCACCACTAAAACCGTGACTATCCTCCTCTTCGTCACCAGTATCTGCTTCTATTGGATTCACGTCATATTTTGGCGTTAAAGCTGTTGCGTCAAGAACACTTGGAATTCCATGCACCAATTTGTTTTTCACTTCAAATGTAGAATCATTTGTCCCCAAAGGTGATGACAATGAATTGGATCCAGATAAATGAGAGATCGTGCTTGTGTCGGATCAACAAACCCTTTGGATTGGAATTGCTGCACCGGTAACAATTGTTTTTGTTCAATACTATGGACAATCCAATTAGGATGGACAAGTGGTAATGGTTTTCTTGACTTTCTACGCGTATAAGTATCCACAGAATTAATAAGGAAAATTATCACATCAATTTTTAAGCTAAGAAATAAGTTTACTTACTTAAGTAGCAGCAATTTCGACGCTGGCAGATGAGTGGCTATAATGTGCGTCACTCGATTTGTCTCGTAATGTTCAAAAGTACCACCATGCAGCAACATAAGCCGTCGAATTTCTTCTTTACTAGGGACTGTATACCCATCTACGTATACACATACACCTCGAAAAATATCCACTACTTTGCCATCCAATGATGATGCTGAGACAATGCTATCATTTTGTGCCCGCAATTTTTGAATCTTATGAGACATGTATACACTAAACTCCCCATCATGATGTTCTCCCACTCGTTTCTTACCAGGTCCATCACTTTGGCGTCCCATCATGCTACGTCGACGCTGAAGTACACCTTAAGTAATACGATGAATAAAACACATGAACTAAACAAAACACGCTCATGTCATGGGATAAAAAACGCTTTTATTTCATCCAATCACTTCCTTTCTACTGTAGTGTGAAAAGCTCATCTGTCCACTCAGAATTCTGTCATTTCAAAATTTTCCAAAACCAAAAAATACGGCCCATCCACACTGGACCACACAATTTCTATGGCTCCCGTCACAACCAGTCGTTGCGACTTGACACCGTCGTTCCTGCTACAGACTCGAAAGTCAAGTATGGAGAATTCGACTCATAGGGCGCAGATCAAAGACGACACTTTAGCGACACTTTCCATGACATTGTCCAGTCGATCACCTAATGATTACAATGAAGACAAGGAAAAATTAAGTAAAATGGCTGCAGCTGTTACGACATTATTGGAATGTATTGGCGAAGATCCAGAACGTGAAGGATTACAAAAGACGCCCATGCGAATGGCAAAAGCCATGCTTTATAATACAAAAGGATATGGTCAAAAGCTAACGGATGTTTTGAATGAAGCCGTGTTTGAAGAAGATCATGAGGAAATGGTCATTGTACGTGACATTGATTTGTATTCCATGTGTGAACATCACATGGTGCCTTTTGCAGGGAAAATTCATATTGGGTACATTCCTAATGGAAAAGTCTTGGGATTAAGTAAACTTGCACGTGTGAGTGAAATCTTTTCAAGACGTTTACAAGTTCAAGAGAGATTGACCAAACAAATTGCTACTGCTATTATGGGTGTCATTGAACCAAAAGGTGTTGCTGTTGTGATTGAAGCGACACATATGTGTATGGTCATGAGAGGAGTGGAAAAGAGTGGAGCAAGTACAGTCACGAGCTCGGTTCTTGGCGTGTTTAAGAGTGATCCACGGACGAGAAGTGAATTTATGTCACTTATTCATAGCAGGAGATGAAGAAGGTGCTGTTGATGCTTTTGAGACGAGATGAAGTAGAAGAAGAGAAGAAGAGAATGTTGCAACGGTGTATACTTGGCCGAGTTTACCAAAGGAAATATGGACGGGAGATAGATGACCAACTACTTTTGCTTTATGATGCCGAGAAGGAGACTTAGAATATACGTACACCCTTCCGACAGGTGCTTTGCTACAAATACTGGGTCTGTTTTTGTTTTCTTTTGCTTGATAAGGAGCGTGATTGAGAAAGAATGCAAGTGGAGATAGTGTTTCGATAGACTGAGCTGACGCATGCATCATGTCGAGCACTGCAACGAGCTGGAACTTGGTACATTGTTGCTGTAGTCGGAGTCCTGATAGTAGGCTTCATGTGCAGACGGCGGTACCTCATTCTGCTGCTGTTTCTCGCTGTAGCTGCTGCCTGCTCGCTGAACGTAAGCAAATGCCGATTGGACTGGCGAGGAAGAGAAAATTTACAAAACAAGCTGAATGAAGCCTTCCTTTGGTGCTCGAATCTTTTGAGTATCGGTTTGATCTCCATCCGCTGGCGATACTTGCGTGCTCCACTGAAAAGTAAGCCTCTAGTCCGATCAATCTGTCCATCAAATCGCAAAGCACCACATAACGGGACCAATACTTGGCAAGGAGGACGTTAATCAGAAGTAGCCAGATGACAGTCGCTCATGTCAAGCGTACGCCAAAAAATCGCTTGGCCTTAATCTTCTCGACACATAAGATTCGATATTCTTCCAGTCGATTACGGCGCTACTTACATAGCATGCGATCCGAGGGCTTCACCGACCGAAACTCGAGCTTTGTCTGTACGTATAACGAATACTGTTAGTAACACAATCTGCAGTAGCTATTACGTACACATGTCCGCACGAAGAGGGTATCGCCAAAGCGTTTCCATCAGCATGTACATCAGCAGAAATAGCGGCAAAACACTGGCGCGAAATGAAACCCTAGAAAAATATTGTCCGTTCATAAGCCTTATTTTAGTTGTACGCATCAAAATTGTTACGCTTTCAGGTAGAATCACGATCCACAGACGGAATGTGCTCCGAGAATCGAGCAGCCTTGGAGATCGTGATGTCAGAAAACGGTGCAGCTTGCTCCACGTCCACGTAGTCCAAAGTCTTCAGCTGTAAAATTTCGAAGAACAGCGCGGCTGCTGTTCGTCGGTCTTGGGTGTTTTTGGTAAGCTGATTGTACGTGACTTCTTCGTTGTTTTGAAGTGACTTGCGCAGCACCTTCATCACCTTCACGGTATGTGGATGCCACTTGTGCTGGGCAGCTGAAGCCTCAGTTTGGGCAGCACTATTTGCATCACTCCGAATGTCATTGACGGCGCCTAGCTCAATATCCACGTTCAAATCTTCCAAGTCCCGGTCTTCAAGCTCCAATGGTGCTCCAATGTCGTAGTCTGGGAAACCTTCGTCCAAACGTTCACTAAAGACAATCAATATCTTGTTAGCATTATTCAAGCAGTTATCAAATCTCGTACCCTGCTACAATTGCACCTACGGTTCGGGTGGGCCCATGTCAGTAAATTTGAAATGGTTTTCTTCCTCAATTTCATGCAGCATAGAACCATCGCACGATCCCATTGTCACGTCCAAGCCAGTCTGACATAGTAAAGCGGTGGTAAGATATGATTCCAACTCCGCATCTGACTTACTAAACAATAATGTACCGAGTTAGTTGAGCTCATGCGCGAATTCGCGCTCATGCGTCGAGTCAGCTCAATATCCTCGGGTTCGTTCGACTCTTTCTGCTTGGATCCGAACGGAAACTTTCGCTTTTTCATCGTGAACTTGAACATGCTCAGCAACTCTTCTGACATGTGGACCATACATGGTCGGAAAAACATGTCCGCCCCAGTCCGAAAATCGAACTCACTCTTGCTATCAGATGTCTTATTGTACACGATTTCTCGTGTGCGGGTGATATCGGAAGTATCTTCCATTCCCTGTTTCAGAAAAACTGACGTCAACTCCGTGACGCTGTCCCGAACAACTTTTCTCTTCTTCTTGGGTCGCGATTCCACTTCAACGTTAGCTAACGCAGCATCCAACGATGCACGCGTTGAGCCATTCATACTGGCATTCATGTCTACACTAATATCCAAAGTTCCACCGCTGATATCCACCGGATCTTCCAGAGGATTCTCAATCTCCATTGCATTGTCTCCAGGCATCTCAAAGGACGCATTATTGAGCTCAAAGTCCGATTGTTGTCCAACTTTATCCAATGAATTCCGATCCAATGATTTATCTCCGACATTTAGTATTCCCGAGTCATCCAGTGGTAATATCGGTCCATCAGCTTTACGTGCCACTTCAATGTCACTCACAGTACTTGTATCCAATCCAGAATTGCCAAAATTGTCATCCAGATCAAATGCTTGCCAATCTCCTCCATCTCCAACACCAAATGAATCTTCCATAGCCATTGCATCTTCTAAAAACCCAATAAAACCCAGTAAAACAATACATAAAAATTTCAACCACAAACAAAAATAACCAAAAACAAACAACGAGCCACCTACCATTTTCTGCAACACTTGATCCATTCAATGGATCTGCCAGTGTAATATCCTGATATCGTGCCATCGTCTGACTTGATGCAGCCATCCATTCATCCAATGACGGTCCCGTGATAGCTCTAACTCCACCCGAAAACAAAAAAATAACAGACATTAGTCACCAAAACAACCTCGTTTTACCCCTGACTTCACATCCAAAATCTAATATCTTGTCATACTTGATAGAATACGTCACTTCCGCTTCAAATTCGCCAAAATTTGCCACATTAATGGCATGAGATGCTGCTTGTTGAGTCGTAGCTGGTAAATCCACGACTCCAGGACGAAAAGCGAGTTTAATTTTCACCAATGCTTCACTGCAGTCCGTATACAAATATTTCACTTTCCGTGAATAAATTCGTACCACACCAAGTAATAAATGACCCGAAACACGAAGAGCCAATGGTACTTGTGGATTCACAATACTTTCAACGGAACTATGAATATCAGCAGTAAAAATCTGTTGTTTGTTTAGCTTTTTATCCCAATGAGCAGCCAGCCAAATCTTCCCAAGAGGCCCCTTCTTCGCTAGAATAATCTGGGAATAAAACATAATGCCGCTCTCTCTCTCTTTCACTCTCTTGTTGTAAAGGGGTTCTATTGGCAACTGGGAGCGCTTGATTGGCGCCAAAAACGTTTGTTTGTGCTAAGTACGATTATAAAACTTAACTGTCTTATATTAAATTAGATAATATATTGTGTTAAAGAGGTTTGATTCATCGGGGTCGTCTAAGCGAATATGAGTCAGTACTACTGACTCGTATACGCTGCTAGAATATCTTTAAAAATGGTTTCAGCTTTCGTGTCTGGATTGCAATCTGGATGGTAGTCGAGTGCTTTGACTCGAAATGCGTCTTTTAGTTGTTGTTTTGAGAATGTAATTATCTTTGATTTAGAAGAGGTTAATGTAGGGATGTCGAGGATCTTGATTGCTTGGTGAATATCTTCGTTCATTATTGAAAACTGGTAGATGTTATTGTGCTGTTGTTGGTGCTTGGTGAAAACCTTCTTTGGGTTAACATTAAACCAGTGAGAAGGGCAGGTGCTGCACGGAACATCCCAGTCATATAATAGACAACAAAACGCAAGCTGTTGTCGCTGTAGAGTTGAGTGTAAAACGACACTTGAATGCTTCGTCTTTTTATCTTGCTTGAGGAAGCATTTTAATGCAATGAATGAATCAATGGAGGTTCAGAGTCTCAGCTTCTTGTCACCAAGAATTGTAACATCAAGGAAAATAGCAAGTATAAGGTTTTACAGGAAGATGATGTCAAAGCAAGTCAACTAAACTTGAAGTTAATACGGATTTTGCCCAATAATGATCAAGCATTCCATTGACTTGTACGACCGCCAAGTTGTCGGTCCGTTGAATATGAGGTACATTTGTCTGCTAATACAGTATTAATTTTGCTAAGCTGATATGAAATTATTGAAGACTGCAGCAGTCTGGCAGCAAAAGTACAAATGGCCATGAAGTTTTGAAGTTGTAATGGAAATATCAGGTCAATTGTAATAAAGTAATAAAGTCGTAGATGTTCATTTAAAAGCATAAGTCAATGACTGGCCGCATCTGATCCTTGAGGCCATCCACAGTTGGCCACCACTGCTGTCCAAAACATACATCTTACGTGCGCTTGACCTTACTTGCCCGTGACAATAGACTTTGTTTTGACGTAGCCAAGCTTCTGGAGCTCTACATGGATATCGTCCAGCACTGCGGCATTGTCAATGGTAGCCGGTACACAGAATGGATCTGAGTCTGCAACTGCCTTGATGGTAGTGCGCATGACCTTGTCTGACCGTGTCTTGGGAAGCGCGTCTACCATACCGACATCCTTCAACCACACAAAGCTTCCCATCTCCCCACGCACGTCGCGCCACTTGCTTGATGATCTACAAACGAGAAAAACGATCAGATACTGCGCACTCAACTTCGTGTCGATCAAGCTATAGGTTGTTGCAAGCACTGTACCTCTTCTTTCGGTCAAACAATCTTTTTTTCAATCACCAATAACGCGACCGGGACATGTTTATTGAGCAAGTCGGTGACGCCAAACAGCGTTATTCAACCGGTAAGTAGATAGCAACCGACCACCTGAGTTAGTTGGGGTACACACAGATGCTGATGACACAGCAGCATACGTAGACGAAGCCTTCTTCGTCGATGTGTCCTATATCTCCAGTATGGTAATAACCTGGAAATCGCTTGAAATACTTAGCACAAAAGTCGTCTGGCTTCTGGTGCAGCGAAATCAATGCGCCTGTGTACAAGAAAGGATCGATATCATGAGTGCTAACACCCACATCTCACAACATCATTCGTATCAACATCGTGCCTGGAGGAAGAGGTAGTTTTACCACAAGCTCAGCATCCTTCTCTACATTTTCATGGTTGAATCCGTGATGTTCATTGTAAGTCGGCGTTGGCGGCCGTCAGTAGCTGGACATCCCACCCTGGCACCGGCCGAGCAACCGAGCCCACCTTGCTGCGCGGGTGGCCTTCCTCCGTCACATCATCGTTCTGCATCCCAAAGCACGGCGCAGTGATAGGCCATCCAGTTTCTGTTTGCCACCTGAGCAAGAACTGCGCTCATTTTTTTAGAAGTGGATTGAAGAATGCACTAGTTCAAACCAACAAGCCAGTGGTCGATAAGAGGTACACCAAGCTTCTTTGAAAAAAGTTGAGCGTCTTGGGGTCACCACACTCACCTGCCACGAACATCGTTCTAATCACGGTAGCCGATGCAATGTATTAGCCCGCAGAACGGAATGACAAATGTCAAGGAGGTGGTGCAATTCGTACTCACGAGTCTTTCGGATCTCGTCCTTCTTTGCCTTTAAAGGCAAACCATTCGAATCTTCTTTGCGAATCGCTCGCAGCGCAGTAGGTGCTGTAAACATGGACTTGATGTCATATTCTGTGACCAAGCGCCAATACGCGCCAGCATTAGGCGTTCCGACAGGCTTTCCTGCATACAGAACAGACCACAAACAAGAACAGCGAGTCAGCAATGTACCAATTCGTTTCAGCCATACTAAAACGAAAGTTCTACCGTGCATTCATGCAAAAGAGGACCATAGACAGCGAGAGAGTGGCCAACCGTCCAGCCCATATCCGAGACCGCAAAGAATGTATCGTCTTGGGTGATGTCGAAGATATTCGCATCGCCCTCTTCAGCGCAACCGCGTAGCCGCCATTATCTTGTACGACACCCTTCGGACGGCCCGTTGTGCCCGACGTGTACAAGATGTAGAGTGGATTCTCAGCAAGCACTAGCACTGCATTAACAGGACCATCACGTCTCTCCAGTCGACGTCACGTTCTTTTGTCATCAGGAATGGGCAAATATCGCGCTGCATCATGACGACTATGCTTGGCTTGAACGTCTAGCGCTTGAGTGCTTCATTGAGCAACAGACCGTAATCAATTATCCCCTTTGGCTCAACACCACAACTTGGCGAGATGATGAGCTTGGGCGTTGCATCAATAATGCGTGCAGCCAGTTCCAACGTGGCAAAACCGCCAAACACCACCGAATGCACAGCTTCAAGCCGCGCACACGCAAGCATCGCGACCGTCGTCTCTAGTACCACCGGCATGTAGATCATTACACGGTCACTTTTCTTGACTCCAAGCTTCTGTAGACCACCAGCAAAGACAGATACTACAAAGCACCACAACAAGAGTAGGACAAAAACTCTCCTACAGTATCTAGACAAGAAGGAAAGGTGACTTTCTTCCAGCAGTTGACTGTACGTCATCGTCGGCTTGGTGTTTGTCAATGGACAGTCATAACGTAAGGCCACGACGTTGCCTCGCCCGCTGTTCACGTGCACGTCTAGCGCATTGTAGCACGTATTCATCTCTCCCCCGACGAACCGTCTCGACAACGAGCCGTTCGTGCTGCAACCAAAGCGACACGTTCGATATAACAATGTCACGATAGAATCTTCATGCTGCTACATACGTGTCGAGTACTTTGGACCAGGGTTTAAACCATTCAATGTCGTGTGCTGCTTCCGCCCATAATTCCTCTGGCTTGTCGAGGCTACGGCGGTACTGCTTCGTGTAGCTGGCGATCTCTCGTCGACTGGGGATACGTAGGTGACGCACATCAAAGTGCCCACTACGAGACAATCTACGCAACATGTTGAAGGAAACGAGAGTGATTGCGATTACAAGCAGCGTAGAATGCGGAATGAGGAGAGCATAGATGCGAAACTTCAACGAGCTTCAACGTTTGTATTTGTGACACCATCTTGCCACCGACTGATATGCAATGAATACTGTACTCATTGTCGTACGGTATTGGTATGTGAGTGCAGCCTACACTTGGTGTGAGTGCAGCCTACACTTGGTGTGAGTGCAAGCGTGAACCAACTTCAACTTGCATAACGAAAGTTTATGTCTCACAGACAAATGTATACATGTATACAGGTTTATAATCCAATCCTGAACTTTATTGAATATGATTATCCGTGCAGCAAGCGACAGTGAAAGCGACAGTGAAAGCGACGTGACGACGGGTTGTTAAGTGCAGCCAAAGCGACTGCCACCCCTTGCCGCTCCGTATTTGACCCTCCAGATGTCGTTCCTGCCTCTGCAAAAGGCAACGCTACTCGGTATACATGGTTCGCAACGTGTGGAGCCATAATTGTGCTGCTCCTTGTGGACTTGGCAGCCATCTTCAATCCTTCCCCCGACGTCTTTGCGCTACTTCCTATGCTCTTTTACCAGGAGACCATCATTTTGCCTCCAGCTGCGTCACTGTTTAATCAATTTGTGGGCTTGGCGCTTGTTGCTGTATGGATCTACTCGAGAGAAAAGAGTTTGGCCACTGGAGACACGTCGCCATGGCTTTGCAACACCCGCTACGGACCGTGGACGGTCGGAGCGCTGTTGTGTCTGGGCCACGTGGTGTCTTGTTTCTATCTTCTGTTTGCGTTGCTGGAGAGCAACGGAGATCGTTCCAAGTTCTGGCTCGGACGGAAAACTTCCAAGAGGTGCGGGTCTTACGGACGAGTTTAGAGCTGTAGTAATCTAGTAGTTGTGATGTTGGTTCTTTCAAGGTCCACGACTACATGCAAAATGTGTTGATGGAGTTGATCTGCACATTGCGAGCTCGAAGGTATGGTAAGCTTGGTCCGAGATGGCTCAAAACTCGAGACGTCAAACTAGCTTCGACTACGAATTTTGAAGAATGCTTGTCGTGGTTGTTATTCTAGTCGTAGATCGGAACGAGATGGATATCCATGTCGGGCGTGTTGAGACCGACCAGATACATCAGCATCGACCAAACTTGCATCGACTAATGGGGCAAAGCTGATGTCTCCAGGCAGAGCCAATATGAAAAAAACGGTTGATACAGTAGAAGCCATACAACATGTCCATCGAAGATAGCCTCAATGTCCGTCTTAACTACACTACGATAAGCTGCCACCATAACAAACGAAGTATACACTCATTATTTCTCATTGTGTCATAGTCGTCGCGTGACTGACGCCAATCATTGAACAAGTGAATTACGTCAACTAGTGTAGCCATCATCAAAGCTCACGACGTTTCAAAGATGGCTACCTACAGCCCTACCCCTGCGGTCTTTTCTCTCTTTTTTCCGTGATACAACGTGTACATTTCGTGTCTCAAACGTCATTTATTAAGGCCCAGAAGAAAGGGGAAGGGGGAAGACAAGTCAAAAAAATTGCCTCATATTTCCAATAATAAAGTCCCTAGTGACGCATACAGTTTACAAGTATAAATCTACAAGGACCCTTTTCGTATGGCAGCAATGGAAATGGAATGCAAGACGTTATGGATGGGGGATATTCAAATGCATTGGGATGAAACTTTTATTGCTTCGCTCTTTGCAACGGCCGGTACAATACAAAATAACAATATTGTATAAATAAAAATAATAATTGATGAATTAAATTAATTAAATTAATTGTTTATTGTATGACAGTCGAACAGCCAGTAATCAAGTTAATACGTGATAAAGTAACGGGATATCCAGCAGGTTATGGATTCTTGGAATTCCCGACCCAACAAGGGGCCCAACAAGTGCTTGAAACGTACAATGGGCAATTAATCCGTACGGATTTATTGCATTTTGTTTTTTATCCGTATTTTATTTTGTCACGTCCAAATTTTAATAATTAATTATTAACTATTATTATTTTTGTACTATTATTTTGGATGTATATATACTGTATACTAGCAAATACAATGCATCGGTTCCGGATGAATTGGGGTGCAGGTGGTCGTCGTATTGAATCGTTAGAAGATCATTCAATTTTTGTTGGAGATTTGGCTCCAGATGTGACCGATGAGCTTCTATTGAGTACATTTAATGCTCGTTTTTCAAGTGTAAGAGGTGCTAAAGTGGTGATGGATCCAGTGACACGCATGTCGAAAGGATTTGGATTTGTCCGTTTTGGAGGCAAGAATGAAGCAGATCAGGCCCTTCAGACGATGAATGGCGTCTATTGTTCATCACGTCCTATGCGTGTTAGCGTCGCAACGGAGAGAAACAAAACTCGGCAACAGATGGGCTTTACGATGGGAGAAGAAGAGGGAGCCAATACAACGGTCTTTGTTGGTGGATTAGACCCTTTAACAACAGAAGAGGAATTGCGAGCTCGGTTTGGAGTGTTGGGAGAAATTGTGTCGATAAAGGTTCCGCCTGGAAGAGGGTGCGGGTTTGTGCAATATACGTCAAAGGAGGCAGCGGAGAATGCTATTTTGCAAATGAATGGCACAGTTGTTAGTGGGGTCAAGGTGAGATGTGCGTGGGGTCGATCGGCGGCTGCACGTACTACCAATTACAGCAGCTTCTACCCACAGCAATACGGTCAGTACCAGACTGGGTACCAGGTATGTGCAAGAATGTTTAGTCTAAAGAAAGGTAGAGAAGGTGTGTTTGTTTAGCTCGTTGTTTTGACGTTGTTGTTGACTGGACGTTTAGAACTTTTACGGATACAATGCCGCGTTTGCGTACCCGCAATACCAGCAAGGTACTGCTGGCTATGGATACGGTGCGTACGGACAGTACGCTCAGCAGGGTAACCAGCCTCAGGCCGAATACCAACAACAGCAGCAACAACAACAGCCGATGGGAGGCCAACATGGACACCACGGCAACTACGGTCACCAGCAACGACAGCCATACGACCAGCCGCGCGATTTTACTCAACCTGACGACATTGAAGCTATGAATCGCCGTTACGCCACTCAACGTGCGTACCAGGTACATGCAATATTTCCACTGTTGACCCGCGCATCAGCGTCTAGTAGTGACTGAGTGCTAACTTGTTGATTATGCTCTCCTGACCGCCTATGTAGAACCTTCCTCCAGCTTCTAATGCATCGTACACTCCAATGGCGGCGGACGTTGCAAACGGCACTGCTATGGCAGGGTCGATGATGTAAGCAGAGAAACAAGTGAGACCATGCTGAATTTGAGGTGGTGGTGAAGGTATAAGTGGAAAGAGGCAGTCAAGAGCAAGAGCAGGAGGTGGTTTCATGCGCAAATGAGACAAGAGGTGACAAGAGGTGATAAGGTCATTGCCGTTTGAATGGAGACGGTGTAACGGGCAACAAGGACATGTGGAGTGAGCAGAATGGAGAGGACGGAAGGAGCAGCGAGCAAAGGGCGTTTGCTGCTGGCACCAGCGTGAAATGCTGATGAAGAGTTTTTGTTTTTGTCGCTTTTCTTGTTTTTGGGTGTTATAAATGTCAATTGTTGGGATCGACGCTGTGAGGTGTTGCAGCTCCTAGTGAGTGAAAAGTAGTTCATGCGGCTCGCTTTTCAGCATCCTCAAACTGTTATAGTCCGCTTGTTGTATCAGCTCCAGATGTCGATCAGTTCGTCTAGAGAATCATCGATACAGTGATGCAGACTCGGTTTGAGAGCAAGCTTCTTGATCCATCAGCAACCATGTTGCAGTAATTCGTGCAGATCAAATGTTAAGCCCTAACACCATATGCCCCATTCCTTTGCAGTTGTCTGTCCTTCAATCTGTCTGTGCTTGTCAAACGTGAAAGCCTCGTTTGTCTTCGGCACAATTGCTTACTGAGTAATGTCTTCCAAATGCGAGGTCGAGCAAGAGGTCATCTTCTTCCTGACATAACCCGAATTCCATTCGATCATCGTACAAACCTAACAGGCCAAAGCCTGTTCTTCCATACCTATTCGTGTACATTTACAACGTGTGCGATCGATACTTCTCCAGATACGCCAAGTCGCACAGCTTGTTGAGCGCGAACTTCGCTTGGTCCGAGCTAGCTGGAATTGCTTTTTCCATCTTCTCTTTCCTGTGAGAGTCATGACGACCAACTTTAACATTGTTAGACATAGATTCTGCTTCAGCCATAGATCTTCGCGACGTCAAATTGAACCTTGACAGGTGAAAGTCGATAGGCTCAGTCATCTTTTTCTGTTGAAAGCGAGCATACCTATCGTGCTCGTAACTGTCCAATTCCTCAACAACAGGTGCTAGGTTTCCATGCCTCGAGGTTTTCGTGTCCCGAGCCAACGCTTCCGTCGTCGTATGTCGACGGGATTGCGGTCGGAGATCCATAGCCGAAAGATGACAATCAATTCGCTGATCACTGCTCTTCTTACTCTGACAAAAGCTGTTGCTGCCTGCAATCGAGACGCCTTTCGTGCTCACCGGGTGGCATATCTGCTTCTTGGTTTCCTTGAAAGAAGCATCGTAGCGCTTAAAGTTGCGTTGGACTGATGAAAGCTTCGTGTCCATGGCAGTGTGGACTGGAGCAAGAGAACTATGAACTGAACCAGCTGCCGTTGAGCGTCTTCCACGTTTTGTTCGCGAAGGTCTGCTCACCTTGTGCTTGCCAAGCTGTAGATCAGGTGTCAAAAGCCTCGATTCCGTCTGTCTATCCGACTCATTCACGATCGACTTGTTCCTTGTAAAGTCAAACGACTGCGACTCCAAGACGTCTCGCTTGTCCGTCTTTGTATGCTTCGTTTGCTGACGCTCAGTCGGCGTAGCATCGCGAATGACCATCTTCGAAGACGTTCGTATAAAGTCGTACGAGTCGCACGATATCGGAACTTCTCTTCTACGACGTTGCGATTCCATCGCATTGGACGATTTTTGAGCAGCTTGTCGCTCTGTCACATTAGTTCGAAGCTGTTGTCGAGCCTTGATCAACTTTAATGATGGTTTCGCCATGTCGACCGACCGTGATGTCGGTGCAATTGCCGACGTGTGACGACGTCGAGGTATCGATCGGTCCAGTTCTTCGTGGGTTTGACGAAAGGTACGACCCCATTCCTTCCGATTTCTCGCCATGTTTGATAGCGAACCGATACAATGTCCTCTGGAAATGGGATCTGAAACCGCCCAAAGGAGACGATTTGGTCGTGATGGAGACCGCAATGTTTTAACCTCCGGGTGCAATCGAATACACGACATGCACGTGTGTTGATGACGGGTATACTCTGGTAAATACATTGACCTCTGGTTCATCGCCTGAGTGTAGCACGTTTTACAAATTTGCTGTATAGCAGGTATCAAGAGGCATCGTTAACACCAAATTGCCAAAACATCAAGTCATGACCACTTGAAACGTACCGTTCGACAATAGGAACAAAGTTCTTGAGTTCCAAAGTGTTGTTGAGCATTTACGATTCCTTTACAATTGACCATCGTAGTCAAGCAATTGTTTCGTTCCAGTCAAAATGCACAATGAATGAATGACTGTTGATGAGGTTCTCATCTTTGTTTGGAGCCAGGAGAGAGGTATCAGATGGCCTATATATGATCTGAAGAGAAGACTAACCAACTTACTGGCGCAAGTGTCGTTGTAGCAGCTGGTATGACATTCAATCAGGTGAAATCCTACCGAACAAGTACCATTTAGTACTTCTACCGTGCATCCTAGCAATGCAATTGATATTCCATTACAATCGATAAGCTCGAATGCTAAAGAGGTACACCACCTCTAGTATCACCAAACAAATGGATGGAAGCATTCAAGTCTCTGATTGCATGGCGTGAAAATTCGAAAGCCAATTGATATTTTCTGAATGACGCTATACCGATGGACAAATCCTGACTATGTGATCAGGTGCATGTCGGAAGATCATATCCGAAATCAAAAACTTCAGCACGATCTGACTGTTTTTGACCACCACCTGCTAAACGAGAACATAGTACCAGTTTTTCGCTCGTTTAACACGCTGACCTTCTTTTCACTCAGCAATACTTGATGACGGCTGGATGATTTGATATAGCAATCGAGTAGAGGGTGACCATGTAATCATGTCGTTTTATGCTAATGTGGAAAGGGGGGAGGCTGGCCTCGAACCAGTCATGCCACTCTTATCCTGCTCTGTCTGTTCATATCACTCAGCATTTAAAATTTCTCATACTAAAATGCCGTCCGAGTTCCACTCTGTTGCGCCATTTATGATGATTATTCGAGGTCAAGCAGATGCACGCATGCATTCTCTTATCTTTAAAATGGTTTACTTGTTGCTACCCATTGCAAATTCTAGGAGGGAAGTGAATCAGTTTATAGATGTATTTTTTTCATGAGCTAGACGTCCTTAGGAGGTTGTCCGAAGGCATGATACTTTGAACAAAAATGCACGAATTCCTTGACAAACACCCATGACAATAGGCAAATGACCACGCATTTCCTGCACTATCAGTACATGAGCGCCGTTTACGTCAGAATCTTCACAACTTTGTGGATTGATTCTAGGTTTGGCACCTTGGGCGAACTCAAACACATAGTAAACAATGGCCAGACAATGTGCAGGGCTTTAGTCAAAAAAATTGAATGATCACCTTCCTCATTTTCATAATCGATCGACTACCCCCATGGCAAATGTCGTCTCTCCTTGATGCAATAGCATCTTTAATATCAAAGTTGGGAACTAGACCGATCTCTCTATCGGGCATCCTTGTAAGCACTCAGGTAGTCAAGATCGATGGCAAATTTGGTGGGGTCATCCTTGACGTCACGGACCACGGTCGACTTTCCCTGTCGTGTCGTACGAATCCGTCGTGGCGGAGCTGTGGTAGGACAAGCTTGGTTTCCATTCACCTGCACCGCATCATAGTGACGTTGCATCCGCAAAAGCATACGAGCGTACGAGGCACTTCGTCGTCGTTCTCGCTCTTCTTCTGTTTCGTCTTGCTTCTGGAGCTCCAGTTGAGGCAATGCCGTTGTCGTTCTTCTTCTGCTTTGCCTTGTTTCCGTAGAGCTACTTGGCTTCTGTCTACAGTCTAGCGCGTCTTGTTCCGTAGAGCTACTTGGCTTCTGTCTACAGTCTAGCGCGTCTTGTTCCGTAGAGCTACGTAGCTTTTGTCTACAGTCTAGCGCGTCTTGTTCCGGCGATCTCATTGCTGAAAATGTTTGCGACGATGAGCTCATGTCGAAGTAATTGGGTGGCAATTCAAGTGCCCGGGACATCCCAAGGATATCGGCTGTCGTGCTTAGCCGCTGACTCTTCTCTTCCGATCTGCGAGGCTCAGATTGTCCGCCGCTAGAGTTGCTTTTACGACTCGAAGTTCCGGCAGAAGTCCAATATGGTTGAGTCTCGATTTTATTCGTGCTGACTGAGCGATTCGGCATGACCGACTCCTTGGACACGCGATAAATTGTATTTTGTTGCTGTAAACTGCACCGACGAGCAGCTTCTTGCTGTGATTCTGTTGTTTGCGTCGATCTTCGCCTTCTATCGTCACGTGTTAGCGGTTCATGCGTGTCTTTCCGACTATCACAGCGCTTAGATGGTAGTTCACGGATTGTCAATCGCTGTCCTTGAGCATTTTGCGACAAATTTTGAATTCGTCGTTGGTGACGTGCCTTCTCCTCGGGCTCCATGTGCTCAACTCTCGTCGCACGACCCGACGATCTTGGCTGATTGCAGACCTTCTCTTCTCGCTGGTGAGGTTTGCGGACATGTTCTCGATCCGGGTCTCTCCCCTCACGAGGCCACGATTCGGGCCTCTTAGTTTGTTGCGGTACCTGACGCTTTCCAGCACAAGTCGTGCACATGGATTTCGTGCAAGGGCTTTTGTTCATTAGGAACCGCCATCGCAATGGTTTAAGCTTTGTAAAGGTTCCTAAGTCATCTGATGGTGAGTCGAACGCATAAGGGAATGATGTAGGCGTGTTGCTGAAGTTCTGTTTCCATATTCCACAACAAGTTAATGCAATGTGAGACTTCACGGATTCCAAGAGACCTCCCCCCCCTCTTATAGTGTTGTAAAACCTACCTCACCGCAGAAGACACACTGTTTCAAATTGGAGCTCGACATAATACTTTCTTGAATCTCTGGAAGAATGGAGGGATGACGGAATGAGCTTTATGGTCGCAAGAAAACAATAGGAAGCAGGGAGGTGTCTGAGTATCGATCTGGTCGGCTTTTGCGCAGCGATTGGGGAAGCTGCGCTGGATTTTAGGCCATACGAGTCTTTCTCTTGACGCAGTCGCATCGTAAAGGGACAATAGCCAGACCTGGGAGCAAGCTCAAGCATGGGACATGGAGCATGCATGGAGCGTGCGGCTGGAAGGACCAAATGCTCTCAGTCGCACGTTGAAGCCAAGTCACTTTTTTGGGAGCTTCGACCTACGAAGTGACTTGGTTTATGTGTACGCGAGAGCACAAATCCTCGTTAAGATCCGATGATGGACATAGTGCCTGCCTTTCTTAGACTGCTGTTCCCAATCGGATTGAAATGAAGTCGTGTCTACGGAGATTTCGCAAAAAGGTCGTTGTCTTGTGACCTTTTTGCAAACATCGACATGTGTCTACTGACGTTAAACCTTGAAGGTGGTAGACTTGCCATTACGACATGTATTACTGACATGGATAAGACGCTGGGGAGTGCTGTAGCATTGCAGAAGCTCCAATGATCTGAGTCAGGAGGATGCATGGCGAAAAATCGGCTGAGGACATGTTGTCGCTTACATGTCCAACCCTCATCTGCATTGCACAAAGTCTTACATAAATGAGTTGCTACATATACCAGTGTTCCCACTGGGACCAGATCTAGTCGAAGGCATACCGTTACAGCCGAGGTTTAGATGCTGGTCCAATGGATACTTGAGCACCTATTCTCGGAACGGTGGAACTTGCACTGCACCTTCGGTCATTGAGTGTCCTCAATACAGTCGTGTTTACAAATATTCTCACCTGCATGCTTATCTCGACCAGAAGTTACGTATCCAGCGGCTCTGCAGACCTGGTAAATTACATGTACTTGCTTCAAGTAGTTTGTGTCGTCTTGTTTTGCTCTGCCGTCAGCTTGAAGCTCGCCAAGTACGACAAGTCACACGGATTTGCCTTCGAGTACCTAATCAAAGTCCTCGTTGGTAAAATCACTGGTGCCAATGGCCGTTGTGACATGTGATTAGATTGGCGGTGGCGGTCGTGATGGCGTTTTTCAACTACGGTGTGACTGCAGGTGGAAGTCTGAAGATGACGTCCTCGATCTGTCAACTCCATTGGTTGAACCGGAACAGAGTGAGTAGTGTAGCGCCGCATCCGCCAATTTAATTCCTCGAGATCGAGGTCGACTTGGCTACCCAACGGAGTGCCCACCGGAGTAAAGTTTTCATTGCCAGTGTTAGCTTGGCCACCATACTTCGGACATGATTTTTGCCGCGGTGGCACAGAACTCCGTGATTTCACTCTGGCTAATTGTCTCGAATTTCCTGTCGTTTGACGTCGGCGACGAGCAGCGACATCATTGTCCACCCTGTTTGATGGCAGACGAGTTGACGCACTTGTATTACAACGCCGTCGTTGATGTTCTGCGTCATCAGTCGGCAAATAAATCGTCTCGTACGGGAGAACTGCAAGCAAAACAAGATGGAAATCACCATGTGAGACGACTATGAAAAGCTGTAGCAATGCCGCTAAGAACACACATTCTGAATTGTGGGCAGAAGTCAAGTTCTGATGAAGCAGTTTCTCCTGGCTAGGCTTTGGTTGCTGAGGTAACTGATTCTTCTGATCAAGCACGAGTGACGTCTTGCCTTCAACGTAAAACCACGTCGGATAGTCCTCGCCGCTCAATGACAAATTGCTTTCACTTCGCAGTCCACCTTCTTGGTGCGTTGTCATTATACTGTAGGTTTCGCCGCTGGCATCTAGATCGTTGTATCCAGTCTCCGTCTCCAAAACAATTTTCTTGCCACGTCGATGTGCGCAGGAGAAGCATATAACCTGTCCTCGAGGTATTCGGTCCACTTTGTAGTTTCGCGACGCGATGTCGTTGCATTTATCGCACATCAACTGCAGTGATCACAACACATATTAGCACTCGATCTTCGCTATCTTTGCTTGGCACATATAAGACGTACCGATCCGCACAAAACGCACCTCTCCTTGCGCTTCCAGATCGATATATGGTTCGCACAAGCGCCACAGCGTCTCTCGGCTTGCAATTGCAATGCTTTCGTGAGCGAAACATTCCTAGATTTTAGCATCATAGCCGACATTTTGAGGTAGTGATTCACCAGCTCGACAGTCCGCTTCAAATGCGCCTTTAATACTCTCGGGATCAGTAAAGATGTGGCATGGTATCCCTTAATATTGTAGTACATGGTGGCATTGAGCACTCCAAGCTGATCCGTCTCCTCGAAAAACAGTCCGCAATAGAAAAGTTCTGCTCGATTGACGTCGATCCCTTGAGCATTTTGGAGCACCGGACAAAGTTTATGCTCGATCGAATGGGAGCATCTTGCCCAACCACGACGTCCGTCTGTCGTCCCAAACGGCTTCATGACTTCCAAGTAACAAAAGTCTTGATCCTTGCCTAAAAGGTGACTTGGCGAGTAGAGAAGCGACCATCGAAGACTTGTGCGGGTCAGTGGTCGCTGCTTGGTATTAAGTTTTAGCACTGCTAACTCTCGTGACTCAGAAAAGTCCAGCACCATCTTGAGTTCGTATTTCAGGTACAAGTCCGTGACAGCATCTAGTGACCCGTAGACAGTGAAAGTTTCCAGTGACGTCACGATCTTGTCCTTGTCAGGCAATGCATTTTGCGCTTTAGCCTCGTAAAATCGTTCTTGGACCTCTAGGAAGATATTGTCACCCTGCTGAACGAGGTCTAAACGTTCTCGTTCGGTCATAAAGACCCCCACCATAGGTCGCAAGGTGAATTATGCAGACCTCTCCACAAATCCAAGAGGGACAGTGGGCGGAAGGATATGGAACCGATGAAAAAGCTTGAGCTAAAACGAACGAACGATACTGTAAGCTAACGTCGTAGGTAGAATATCCTATCCTAACAAAAGATAGGATGCACCTGATGTGGAAGTGATGGCAAACCAGCGTCCCTAGAGCAAAGCTGCAAGTGAAAATGCAGCCAACCGTCGTGTGCACGAGGTAGCTAAAAACTGCAAATGACCAGCGAACGACTTGGATGCCGAGAGTGGGCTTTCTCACAATCAGGCTGGCGACACACTGGGGTCATTCAACACCACACATGAAGATGCCAGATCGTAAAGCAGACTCGGTTGGTCGATTAGAATCTTCAGTGTCCATTGCGCAGAAGTCCATCCAAGACTCTGGTTGTGGATATTGAACAAGGTTGGCTGCATCTTAGATGATAATACGAGTTAGTTCACAATCCGCAGACAGATCCTAGTGCCATTCCTTACTACTTGGCATACATACAAAACTCTTAAATCCAGTTCTCTTCATCTTCATCTTCATTCACTGACTCGCGCGCCTGGGAATTTAGCAACTCGAGATCCTCGCGACTGTTTGCCTTGATCGAGCGTAGTACCCGGTACTGCTCCTTGATACGTTTCCGAAATTCCTCTTCGTCGTCATCGCACTCAGCTTCGGCCATTTCCTGCTGCAACTGAGTTAGCTGCGCAATTTGCTCGAAAAGGATCCGGGCGGGTAGAGGCTCGTCGATCGGCATATCCGTACCGCCATGCTCCGAAATTGTAGAAGAGCTCAAGTCGCTCCGGGCCATAAAGGAGTTCTGGGGATTAAAACTCGGACGTCCGATAAAACCCTTGTGGGTTGGCTCGCTGCCGTCGTCGTCAAACTCAGACAGATCCATTTCCTCTGCCGTCAACACGGACGCAATTGACTCGCGGCATTCCTCCTCAAGCTGACGTATTCTGCGGCGCAGTCTCTCCATGTCGACCTGGTGCTTGGTATAGACCTCTTCCATGACATCGGATGAACGCCACTGCATCGCTTTCTCCTCGTTTCGGTGTCCACGATGCAATAGGCGACCCGGCTGGATTGCGCTACCAAGCATATCATCATCTAGATTGGAAATGCGATTGCCCAAGTGGTCAATTGCGATACGATTCAGCTCATCCATCCGCCGCAAGTGGCTTGCCTCTAGATCAAACATCATGTCCGAAGAACGACTTCCACCAGAGTTGTACATCGGACGATTCGCGCGAATCATATCAAAAAGCTCGTTGGTCGGGCGGCCCACCAGCTCCTCATCAATCGCAGATATGCACGACTCACGGCAAGAGATACCAAACTCCGATGTGTCAGAGTCGTTCGAGATTGGCGCTATCGCTGAGTTCGAGTCCTCACTGGTGGTATGGCTCAAGTGTAGGCGTTTCTGATACAGATTCAACGTATCAGTGTCCTCATCATCATTTTCATTTACCTGAGGAAGCTTCCTATCGGACAGTGACCGTCTACTGTCAGCAAAAAACTCGTCAACAGCCAAGCCCGACTCGCCTGGAATGAGCTGCGACATTTGTGGCAGGAACTTTGAAACACTTTTTTCAAGAGCAACCGGCTCGTTACTTGGCGGCGCTGCGACAGTATCCTCTAATTCAGTTCCACCGCTCAAGCGGTATGCAGGTTCGTGTAATGGATCGCATTCTTGTTTCGCGCTCGACCGGTACGCTAAATTGGCATCTTTATAGTCACGCTCACTCTCCACTGGTTTCTCGCTAGAGCGGTGAGCAGCTTCCTCCACGTCAGTATCGCGCTGATGTTCCACAGAATCTTCGCTTGAGCTATCAGATAACCTATCGCTATCAGATCCACTCTCGTGATCGCGTTCGCTCTCCGCTGACTCCACGCTTTGAGCTAAGTCGTTCGTCTGTAAGTGCTCGCTTTTCATACTTAGACGAAATGGCGAGGTGACATAACCAGTCTGTTGTCCGCGGTCGCTCTCTGACTCCACGCACGAGCGGCGCGGTGGGGTGGCTAAGCCGCTTGTGTGATCATACTCGCTTTCTTCAGACTCCACGGGCAATCGGCGCGGTGGAGTAATAAAACCAGTATCCTGGTCATGGTCGCTTGCCACAGTCGGCGGGGTAGCTAAGCCAGTATTTTGTTTGTGCTCGCTCTTCACAGACCCCACACTCGAACAGCGCGGTGGAGTAGCTGTGCCAGTATTTCGTTCGTGTTCGAGCTCCTTTTCATCACTCGGACGGTACAGTGGACTGACATGACCACTGTTTCGTTCCGGCGCGTGCTCCACTATTTTCTCACTCAGACGGAGCTGATGTTCGTGCTCACTTTCCACTGACTCCACACTCGAACGGCGTGGTGGGGTCGCAACTCCACTACTTTTTCGTGCTTGCTTTCCACATTCCCTACGCTCAAACGGTGTGGTGGGGTCGCCAAACCACTCGTATGTTCGTGCTTATTTTCCACAGACTCCACACTCGAACGGCGTGGTGGGGTCGCAACTCCACTACTTTTTCCGTGCTTGCTTCCCACAGTTCCTACGCTCGAACGACGTGATGGGGTGACTGAACCACTCACACTGCGTGGTGGGGTGGCCAAACCACTTGAACGGTGGGGTGGGGTGGCCAAATCGTGCTCGCTTTCCACAGACTCGCTCGAACGGCATAATGCTTCTATAGGTTCATTCTTGTGCTCATGCTTGTCCCCCACATACTCGTCACCAAAATGATACGTTGGCAGAGAAACCTGGGTATTCATGTCGGCGCATTCTTCGCTCAATCGGTACTCTTGCTCATTTTTGTAGCCATGCTCTGCATGCTCTTCACTTGAACGAATCGACGTGTCAAAATCATCCGGGCCCTCACTCAACTTGTCGTCATCTTCCACATCTGGAACTTGTTCCAAATCCTCCAATGCAAAGGGAATAGTGCCACTACGCTTTGAACGTCCAAGCGGTCGAGATTCAAAGTTGAATTCTTGGTCGACGTCGACAGAGCTGACGGAACTGCTGGAACTAATGGTGCTATCACCAAAGTTGTTTCCGGAGTAGCCCGTGAGACTAATTGCGCTATCGTGGAGGCCACCCAGTGTAGACGATCTTGGCCGAATATTTTCCTCAGCGATGTGGTTGGCCGTCATTTTAGTTAGCTCCTCCATTCGCTTGAAGTGCTCTTCTTGTCGCCTTTGCAACTCGTACGACGGAAGACCTTCTTCGTCCGGTAGCTTGTACGCTGCACGAGCTCGCATCGCATTGATATGCTCAATCATGCCCGCCGACGATTGATTCAGCAAATCTTCGCTTAACATCGAATCGATCGAGCTACGTACTTCGCTAGATCGCTCCATCATTGCAATGTGGTCTAGTGACTCACCAGGGATCTCCAAGATTGCAATGCTACTGGAGAAATTCGTCTTATCTAACGAAAGCTGAGATGCATCGAAAGCAAGGTCATCCAAAAGCCTATGTTCGGATATGGCCGAAACATAAGAACTATCCAACTGTTGACCGCCTAACGAGGGCTTACTTCTTTTGCTCGCTCCCGGAGAACCATTCAGACGCTGGCCATTCAAATACTGGCTATCATTGCTGACACGGTACTCAGACCGCTGACTTTTGAACACAAGATCGTCACTCTGCGCAGATGGTTCGAGGCTAACACGGGCACCCGGCCTTGCAAAATTAGCGTCCGATCGGTTTGACAAGAACTGTTTCCCCCCGATATCGCTACTAGCATCCGTACGACGCGAGTGATTGCCACTAATTGATCGATTTGATTGAATTTTAGACAATGCGTCATTGGGCAAGCGACGCCCTCGCATGCTCGGAGGGGTCCCAGGTGGGGAACCAGGCGAAGGTCCAAATGAGGAATCAAGAAGGGACACAGCGGTAGAGCGATGAGAACTGCGACGTGGCTGCTCCTTCTTCTTTTTAGCAGCAGCCTGACTCAAACCACCATTCTGTGTTACTTGACTCTTTCCGCTCGATGCCATCGATCGCCGAGCCGCTTTTTCTTTGGCCAGCCCTTGTATGCGCTCAATTTCACGCATCCTCATCAAATGTTCTTCCTCCTTAAACTTCAACACTGCCGAAGCTCGGTCACTTTCACGACCACGGTTGCGGCGCACTTTTTCCAAAATCGCGGAAGACCGAGTGTTACCAAACCCGTTTGAATCCCTTGAGCTAGCCTGAGACACCCGAAAGTCCCTGTTAGCCAATGCGGCATGAAACGCCATGTTCCGGGCAACCTTAGAATCACGCTCCGCTAAAGTTTGATCCACTTCACGACGTCCTTCTTTTGGAGGAGGCGGTGTAAAGAATTTTCGCGTGGCAGTGCCCTTAGGTTTTCGATCTTGTAAGCTGTGAGACTTGTCCAACTTCAGCACCTTAAGATGTAATGAGCTAGCATTCTCTTCACTTTCTTCGTGTTCTTCGGATGGCGGGGAAAGTGGGGGTGGAGGAGGCGGGAACTCGCTCTTGATTCCGTAATGCGCCGAACGAGCCTTCGCTAGACTTTGGATTGACACAGTCTTGCTCGCGCAATCGGAGCTCGGACTTGCACAACTCGAGTCAGAATGTGCGCCTTGTGTTGCCTTGGCATTCGACCCTTGGTCGAAAGTGTCGGCTGTGCCCTGGGTTGATTTGTAATCTGTGTTCGAAATATAGCTTGTATCGGGGCTGATAGTATAAACAGGATGACTAGAAGGTTCATTCTCTGGGATTGGTGCTGCTGCTTTATCCCTACCAGCTTGCTTGTCAGACTTTTCGTCGATCGTGTAGTGACTTCCACCGTAGTCACTCGCTCCATAAAAGTTACTGCTCGTAGAGGCTTGAGGATCGTAAATGTAGCCGTCAGCGGGCTTGACACTGCTGGCCTGGTTCCATCCCATGATACTGCTGGTAGCACTATTGCCCCCCTTCCACTGCGACGAACTGGTCCCACTAACGAAACTACTCTCGCTGGAACCGCCATCGTAATACTGGCTATCGTCAAGTTCACTTGTGCTGTCAAAATGACTCGATTCCTCGAAATAGCTTTCAAAGTTGGATGCACCGAACTGACTCGTTGCAAGGGAATCGCGACTTGCTTCAGTAAATCGAGACTGCGCGAATACACTAAAATCGGACTGTTCCTCAAGTCCACCATCATCTTCATCCTCCTCCCCCAAACTATCTTCATCTTTCTCATGGTACAAATCCGGATGGTCGTACTGGTCTTGCAAAATATCCGAGTATCGAGTGTTATTCTGCGCTCGTCGCAGGTAATCTCGATTGTGTGACTGAGGTTGAGCACTAACCGATTCATACTCGTCACCAGGAGACAATTGGTAGCATCTGGTGCACACCCGGGTCTTAACTGGGCCCTGCTTGGTCGAGATCATGACCTGTGGGGCACAAGGTTGACACACCACTTCACCACATACACGGCATCGTGTTTTACGTACAAAGAGAGAAAACTTGCGTGCACAATTCACACACAATGCTCTTGCTCGTTTTGGCATGAGTTCTTTCTTCTTCAAAAGCGTCTGTCGTCCCATTCTTGTCGTTCGAATCTCTCGACTGATCGTGACAACGGATAAAATTCGACGTTTCAAAGCCGAATTCAACATGAAATGAGGCAGTCGACTCGTTGTCTTGAAGTTGATCTGTAAACTATGCATTACATCCATGTATCCATCTTTTTCTGCCTCCACAAACACATATCCCGATTGATACATACTTCCTCGTACCACCCCATCCAATTCAGGACAATTAGGGAGTTTAATTGAGTGCATACTGAGCACCCAGCCTCGACGTCCTGAAGCATGTCGAAATGTATTCTGACACTCTAAAAAGCAATAATCTCGTTCTCTTGAGAACGCAGAAGGACCTTCATAGAGCTGATACTTGGCTGAGACTCGATAGAATGGATTCTTGACGTCTCCCCTTACAAGAGAGTAAAGAACACCACAGTCCAGCACATCTTCCGCCTTCTTAGCAATCATTTCCTCTGTCGTTTGCTGATCAAAATAGACCGCTACCTCTTCAATCGAACCCATCATCGTCGTCACACCACAGAGAAATTCCGTGCCGGAATTTCCACCACGGTCGTAACTGCCTTCACCTCGGTACATTTGGATACCGTGCAGTTTACCGGTATAATGCCATTGTACCGGTCCATCCAGTGTATGTGCGTGATCTACGAGTGCTACGGACGCTTCCTTTGCCTTGCGGATCATATAAGCACGTTCACTGGCTGTGAGTGATGGCGCTTGCCAAAAGTCATCGCCCACCGCGTTGCTAGGAGCACGTCGTTGACTCAGAGCGCGCACTTTTCGCATCTTGTCCAGTGCGGAATAAAGTGTACGTTTGTCACGTCACGTCACGCTTCGTTTCCCTTGCACTTTGAAAGAGTGAATGCGGAAACGAGGGAATAGGGTTACGGCGGGTAAATCTGTCGGTAATTGCTTTATCTCGATGCTGCTGAGCTTACCAACTATACCACAATGAAATCGAAAACGTCCGGGGATGTGTGCGTGTCTACAGCGCCGTGAAAGTAACGATCTAATCGATTGCCTGGACAGGATCCCTCGTGGTCCTCCTAACAGTCTACTGTCTTTTTTGCCTTTGTAACTTACTGGCTTTTTCGTGACGATTGCGACAGCCAATCGGCAGTAAGTATCGTACTAGTTGAGCTCTTTGATTGGCTGTTAATTACAATAGTTTCATCGGCTGAAAATTGTACGCTTACGATCAAACGATTTGATGGATCGCTCATAAGCGGCTAACAGTCGAGGCCAATGGACAACAAAGACCAAGTTCTGACGTCGTGGAGGAGCACAATGCTATCAGGCATGATACTGCAATATACAGCTGGTTCTTTTTTTCATTTGAGCGAGCAAAATGTCGAGTATATACGAAACCTTACTTTGTGCCGGCAACGGATAGGCGTGCTGTCGGCACGGCCACTGAGTCGAAGCGCTGCGAGAGAAAATGAAGATGCTTACGAAAGATATCGGCAGAAGAGACATATAAAGACGGCAACAGCGAGATGCAAAAGGTCGCGGTGAGGTGAAGTAGAATGTTAAGTGAGTCAGGAAGTAGAACGCATTCACGCATGGATGTCATGATTCCATAAAAGAGGGAGGGGGCAGCAGTGCTGCTCATGAAACGCAGAGTTTGATACTGAACGGCAACACCATTGATCGTGTCTAAACTGAAACTTTTGAGCGACAAAAAAAGCAGCTACATGGAACGCATTGTCTATCAAAACTGAGTCAGTTTGCGCTGAGCGGACCTGGTTTGCGCTGAGCGGACCTGGTTTGCGCTTTATGCCAGCGTCGTCAAGTCAAGAGTTGACAAAATAACGATGCTACAAAAAGACAAACAAGACGTCTTGCGTTATGTCGACTACACTAAACTAGGTGTCACATGTGTGTTTGATGTTAGTTCAGGATTGCAATCATTCTACAGGATAAAGCCGCTTTCAAGAGACGCTGAGTCTTATGCCAAACAATTTGCTGAATAAACAGCCTGTTGCCGTGTTGCTTCGTAACAGCCTAACTGCTTCTTGTCAAGGCGGCACAATTGAGTTAATTATATACCAGCAGGCTAGTATCATTGAGGGTTTGTATGTACTCTTGTTCGTTCATCGGAAGCTTTTTATCGGAAGAAAAAAAAGCCGTGTGAATGCGACTGCGTTAAGAAATAAACAGACACAGAGTCACAGAGCTGAACAGGAAGTTGCCTCACTATTTACCTTCTAGCATTTATGCTACAATTTTTTTTGATCGTCATGAAGTTTCTTGAGTTGCTAGTCGATAAATGGTGTCATTTATCATTAAAACTAGCCTGTCGTAAAATTCCAATTGTTATCTCAGCGTGGTGCCATGATATCTTAAGTCAATGATTACAATACCATATCATCTTGTGACAATCATCATCTCAATATAACATATTCTTTTACCTATCAGTCAAAGCTGTTTCATTTCCACACCACAACAATTGCAACCTAATTGTCGAATGTCTTATCCTCAAGTCTAAACTACCATCTCTAAGACCTGTATAAATGCATCAAATGCTATATCGAATTACCTCTGCAATGAATGTACTACCATTACATACCTGTCATATCCGATAGCGACCAATCGCTTGTTCTGTATGCACCCCGGTAAATCGAAGAGCTCATTTCACGCTTCTACACTACTTTGATTCTATACGCGGCAATTTGATTGGCATTTTTTCTCGTACAGACCAAGTCGTACGTATGAAGCCATTACCGGCGCTGAATATTAATACATTGAATGCATCGGTGGATTCGGAAAATGTGCAGAACATCACCACACACGACCAGTTCATACCATTGGAAAAAGACGAATTGGAAGACGAAAAACATGACGAGTTGCAGAATTCCAAGGCTGCCATGAAAAAGCTTCAGCTGGCGTGTCTTTGTTCCTTTATCTTCATGTGTGTGCAATTTGCCGGTGGCTATTACGCCCATAGTTTGGCCATCATGACGGATGCAGCACACTTGATGTCCGATGTCGCAGGCTTTTTAGTATCGCTCTTTGCAATGTATTTGGGACAGTTTCCTGCATCGGCAACGATGCCCTTTGGCTATCATCGAGCTGAAGTGATTGGTGCACTGCTGAGTGTGCTACTCATCTGGGTACTGACTATTGGCCTCATGTTTACAGCAGTGAGAAGGTTAATTGATCAAGGTAATGCTGATGCTAAGGAGACAGTGGACGGCAAAGTCATGTTTCTGGTCGCAGTCTTTGGACTAGGCGTTAACCTTGTGCTGATGAAGATTCTGGGTCATGAACACAGTCAAGGACATGGGCATGGACATGGGGATGGGAATAGTCATGGTCATAGTCATGGTCATAGTCATGGTCATAGTCATGGTCATAGTCATGGTCATGGTCATAGATGTCATGGTCATGGTCATGGTCATGGTCATGGTCATGGTCATGGTCACGGATACTGTCCTGACGACAAGAAAAGTGTGGTGGAGCGGAGTCCTGGCCACAATGTGGTGCAGACGCCCATGTCGGCTATGGCGCTGATTGACTGTGTGGAGGAGCCATTGGCGGACGGACTAGAGAGTCTGGCACCTAAGTCGTCAGTATTTGAGAACATTAACGTCCATGCTGCGTATATTCATGCACTCGGCGACTTCTTACAAAGTTTGGGCGTGTGTTTTGCTGGTGGACTTATCTGGTACAACCCGTCGTGGCAAATGGCGGACCCGATTACGACGCTCTTGTTTTCCTTTCTGGTGCTTGGTACAACGATTGGAGTGCAGACTCGGACGGTTCACATTCTAATGGAAGGCGCTCCACCTGAGCTAGACCTGCGTGTTGTCGAGAAGCAAATTCGAGCGCTTGAATGTGTTTATGATGTCCATGATCTTCATATTTGGATGCTCACTGATGGCCATTACGCTGCCAGCGTGCATATTCTATCAAACGGTGAGCCTCGTACGGCACTAAAAGGAACGCAACGCGTGCTGGCATCTTTGGGCGTTCGTCGGCAAACCGTGCAAGTGGAGGATCCGACTGATCGCGATTGGAATGAAGACTTGTTCTGCAACTGGACGACATACTCAAATGTTGCGTTTGAAGCGGAGAGCAAGATGTCGGTACCACGCGCTGGAACAAGGAAGGCAGCAGTAGCGCGTCTGCCTGGTATAACTATTGACTAGCGATGTCTAGTAGTAGCCATGGTATATTATGCAAGAGACTCTGTTGCGTCGAAACAGGCAACTTTTGACTAAAGATGTTAGTAGCAGCCATGTTATTGAGTGCCTTATTATCTAGGTGAGATGGCCCACTAAAGCGTAACAGGCGCAGCCGACTGCGGTTCCTCCACAGACTTCTTCAACTCTGTTTCAGCGCTAGGAGCCAGCCGTGGGGCTCCTTCCTTCACTGCATCTGTAGGTGCAGCAACCTTGGAATTGGTTGCTTCTGTCGGAGTGACGGACACCTCTGGCTTCAACTCGGCTGAGGACTCCACTTTAGGCTCCGGAATAGGTTCAGCTTTCTGCTCGGGTTTGGGCTCTACACGCTTGGTTTCCATCTTGGATTTTAAAAATTCCATCAGGCGAAAACCAGGCGTAGCGTGATGGTCTTTGGAGATCTCACGCACAATGTCTTTGATAGACAGGATACCGGCAAGCTCCTTCTCACGGTCGCGGCGCAATACACCGATTACAGGAAAGTGACGGCAATTGGAAGTGGCTGCTAAATTCCAGCACTTTTCTAGCGGGTCCTCAATCTGAAGCACTGAAGCCACGGGTGACATCACTTGAGTTACGAGCAACGTGGTCGGATTCTTCAGCTCAAATAGCACCTTGCGAATGTAGTCGCGCTCTGTAAAGATGCCAAGTACACGCTGTTCCTTGTCCACCACAAGAACGGCACCGAAATCACGTTTCGCCATTTCTTCCACTGCTTTTGCCACAGTGACATTGTCTTCAGGTCGTGTGTTCAAAATCAGCTTCACTCTCTTGTGTTTCTTCTTCAATAACGTCGCTGCAGTCACAACTGGAGTCACTGAAGTCGAAGATGTTGCCGCAGTAGTATCCCCTGCAATTTCTTTAGTGTCCGATGTGGCAGTCTCAGTCGTAGTCTCAGTAGACTTCACTTTCTTCTTGAGTTTATCAGCCTCAGGCTCGATGGTACGTCCCTCTTGTATATTTTTAGAAGCCTCAAATTCTGCGTAGGCACGAACGATATCCGTTATTGACAGGACACACCGCATATCTTCTTCTTGCACGGATCCTCGCTTTGCTGCACTGGCCATATCACCATTTACTACTGCTAAGTGACGTATGTTTTCCTTGGTCATGGTTGCAAGAGCACTGTACGAATCAAATAGAATCAGTACTAAACATCATGATGACGTTCGAAAACTATTATCTACAAAAAGTACGTACTCAATCACAGTCGTACTTGGATGAATGCACATAATGTGTGACGACATGATGTCACGTACCTCTTTTTCTTCGCTAAGTACTGTTTTTGGTGATATCTTTTTGATAATGTCTCGCTCTGTCACAATTCCTACAATCCCTTCCGTGGCTTCAGTCACAATCAGTGATCCAATATTGCGTTGTGTCATCGTCAGTACGGCATCGTGGACCGTCTCCTACCACACCAAGAACCCATTAATATGCATATACCTCTCTTCTGTCATATCTCGTATCATTTGAGTTGTTATAGTTACCGTGCCACTAATGCTTTCCCACTCTTCAAAGTCAACCAACGTCTTGTTCGTGGCTATCTCATGTTCACGGGCGTTCAGGACATCGGCAATTGTTAATATTTTGGCGTCTTCAGCTCCGACAGTGCCCAAGTCGATTTTTACATTGTTTAGAGAATCTGATACGGTATCAGATTCTGAGTCTGATTCCTTCAACGTTGATGACGAAGCTGACGTGTTCCAACGCACGTACGAGACCGCCACCAGATGGCGACGCATGGAATCACTACATGTGGGAGAGGTGGCTATGGTCACAAAACTGGATGATACACGCACGAGCGCGCCACGAGCTCGGAACGCGCGAGAAAACATTAGGCGTGGACTTGTATGCGAATAGAATTATAAGGATATGTGCATTTTTGTATGATAAGAATTAATGCCGTGTCAGTATTATACTCAAAATTAGAATCAATTCACCGCAAATTAAATGCGAAACGTAAAGCTTTTGCAAATAAGTAAACAAGATTAGATGGTAAACCTTAATGTTTTAACACTGTCGTTGAAGTGAAAGGGCGTCTATTTGACGCGTCGTATCAAAGAGGAGCATCGATGGTGCGCCATGAATAATAATTCGTCGGAAAAAGCCCTTCCATACTTAAAACAAGAGTTATTTTTCGTTATTTACTTGCCAAGGACGTATTGTTATTTGACAGCAGGACTGAGTGATAACAATCATCTTTCCTAATTAAGCTCAATAGTTTATCCAAGCTCACGATGCTGACGTATCCGTTGACAACATTTGCCCATGTTTGCATTATACATTTTCTATTGACCTGATAGGAGTCATATTGCAATTTGCTGTCACTAGCTGGAGGTGCTCTGTGCACGTAAGGCGATAAGATATATCCATCGTAATGGATACATCCCATAGTGACCGTCACTCTTGAAAAAAAGGCAACTTCCTGACCATTAAAACAAATGATCTTTTTATCATCTTGTACAGGTTTTAAGCCTCACTCCTACCCGTATCCTCCACATCCGTTTCTCTTCATTTCACCAGGTTATTAACTCTCACAAACCTCCATCCATATATCAAATTCCCATGCTACTTCGCACATGGATGCGCTCCGCCTTAGCGTTGCGTCGATCTCCATCATCGTCAAAGGCCTTCCACTCACGTACTGCTCTTCAACGATCTTCCGTATCTGCTGTCGCTCTTACATCCAAAAGCACTGCTCTTCAACCCGACAATAGCCATGTCCTCACACTCTTAGAGCATTCCATCGCCCAGCGCCGCCCCACACAGGCGTTAACGCATTTGGCGCAGCTGCAATTACCCCCAAAACCTCAATTACTACAGAAACTAGCGGTTCTTTTAGCTCGACAAAAGAAAAGCAGAGGATACGCCTTACGTGCGTTTGAAATACTGCGTGGAGTGTACCGTACACCTGGTTTAAAGCCCGACGATTATACGAAATTAGCGTCGATATATGTCATGGATGCGTGTCTACGCTTTCGTTTGCTTGACTCAGCAATGCAGGTAAATAGTAGCTATTGTTTCATGTTATTTTCTTACTTCTACGAGCTCTACAAGTGACGGTATGGTGTTTTTCTTCTTGTGACTCTTTTGTTAGTTATATGATGAAGCCGTGAATCAAGCCGTGGTGTTGGACTTACCGGCATACAATGGACTATTGACGGCCTTGTTGGAATCCAAGAGACTGGAAGAGGCTACAGAGATATTGAGAGATGTTGTGCATGGGGAAGATGTGTGTCCTCATGAAGAGATGTTCTTGCCAGTGCTAATGGAGCTAATCAAGAGTCGAGAGTACAGCAATGCAACGGAAATCATGAAGAAGGGAATAAGTCGTGGAGTGGAGTTTACTAGTGAGACGTTTCATCCGTTGCTGCTGCAAGCGGAGAACGACACGGTTTCTACGGACTCGCTCGTCAATTTTCTAACTTTTGTTGAGGACTCATGGGCAGACTACAAGGTAGGGAAGGATACGAGTGAAATGGCAAGGCAGAGGTGGCAGGATGCACAATCAATTGACTCGTGGATTTTATTGTACAGGACTATGATGTCGAAGAAGACGATATGGACGATTCGGAAAACCCTTATCCATAGTCTATGAAAATGCCAGCCAAACGGAAGTTAAGCAGACCATCGCTGGCGACATAGGGAAGATTATTGCAGCACCTGCATTGCAATAGATGGCTCACAAGAGGTACTGGTCCGCCTAAAAACATGCCAAAATATACTGTGGCAACTAGTTGTATTGATTTATTGCAATATCCATAACGATAATGTCGCTCGACGCGAAGGACGAGGATGGCATGATTTTGTGACGGGTCTGGCGTTCTTTTCTGTGCTTCTCGGTGCACGTTTCCCTCAAAAAGACTAAAAATAGAGAAATTTTCAGCTCACAACACCCCCCCCCCAATTGCAAACTTCAGCTGTGCAGAAAACCACCTGCGTACGTCCATCACACTTTCAGCAAAAAAAGGCCACCCATTATAAACAAAATTCCTCCTTCCTCGCCCCAGCCAAAAATGACACGCAAAATTCAGCGGCATTTGATCACAATCGTCTCGTCTTCAGGCGATTTTCCCTATGCAATCGTTATTGGAGCTTGTATGGGTCTTGTAGCCGTTATTTTCATTGTTCTGGGGCTGTATTTCTACTGCAAAGAGCGAAAACGGAACAAGGAACTTGAACGGGAACCGTACGTGACGTTGGCACCCAATTCATTCTCCAATCCATTATCTCCACGTATTGCAACAATTACCAGTCACACATCGGCTCATAATTCATCGAACGTGCAGCTTCCGTCGGTTCATAGCAGCTTCTACGTCATGACATCGCCTGGGAATTCCAGTGCACTGGTTTCTGTAGAAGTTACACCAACTGGACATTATATCTCTTCCAGTAGATTGGAACAGCAGTCGACGCCGGTTATGGCTTTGAAGGATCAAAAACTTGACGGACAGAGCTATTTACGGAGCTACGAAGATACAGTAGATCTTAATTCGTTCGATGCGTCGGCGCGCAGTCGAGTTAATTCATTTGAAGACCATGAAAGTTATAGAAGAGCTATGGGATACAATGACAGTGCGAGAAGCAGTGCACAGACTACCAATAGCAATAGCAATCACAATGACTCAAGTACAAGACATAGAGGTCTGTGGGAAGATCCTGCTATTGTTGCGGCACGCATTCCCATGAGTAGAATTACGATTGGTGATGTGATTAGTCGAGGAGGATTCGGAGAGGTACTACGGGGTTTATACAAGAATCGAGATGTAGCGATCAAACGACTGCTACCAGAGACGAGAAAAGATTTGTCCAAGATTGAAGAATTTCTAGTTGAAGTAAAGCTGCAGGCGGCATTAGAGCACGAGCGTGTGGTGCGTTTTGTCGGTGTGGCTTGGGATTCACTTACGGATCTTTGTGTTGTGTCCGAGTTTATGGACGGTGGAGATCTGCGTGCTCTGCTGGTCAAATTTGACGAAGTGGACCATCGGTCTCTGGGTTTTGATGCCGTAAAAGCTCGCATTGTGCTGGACATGGCACACGCACTCACTTATTTGCACTGTTTAGACCCTACAGTGTTACATCGTGATCTCAAGTCAAGGAATATCCTGCTAGATAAGACATTGCGCGCTAAGCTCACTGATTTCGGAGTATCTCGAGAGCGTAGTGACCGCACGATGACTGCAGGAGTGGGCACGTCGCTGTGGATGGCTCCTGAGGTAATGATGGGAGAGCGGTACGACGAAAAGGCTGATATCTTCTCCTTTGGCGTCGTGCTTAGTGAACTGGACTCGCACAAGCTCCCGTACGCATGTGCCAAGGTTACCGACACTGGACGCGTTATTCCAGATACGGCCATTCTTCAGCTTATTTCCAGTGGCAGACTTAGTGTAGGATTTACAGCGCCAACTTCGCCAGCATTAGAAGCTATGGTGCATCTCGGTACAGCGTGTGTAGCTTTCGAACCGGAAGAACGACCCACTGCCTCTCAAGCATTGTACCAGATGCAGCTCGTAATGCAAGCTTTTGCGCAGGAAGAAGCGGAAACGTCATACGCCTTCTAAGCCTCATCTACGGACGTCAAGGCAAAATTTTCTCATACAAGCGCGCCATTGAGCAACATGTCAGCCATGTACTAGTAGTTTAACGCTAAATTCTTGTAACTATTTCACAACTCATGTCCAGTTCTTCTGAGCTTTCGAGTTGATCTCAGTCAGCAGTACTCAAACGCATAAATATTGCTGTCCATCCTTCTTGTTCAGTGTACTGATAAGCTTGGGTTCAGTGTTTGTAGGAGCTTGTGAAGTTCGATCGATACCTGTGCGGCTGAAGGGCGTTCGGAAGCATTTAACGCCACGCATGCCTTGCCTAGACGCACGACTACCTCAGTGATGCGAAAGTCCATCTCTGCGGGTAATGATGACCCTCGTTGTCCGTGTCTAACTCTTGCAGAGCTCGAAAAGTGCACACGGACATGCTTCGCCGCAACTTTTTCCAGTAACTCGGCACTGTCACTATGCACTCCAACTTGGCTGCTGCATCCATAAGGAAGAGTCAGAGAGTCTAGCTCGGCCAGCACCACCCCAAATGAAAACATGTCGGTTTTCGCATTGCTGCGCTCGCCTCGAAGTACCTCAGGTGCGCTCCAAAGAGCATCGAGTCGACTACGCTCTCGTCGTAACTTCTCCGTGACTCCAATTGAGGTGGAAGCTGGCGGCACTAGAATGGTTGATGAATCAAGACTGGGCCTCCTTCGATCGATGGCTGGCTGAATGCTACTTCCTATGAAACCAGTCAACTTCGCATTGAGTTTTGAATCAAGGAGGATATTTCGAGACCGTACGGCACTGTGAACAAGCCCTTGGGCGTGCAAGAAGCTTAATGCACTTGCTACCTGTGACGCGAGCTTTACTTTCTGACGGCAAAACCCTCGTCGACATAAACCTCCTCTTGGTAGATCATTCTGATATTGTCGTCGATTCAAGAACGTGCGAAGGTCTCCGCCGGCCATGAATTCAGACACGATACACACGTAGATGAGCGATTTCCAAGATACACCTAAGAATGATACCATACTGGGGTGCGTCAATGACGGAGATGATAATACCTTGACTCTAGCGAAAAAATCAATGAGGTTGTCGCGATCTCCGAGCCACTGCGGGAGTGGTTTCTTAATCGCTACAGTTTGATTCCTGTATTGACCGCGATACACCTCACTGTTTATCCCACGTGCAACGAGTTCATCGAGAAAAATTTCACTGACCGAGACGCGAACTGCTAGCACCTTTGGATGATTCCAAGACTCGCTCTCTTCCTCTTGGTTCGCCTGGAAACAAGACGCTCGTGAGCCAAACGAAATTGCCGACGACGAAAATGAGCTGGTTTCAAGACGATAGAGTTCCTGAGGATTTTCAACTTGCGAGTTTCGCATGAACGCTTCGAGGATGCGTGGTGACGGCTGAGACGAGATGCCTTTCGTTTTTCTCCACCGACGCTTGTGGCTGACAAACATGATGCAGAGCATCGCAAAAATCACAATGCCACCTCCTACAGCAATGCAAAGTTCATCGTCCGTCCAAACAGATCCATTGGAAGAAGGAGTAGACGATGAAGGAGACAAAACTTGAGTTGTTCGCTCTGGTTGTGCCGTGACATTGACGCTTCCAGCCTCAAATGTGGCAACATCTCCGACCGTCGACCCTGCACGGAATGCAACAAAGCTCGAGATATGTTCATGCTGGGACTCGTTTGACATTCTCTACTGGTAGCTCTGTACACTTGGGTCTGTCGACTAACGAAAAGTCGTAGGGTGTGCTTTCGCTCACCGCAATGGCCTCTCCGCTGCGTACCAGCCTAACAGTTAGTTTGTGCTATCAACTGGCACGTTTGTTGCCTGTATTGCAACGAAGCAATGACTCTGAACGCCTCCATGACACCGTACTGCAATTCGCCGAGCGCCTTTACCTGCCCAACAACGGCCTTTGCTGAACGCCACGGGGGCTCCTGTCCCTTCACATCAGCGATACAGCCTCGACGCTTGGCTTTCAGTCGTTACGCACTTTCCGTTGACCAACTGCTTTGTACGCAATAGCAGCTTTGTTTGGCCGTATGCATACGGAGTCAAACATGTATCTAGTTCCAAAAGCATGACACTGAAAAGAATAGATGTCGGTCTTTTCAGAGTACCGTTCACGGCGCAGCACCTTAGGAGCAGTCCAGAAAAAAGTGCAAACGCCGCTGGTCATCGTTTCATCAACGCTTGTCTCGCGGTGGAGGCCGAATCGTTCATCTTGGCGTGAAGATCTTCGGTTAAAAGATTACTGAACGACCTCAAGTCGCGGTGCAGCACAGTGGTGACAAGGGAGTGCAAGTTTACCAGTGCGTTGGAATTTTCTGCTGCAGTAGCCAGCTTGTCATTCTACCATGTATTTCCTGCGATTTGATTGTGCTAAGAAGTGCACAAGAATTCCAAGTAAAGTCTTTTGTTCGACACTTGTCGTCCTGAAACGTTACTGCCTCTCATGCTTCCTTGCTCGCCGTAGGTCGAGTACGACTGCATGAAGAACGTATGATTCTCATTCTCGCGAAGGCCATCTTTCGGACAGTTATTGGCGTGACGCCAAATCACAAAGAACAAGACACCCGTCAAAATGAACACTCTTAACAGCAGAACAACATTGTCAGATGATGAGGCATCATAAGGACGAGTACAAGTTGACGTCTTTTGACATCGTGGCCTCGAATGCTTCTATCTCCCAGAGCTTCACCCTCAGCTCAATATCCGCGTGCGCTCTTGAACACTGTTGTCCGCGACCGAAGCGGCCACTTCTCTACATGGAGCAAACAACTGAGCACTATTGAGGCACGTGCTATCATTCGTCGTTCACAAACTCTTCTGCGCCAGCAAGAGAGCTAAATAGGGTCCTCAGCCGTATCGTTGTGCTGGAATATCAGTGTAACGTTCTGAGACCACATGGGTCTGTTGCTCTTATGGAGTGACTAGATACTCGAATATCATTACACAGAGATTCCTAGTCCTCATGTACTAGCGTTGCATATTGATTTAGTGTAGCTAATCACTTGGCACGTTGCATGTCAAACGGAAAATTGGTGAAGTTGTCAACAAAGCCAACGAGATCGTAAAGTGCTGCGTTCAAATTTGTAGATGTTATGACAGTAAATGTAACTGACGGAGATATTGCTTGCCGAGTATTGACCCCGCTATGGTAGCAGGATATATACTCGGACCTTCCTTGCATTGCTAACAAAGCACCAGTAGATACCAATGGGTACAAACGTGTGACTATCCATGACTGTGTTTGAACGGACATGTTGGTACCAATGAGACCACCATTTCAAAGACACTGTTGAACCCAGCCTCACTGTGTACTTAATCGTCCTGACTCTTCTTCGTCGGCTTCTGCGGATGCATGCGCAAAATGGCTTCGTTCCATTGAGTGGCGTCCTTTTCGGAAAACTGACGCTCCTTCATCTTGTCATACTTGTACCAGGCCACACCAAGGCCGAGTGCCATTACCCACGATGCAATACTGTTATAATAGACACTGGTCCTTTAATTGTCATGAAACTAGACAAGAGGGGATTGAATAAAACGCACCGAACATTTCGCGGATTCCTCTCAAAGAACTTTGCCATTTTGAATTCGTATGGACCTCAGCTTTGTATTCAGGTTTTGCAAAAAGAGGTCGATAATTCCGTCATTGATCATGGGTTTGATAACTGTCATAACTGTCACTTCAACGTCTTGAACCACGTCTTCCTCGAAAAAAAAAACGTGAAAGAAGAATCTTTTTCTTCCTTTTCAATGTCTCAGAGGTTAGTCGTCGGGTCTCAATCAAGTGATTCTGTGTCCTGTCCCAAACTAGTTGAGTTTTTCAGCATGCAAAGGCAAATTCATTCGCGAAATAGCACCGTCAAAACAAGATGACCACACCGTTTGAGAACCCGACCAAGATTGCCAATCAAGTAAAGAGCGGCAAGTGGACGTAAGGATTTATTTGTATGATACTGTTGTGGCTACGATAGTGTTTGGTTGGTGACGATAATGTGGGTGTTTTTTGAATGACATAGAACTCCTTTGCTCGTTGCTGCTGGAGTTGGAGCTGCAGCTTGGTATATGGTATCGAAGCGCGATATGAAAACTGCCCCACCTCCTGATCGCGACCCGCGCGCGCCACCATCGAAGATGAAGTAGTTACAGCGCGATTGCCTGGACAAGAAACGTGTGCGTAGGGAAGTGAAGCTGTGTACATCACAAGCGGACCGTTAAACGAATTGAAATCCCATTTACTTATAGCTGTTGTTTGTGTTAGCGCATGCTTTTTATCTTGGGCATTCTGGTGTTAGCATGTTGGAACGTGCTGTCACAAGCTCTCAGTTTGACAACTTTATTTGTGCGAACATTATAGTGCTAGTTTGGTGCAGTAGCGTTGATCTATAAAGCTTTTGCTTCAGCAAGGCTGATGGCGGCGAAGCATTCGTTGCGAATGAGCCGACGAATCATCTTGCAACAAGTGCTGACCGAGCTTTCATGAGTCATAAACTCGAGGACAAGGGCCCATTAGCTGGTAAAAATTGAGCGCGATTCAATGCAAGGTCTCGCAAAGCGTAAAAGTTTGTAGTGGGATAGCCGATGCAACGTGACAATGACCCTAGGGACTCACCGTCTCAATAAGCTTTGAAATTGACACCACTCTTTAACTTGCTGCATCGTAAATATGAGAATATAGTGGCCATGCAGCGAACGTCAATTCGGGAGTGGTTGAAGATGGAGCATTCGAGCAGCTGAAGAGCTCGTTTGGTGTTCGCAAAACAGATCTGCTCGATGCTAAGCGTACTCCACAAGGAAAAAATGAATTGGTGTAAACATCACTCATTGCTGAATCCTTTGTACATGATAACAACTACAGGCTTGTACAAACAACGGCATTACAGTCGTCGACGCATCAGCTCTCATCACTCAATAAATCTAGTTGCGGCGACGTCGACTGCATTTCGCATGCGTGGTTGTGGTAGGAGCCTCTGTAGCAGGAGCATCCTGATTAGCGTCCGGAGTAGAAGCGTCCGGAGTAGAAGCCTCCGGAGTAGCGTCCGGAGTAGAAGCCTCCGGAGAAGAAGCTTTTGGAGTAGAAGCCTTCGAAGTAAAAGTTTCCGGAGTAGAAGTTTCCGGAGTGGAAGTTTCCGGAGTGGAAGTTTCCGGAGTAGTGGACTCTGTAGCAGGAGCATCCGGAGTAGAAGCCGAAGGCTTGTCGCCGGAGCCGTCACTATCTGCCTTCGGAGTCACCTCAGTCGTCGAAGGGGCCGTATTGGTCGTGGGGGTTGGCGAAGGCGCATTGGAGCCTGTGGTGGTCGTCAGCGTGCCTTTACCCACAGCCGCCGGCGGTTCACCGCGACCGGAGCCACCTACCAGCCACACGCAGTGAACATACACCTGCAATGGGTTGCTTTGAACCGCAATCCAGAAAATAGTGAAACGGTTAGCGTTCGCGCACTTGGACTTGTCGTACGGTATTTTGGCCGGAATATCTGGATACGTTTTCTGGCAGTCGTAGTCGAACAACAACTTGGTGTCGTCGCACCACATCTCGCATGGTCCCGGGTGCGTAAAGCCAGTGTAAGTGATCTCCTTCGCTGGCAGCTCAGAACGGTCCGATTCTTTGAAAAAGGTCAATCCGCATTCAACGTCTATCTTGCTGCTGTAAAGCTCTTGGTAACGGGCAATGAACGCGCCCAAATTTTTCGCCTTCGTGGACTCAAAGACACGCTTAAAGAAGGCTGTCTGCGAATAGTCATGGGTGGCGACACCGTTGAGGTCCGACCACCTCGTGCTGTTGATGGTGCTGCCGTACCCGTTGCTTGCAAAGCCCGGGGGCCCCCAATTTGCTTCGGGGTCCACGACGTAGGCGTGACCCTGCACGGTACGCAATGAGGCCAGGAAGGTGGCTCCTGTGGCGATGAGAGTAAGAAGCTGCATGTCAATTATCTAGTTAAAATGATACCGTGACTTTCGACCGCAAGATCGCGAATGAGGAAGTCGGACATGTTCATGGGATCCGCTACTCGGTTTGCGCATCGATTTTACATACCGATCGAAAGGATAACTTCTGCCTCATGAAAGCATGTGGTAAATCGCAAAAAAAACGGGTCAGACTAGAAGCACTTGTCGCCGCTTCGTTGCATCGGCAGTCGGCGGCTTCTCTTCCGTGACAACAGCTGATCCGGACAACGTCGTGTCGATGCTGGTACTATTCAATGCTGAAGCCGGTGTCGTATCCGCCATCGAATACGTGATGCTACCTGTAATTGAAAATATGTCGTGGTCTAAAACCGTTGCTGGTCATGATGTCCACTTACACACCCGAGGAACACACAGACCGCGACCGCTGTTCGACGACAGCAGAGCACTAGTAGATTGTGCATCAGTAATATCGTCGCATTGCGAATCGTACAAGTCTTATATGACATAACTTGCCTCTCCATCCCCAAATTTTCGCAGTCAGGGCCCAAGCCAGTCCATTTCTCATCACGGGCATCCCTCTTCGGTGGGAATTCTTCCTCGCCGAAGTCGAAGTGAGTGGAGTCATGTCTTAGGCATGCATCTTGCGCGGCCACCGGTCGTGCGGACAGTAGATCAGGGGAAGATACTATACAGGCGGCGTCCTCGCACCACGCGTCAATGCTTCGATAAACGGACAAGTCAGCTCGACGGACCACGCAAGCGGTCATAAAGGGGGCTACACCCTACGACACGTGCCATCGCTCTAACAACTGCGCAGTCGGAAAAACTCTTAGTGTTGATGAACCGACGATGGTGTGTATGGCTCATGCACGACTCGCATTCTTGCATCGTAATTTGCGATGACGCCAAGGCAGCAATTGACCATGAGATAGATCACTAGTTACAACGCGTGATCCAAATAATGTTTGTCGATCTCACGTTTATGGCTACGATCATCGACTCTGACTGCGTTCTTAGTTGATCCGCTCCTCAGCTTCTTGCATATCAACGATACTCGTATGAATGAGATCGGTTCGTCATTTTCTCGATTGTTTCAGCAAAGATGGCGAAGAAGTTGTGCCGCATACTTTTACTAATACTACTAGAAGTGATTGTCATCACGGACGTGCCCTTCGTCCAAAGATTAGTACACAATGAAGCCTCGCCGACATCCGGTGGCAGCTGACGGCCATCTCTGGCCCTGACGGTCCACCAAAGCAAGTTTAGCTATCAACACGAAGGAGCCCTTGACTGTCAAATTTGTCGCCTTCACATGTACCGGCGTCTCGAACGGCAGGTAGAGCATCGTCTGACCGTCCTCGTCTTCTACAGCTGCTGACTTGGCCACTTGATCCCACGAAACTGGCAGAACAACTTTCATACGATGCTGTACGAAACTTTCCTCTGGTGACGCATCAACGACACGTTCATCAAGTAATGAACTTGTACTAACGCTACTGACCCCAGTGACGCCAGCACCGGCCAGACACACGAGTATTTCAGTCTCGATTGCTTCAATTCGCTCACTCCAATAACTTTGAGCTTTACGTGATATCGCCAACACGCCCTTAAACACACTTGTAAAATCTGTACCGATGGGCACTCCAAGTTGTGAACGTGAGCGAGGCTTCGCTGTGAAAGCTGTATTCTCAGCGTAGGTTAAGAACTGCGCACTCGAGAAAAGGCGCTGCTCATTGCGCAGACGAGAACAGAAAAATAGTCTCGGTAGTACCAGAGGAACACCGCAAAGGGAAGCCAGAAGTTGTTGCAATACGCGTGCACCAGTACCAGGCTGGCGAGAGGGCGCAAGGTTAGCAACACGATCCAATTTGCTGCGTACGTCCTCGCTTAGTAACTTCAGCATCTGAAGACTCCACTGGGAACCGTTAATAATGAGCCCCCACTCTGTCGGAAAATCAATGGAGTTCGGAGACTGAAGTAACAGAAGCCCTTCTACTGCTGACGCCAGCAAAATGCACGAATTGGCGTGAGCTTGAAGTGCATCAAGGTCACGCTGGCTGGCACCAAGCAATAAGGAGCGTAAAGCTTTGAATTTACGAGCAAGTACGCGTAATTGCTTACTTAAATGCCCCTCACGACCAGCAGAATTACCAGCTGAATTTGTAAACACAGCCTCGCCCGCGAGCTGTTGTGTACTCTGTAGGAACTGCACCCACTCAAGTCGGAGCGAAACGAGATGCAGCTGTAGTTGAAAGCGAAAGCTTGACGTTTGCGCTGCTTGCAAGTACATACTGGTGCGGGCAAGGGAGTGAATACTTTCCAGGTGCACAAATTGGTCTGATGCAATACGTGACTCTGCTTCACACAGGGCTTGTAGCGCACGCAACCACCCACCAAAGCACTCGCTATCGGCACTCGCTACAACCACCTCCATTAGTTGCAATGCTAAAGCGAAACGCCCTCGCAGCATCGCTAATTTCGCCATCTCATACCGCTCGGCGTGGGACTCATAGTGCGCTGGATTTAGGAGTTGTTGTTCAAATTCGGCAATGGTTCTCCTTGTACCTTTGTCATCATCAGTGATAGCGAACGTCATTTCCTGGGTCCAGAGAAAGAATGTAGCTGCAACAGCCTGTAATCGAGGTGCATCTGTCTGCTTTACGGTCAGCAGTTCCTTCAGCAAAGTTGGAAGCTCCTTATGAATCAAGTGGACAACTGGTGGTCGAAGCTGGGTTCCAAGCACCTTAAAGATGGACGTCCTACGTAACTTGGATATTGTAGAATCCAGATTCTCAGTGGGAATCAAGAGCAATTCAACTAAACGCGATGAAACGTACGCCGCAAGATGTTCGGGATAGTCTTGGCATAGTCTAGCAAGCGCGCACAATACGTGATTCCACGTAGACTTGGCAGCAACGGCTGCGCGTGGATGCAGCAACATCAACAAATTATCAACATTACACTCCGGCGATATTGTCTCCACAGATGAAAGCTTCTGGCGAGCGACATTCGAGATGACTGATACATAGGCCTTTGCAAAACGTTCGTCCGCGGTAAAAGCAAGAAGCTTATTGGCATCCTCTAACAGTGCGTGAGCCTTTTCGCCCAGTACGTGATCAACACACCACTTTTCAAGCAAAAGTAAAGCTGATAACTTGATGCGCATCATGCCACGACCCGATGTAACGTGCAGACTGCTAATTCGTGAAAACATACCTTCCAGAATGTTAGCTAGTTGGTCATCCTCATCAGTGCCTGCTTTTCCAACAAGTTGTTGCGTCACCATCAGTGTAAAATTTCGTACAAGTGCACGAGGTTCTTGGTCAAGAACATGATGCAACAATTGTCCATGCATCATCAATAACACTTCCGGGTAAGCAGTAGTCATTGTCGTCATCGCACGTATGCTTGCGACCGCACTCTTATCATCTGCAAAATGCTCATACAACTCGGCGCAGTGAGTCCACGCTTGTTGTGCTTCAGTCATGTTGGAGATTGCTCGAGGCAACAAACAGCACAATTTCGTTGACGTTTCAAGACTAAATGTGAGTACATTCTTCCGAAACAAAGACGAGAGAGGTAAAACTGCATTTGCTGCTTCAATTGCAGCCAATCGCTCATCCATATCATCGGCAGAAAGTCCCTTCATAATCTGCTGCTGTATCTCCATGGCATGTACAAGCAGAGACGGCATCGTTGCCAACATTTGTAGTGTCAGTGTCCGAGTCGCCACAGAGGTCGCATGTGTCAAGGGTCCTACCAAATGACCCAGTAGCTACAATGAAATAGAACAAAAGCAGCAGTCCGTTTAGTCGGATCCGTACTACCTGATTATATTCTACCAACCTCAACAACCAAAAAGCTTTTACCTTAGAGGCATCATTCACTTGAGCAATATGAGCTTTTGCACGTTGAAAGATCCTTAGAATAGCACTTTGAACACTTGTATTTCCACTATATGACAACAGGAAGACACCACCATATCATTAAAGTCGACACTACTACCTTGTTCTACCTCGTTCTACCTTGTAGCAAAATGCTCGGCCAATTTCGTAAAAACGGCAGCTAAAAAGTCCGGCCATAAATACGATTCGACCGTGAATAGACGCGAGTAGAACATAAAACACTCGACCATTGCACCGGCCATTGCGTTCTCCATGGCGATTGGATTATTGTGTTGCGTCACTTGTAGCTGCAGCGCTTTTATTTGGACCTCAAGTTGGGCAAATTCCCGCAGATGAAGGTCAGTTGAAGTACTTTCTATCCGTTTAGGGTCCAGCAGTAAAGCAAATTGATCGTTGGACGTTGCATGCAACGAATCGGCTGCTGGATTGCCATGGAAGACGCGGTAGTGCGAGTGGGGGACACTTAGCATTTTGTAGAATGCTGTCAAATAAGATGAATTTGACCAATGAAAATGGTTCTAGTAACTTGCTTGAATTAGTGAGGTTTTGACCAATCCAGATGTCGAATGAAATGGAGCCATGTTGTGTAGATTTTAGAAATGGCATCGTTTCATTTAGAAACTCAAGAGCAACAACCTGCTGCACTATGACAAGTTTTTTGTGGCAAAGCCGTCGCGTTGTTGGTGGACAGGCAACGGAAGATCATGAGGTATGGACGCAGATGGACAGATAGACGATTTCTAGCAAATGCTTCTATGTCAATAAGAGGAATAATTCATTTCAACTATAGGTACCAATGAAATAGGTTTCTTAGTGCAGCCTTGGTGTACTATAACGGATGATCAAGTTAAATTGCAGCAGAAATTGCTGGCGATTTCTGTGGATGCACATCGACTAATGAATCTCTGTCTGTTGTGATGGAATAGAGGCTTTTATGTATTCCGATGAAATTGCAGCATCTAGACGCCAGATCGCGTTGAACGGTAAAGCAATTGCATTTTTGCGCTGTTGCTTGACGCTCGTGCAAACGTTGCGCTTGATTTTTGAAAGTGAGGATCAACGCCATTTCCTGTTTCGTCACGACATTTACGATGACTTGACGGATCTGACGAACTTAGAACAGAGCTGACTCCTCAAAACTATACCATCGTCGGCATAGATCTTGTTCTTCCGTGTGCTTGGCTTGCTACTTGTATAGAGTTTTTATGAAATTCCACTGGTTTTTGTGAGAAAGATGAAACAACCCAATCAATTCCATCTTATACCGCATAGGACAAAGAAGATAATGAGACGGACCATTGGGTTAAATGAGGTTACGTTGGCGCAGAAATGTCATTTTGTATCTTCCAATTGAATCATTTCAATGCTATCCTCGAGAAATTCGGTCTCCGGCGGGCTAGCACTGCTTGTCGTAACTGATGTATACCTGGCTCTCTGTCAAGTTCCCTTCCAAGTATTCCAATTCCATCATTTTTGACATACACAATTTGACGCTACTTTCATTATCTTTCCAGCATCGTTTGCGTTTGAGATCAAAGTAAGAGGTCTACTGTATACTTATCAGCGTGAAAGCGAGTAAGCATCACAGCCATAATTGCTTCAGCATCCTTTGCTTCATATCAAGAATGAAGTAGTGCGATCATTTCGCAAATATGTGTCCGTTGTTTCAGCTGATGCGGCATTTTTGCAGTTGAGCTGTCGAGTCTCATATAAAGAAGAAAGTGCCGGCACCAACCATAAAGATTGTCGACTCGACGACTTTTGCTTAGGAAGTAGATGAAGCAAATATCTTCCAAGTGGTTAAACCAAAATGAATGTTCAATGCTGGAAAGAGACATTGTGTATAATCGGATACAAAATCTTCCTGCAACGTCCTAAAGACGCGCTGTCTCAATGTCCTAGTATGTCCATCACTCTTTTTTGTCTACCAGCATGTTCATTATCGTGCAACTTTATCCATCGTGTCTATAGGACGTCCAAATCATTGTCATCGTCTCCCTTTATTTGCCTACAAGCAGTGAGTCTTAATCTAACACATCATCTCAGTGCGGAATGAAGAATGAAGGTCACTTCAACATACATCACCCAAACCTAGTTTCGAGCATTGTTGCTGCTCACAATAGCTACATATGCTGTATTGTAGGTCAAAGCTTTTGACATGAGTTCACGAACAAAGCGCAAAAACCTGCAAAAGCGTCGAAAACGGCGACTATTTGCTATGATTGCAGCGGAAATACAAGCGAGTGTGCGTTGTTATGCTGATCACTGTAAAAATTGCGATCTCATCGTGTGTTTAAATCACTTTAGAACGCTCTAATACTGGAGATATTGACTGATATATGAATAACTTTAGGAAGAGGTCCAATGGACACTTGAAAAGGAGGAACTGGAGCAAATGAGGAACGAAGAAGAACGGCAACGAACCCATGAAAAGTGGCAACAGGCGGTTGCGACTTCTGTTGCAGCTTTTAATAAGCGCAGAAAGATTTTGGCTCAACGACAACAGCTGATCGTGTCACTACGGCAGGTAGGAGGACATACATATGGCTACACTTTCTTCTTGATCTGGCTGTTGACGTAATGATCTTGTTGTTTAGCAGCAAATGCAGCAGGATTCCGGAAAATAGTCAATCAAATTGGCGTCGTCTTGTAGGAAACACAGCCACGATTATTATGCGGACAGAGAATGACAGTAGACTGGATATATATATCACAGTAGTCGACGTCACATAAGCGCTGTCATGAATTTTTCGTGTGGCAAGAGGACCAAGGACCACGAGAAAAACAGCATAGGTGATTGCAAAGCAGTTAAACGCGAGATGGGATGCACCGCCATAGAGAACAATGCGCGGCTGGCGACGTTAAGCTGAAAACACCCATAATGGCAGCTTCGTTGCAGTCGTGGTAGGAGTAGTCAAACAGTGTTCAAATAATGGAATATAAACTAATTGTAGACTACGAGGCCAATCGTATTGTTATCGCTGCATCGTTTAGGCGACAGAGATCTCGACCAACTCCACACAGCAGGTTAGGAAAGAAAGCAGCCCCTTCCGAGTGTAAACTAACAAGTTGCAGTGGCGCGATGGGTATTGTGGACGAAGAGCGATCAGTTTATGGCTACCCCTACTCGGTAGCGACTGGAACAGCTACTGGCGAGCTAGCAGGGTCATCAAACATGCTCGTCACGATCTTCTCGATTTCTTGAGGTGTTTTACCACATTTTGCAAGCTCCAGGACAAAGTGCTGGCGGTCTGTGCCAGCAAGGACGTGGCGCTGATCCAAAACACGCTGCGTTTGGTTGATGGTAGCAACGAAGCGGGGCTCCACGATCCGCCATGCCTCCCAATCTTGACGATTTTGATTCGCACACTTGACCGCTTTATTGTCGTCACACTGGAGGACATTTCCAGTGTGGCACGATACGAAGTAGAGAGCGCAACTCGAGTCCGTCTCCATAGTAAAGAGCTCCCACTCGCCAGGCTCAGTGGGATCAAACACGCATTCTCCAGATACGCGAACTTGCAGGAAGCGGCCGGTGTGACGAGACTGGATAGCGATCTTGTCGTCGCGAACTCGATGTAAAATGAGCTGCTCGTAGATGTCACGATTGTCTGTTAGACAACGAGCTTTCTTGGACCCGAGAGGATTCTGCAGATTTATATGTTTACGAATCGACTGAAGAATGACAGGCGCCCCGAACGGAATCGTGGATAGATCCATGGGAAGAAGGTGTGTTACGAGGAGCGTGCAAGATCTTTTGTGGGAGCTTGGTCAAGTTTGAGGTCGTACGACAGTATAACCAGCCAATCATCCGCTTCTAATGCCTCCCTCATCACGTAAGAAACCATGACCGACCATGCTATTCAAAGTCTCTAGCTAACATTGTAATCAGGAAAAAGGAGAAACCAATGGACCGACCAGACAGTCGTAGCAAACGAGCGTAATGACGTCGCGCACTTACTGAATGAAAGCCTTGGCGAGTGCCATAGCCTCGTCCACCTTTTCCATAGTCTTGGCCTGACCCGTAGCATTTAGTGCGTCCTTGCCGCCACCCTTGCCTTTCATCACGACCATGGCGTGGTTCACCCACTTACGCGCGTCTAGCTGCTTCGAGTCAGTGTGCTGCTGACTCACCTGCGTGAAGGCTGCCGTCTTGTTCGCGTCCGAGTCCGTACTGAAGATCATGAAGCTGCCCGTCGGAATGACTGTGCTCATGGCCTCCAACATCTCCCGGCCGAGTTTTGAGTCCGTGCCAACGTCGAACTTCACCACAACAATCTCTTGGCCAGCCTCCTTAGCCTTCGTGGCCTCGGCAGTAGCGTCACGGACACCGTTCGCAGCACGAGCAGCCGCAGCTTCTTTCTTAATCTTTTTGACGCGGCTCACGAGACTGTCCACCTGCTTTCGAAGCTTGTCCTTCAGCGGTAGCGAGATCAAGGCCTGGTCCAATACCGGCTTGAATGAAGACACGTGCTCCACGAGCTCGATGCCGCCCAGCTTGGCAATAGCATCAAGATCAGCTTGCAACTTGGTACCACGCGCCTCAGCCTCAACGGCGAGGTCGCACGTGTAGGCTGATACACGACGGATACCCTTCGCAATGGCACCCTCCTCGTACAAAACAAATTTCTTGGCCTCCTTAGTATTCTTTAGGTGGGTGCCACCGCAGAACTCCACCGAATAATTGCTCCACTTGCTGTTCTCCGGGTCCTCGAGCATAGGAGCGATTGGCTGCCCGATCGAAACAACGCGGACAAAGTCCGGGTACGTCTCACCGAACACGGCGCGCAAACCTTGGATACGCTTGGCTTCAGCCTGTGCGGAGTCCTGTGTGTACACCTCGAGCTGCTGCTTGATGATATCGTCGCAAATAGCCTCCACGTCCGCAAGCTGGTGAGCCCTCAGCGCCTTGCTGTTTGTGAAGTCAAAACGCAGACGCGATTCGTCCACTAGCGATCCACGTTGATCCACGGTCGTACCCAGCACCTTGCGCAGCGCAAAGTTAAGCACGTGCGTCATGGTGTGGTTAGGAGCGATCTTGGCACGGCGGACATAATCCACCTGACATTCCACGACGTCGCCAACCTTGATCGATCCGGAAGTGATGGGTCCCATGTGCATCACGTATCCAGCGTACGACTCCACCGAGTCCACATCCAGCTTGAAGCTGGTACCTCCCACTACACCCGTGTCATAAATCTGACCACCAGCCTGCGCGTAGAACGAAGTCTTGTCCAGAATGACACCTACACGTTCGAAAGCACCAGCCTTCACCTCCTCTACAAAGTCCGAGCTGGATTCTGTTGTCGTAAAGATAGCTACTACCTTAGCTGGCGTCTTGACATTCCAGTCATACTTGGCCATGTCATCCGTGGCACCGATATGCTTACTAGCAAGTGTGCTGGTCTCACGGGCCTCTAGGACAAGCGGACGCGCACCATTGCAACCACCCTTCCTACGGTCCATCTTGGATCGCTCGCTCTGCAGACGCATGCACTCTTCGTAGCCCTTAATGTCCACCGTCATGCCCTCCTCCTCAGCCATAATCTCCGTCAGATCGATAGGGAAACCCATTGAGTCGTACAGAAAGAACGCGTCCTCGCCAGGCACGACGAGGGCCTCATTCGAACCCGCGTTAGTCTCACGGATAACCTGCGCAATCTTCTTGAAACGCTCAATGCCCTTATTCAAAGTGCGACCGAACGACTTCTCCTCGTCCAAAATGATCTCCTCCACTTCCTTCTGCTTCTGAATAAGCTCCGGGTAAGCTTCTCCCAGCATGTCTACCACAACCGGCACCAACTCCGAGAGGAAGCCACTCGGCGCGTTCAGGAACTGCTGCCCGTAACGCACTGCACGACGTAGGATACGACGCAGCACATATCCACGCCCGTCATTGCTAGGCACTGCACCGTCCGTAATAGCAAACGTCAGCGTTCGCACATGGTCGGCCACAACACGATAGGCCATGTCCTTCTTGTCCAGGTCTTCTTCGCCCAACTTGCCCGTGTACGGCGCCGCGTTTGTTGACTTCTGAATAGCTGCAAAGAGCGGAGTAAACACGTCCGTATCGTAGTTTGAATCTTTACCTTGCAAAATCGACGCAAGACGTTCAAATCCCATGCCTGTATCCACGTGCTTGTGTGGGAGCTGCACAAGTTTACCATCCTGTTCACGGTTATACTGGATAAACACATTGTTCCAGATCTCGATCACATCAGGCACGTCTGCATTTACCAGACTAGCAGCATCCCTGTTACCAATTCTATCATAGTGGATCTCCGTGCAAGGTCCGCACGGGCCAACATCTCCCATCTCCCAGAAATTGTCCTTGCAGTCAAAAGGTAGCACTCTCTCAGGAGGCAAGTAGTCAAGCCAAATGAGACGCGTCTCTTCGTCCGACAAAAGGCCTTGCTTCTCGTCTCCACCAAAGTACGTGGCGTACAGTCGATTCTTGTCAATTCCGTACACTTCCGTCAAGAGCGTAAAGCTCATGTGCACTGTCTCCTTCTTGAAATAGTTACCAAAGCTCCAGTTGCCCAACATCTCAAAGAATGTATGATGATACACGTCCTTGCCCACGTCATCCAGATCGTTGTGTTTTCCACCAGCACGAATGCATTTCTGCGAGTTGCAAGCTCGCTCGAGCTTCGCCATGGGATGTGACGGGTCCACTTGGCCCAGGAAAATGGGTTTGTACTGGTTCATACCCGCATTAATAAACAACAACGTCGGATCGTCCAATGGCACGACGGGACATGACTTGTAGAATGTATGGGGCAGTTTCGTCTGTGACTTGAAAAAGTCCATGAACGTCTTGCGGATCCGCACGGCGGGCCACATTTCAACAGAGAAAAGAGAAAGTACAGCAATCTTTGTTTCTAGCGTCTTGACACGCACCTCTGAGGCCTCTATCGTCTCTTCTAGCGACGTCACTTTGCTCTTCAAACCGCTCATTCCTTTAGTAGCGCAAGTAAAGCAAAGATAGATGATTGGAGGAAAAGAAATGAGGATTGCAATGTAAGGATTGATGCAGAAATAGTGTGAACCACGTTACTTTTTGATAATCGGATGACAAAACGGTTTCGACAGGGAACTAGTGATTATGTTAGAGACGATCTAATGCTCGCTAATACCAAGACAGCAATACGTTGTCTCTGTCCCACCCGTATTGTCCCACTCTGCAACATTCGTGCAAGTTCTTTTGCTCTTAATTTCATACTTATCGTTATATTTCTGTAAGTTTTTGGACCTTTCGCGTCCTTGTAGCATCTGCAACTGGCTTGACACTTAGTGTAGTTTAGTGTGAAGAAGAAAGTACACAAAATGACCACGATGTTGTGGTAGCAGGTCACGTGCAAAAGAATTGACCAACTTTACATTTCAAGAGGTACAGAATTATACTGGAGGAGTCCGTCGACGTCACTGAGACTTCTCCAGGGCACACTCTACCAGTGGTTCATGGGACGAGCAGCGCTCCTCAGGCAGAACAAGGAGCTAAGTATGTCCACCTGCAACCGGAACCATCCCCCCCCCGCGAAGCAACCGTGGCTCACGAAGGCAGACAAAGGGGGGCGATCACAATCACAGTGGGTAAAGAAAATGGTTGCAACTGCTGCCTCAGCATCAACGTCCGGAGTATATCAGGTGCTCATGGAGGACGACGACGAATCGGAAGGAAAAGTTGACACTAAGCGCAATAGCGTGGCGAAACCTTTGAAGTCACCTGTGGTCGATTTGACGACGGAATCTAATAAAGGACATGGCCACACCGAAAGGTCTCGTCTTTCATCCGACGACAAGCACCGAAAATCGGCAGCGACAATGCGCGGCCCAGCACCGGCTGCAACGGGACCCGTTATACTAACGCACAAGAAGAAAGAGAGAAAGACTTTTCAAAAGCTAGTCACCGGGGAGACGGTCACGAAATTTCCATCGCTGCCGATGGGCGCAAGATCGACAACTTCACCAGCAACATTGGCAGAGGTAGAAGTTCAGTTGGGAGTCCGTTCGGTCGTCACGCCGGCGACTGGAAATTGCATGGCTATGGCAATAGTACAGGCGGCAGCAGACGCAACTTTGGACGGACCAGGAAACACACTGGAGCTGCTAACTGCCAGCCTTAAACGAGGCATCAAATTTTCAGGGCTGTTAGATCTAGAAGGTCAACTCGCCCATGACCATCGAGTGCAGGCGCTTGCTAATGTTAAGCGAGGATGGACCTCCATGACGAGACAAGAGTCGGCCACACAAATGCGATGGTTCCTCGAGGATTTTGCTAACAGCTCTTCCAACAGAGCAGTGGAAGTAAGTGACGACACTTGGGGGGGAAGTGACACGGTCGGCATGGCAGCTAGTTTTTTGCAACGGAAAATTTATATACTGCAGCAATCAGATGGCCCGAAAAAGGGGTGGCAGTGCAAAAAATTTATACCAACCACGATCACACGCAATCGACGAGTTTTAGAGACAGCTGCGGAATATACACTGTCACTGATGGATTTAATAGACGAAGTCGTGGCAGTCAAGATCGAGAATCCCGGACAACCACCCCTGCTGCTGCATTTCTGGGGACGACATTACTCGGCGCTTCTCCATACTGGTCGCACCAGACAGCTCCCAGACTTTGCGGAGGAAGTGGAATGTAAGACTCCGGTTTCGACTGAGGACCTTCCTGCGGTAACGCACGCAAACTCGAGTAAGCCACACCTAGCGCTGAGGACGGCACCGGTGGATGCTCCGATGGAAGATCCATGGGACCCAGATTCTTGGAATGGTACACCAGACGCGGCTTGGGCCGCGTTACAGGGATGCTCGGTGCACCCCGATTTACACCACGATCTCCAAGTGCTCTTTAGAATTGACGAGCCAACGCGGTCTCGGGACCTCATTAAAGAGGTAGTAACGGCAGCGATGACAATGGCACTGCCGGCTTAGCAACAGTTTGCAGCGATATTAAGGGGGGCGGAAGGCGAGGAGGCCGAACTCGCTCTAACTCAGCGCATGCAGATTACGAAAGAAAGGTTGAGGCTTTGGCAATGCCAGCTTCAAGCGGCGGGCCACATGGCTCTTAACCTCGACCGTCGCTGTTTTCCTCCGGCCAGGGAAATCGTAGGTTTACTGACAAATGGCAACGGTCCTCATGATATGTCGAACACAAGCCGCACCTCAGTAGGGGAGTGTCAAGCTCTGGTACAGCACCAACCTACAGTGGGTCAAGATTTCAGTTCAATGGGCGTGCACGAGGTTTTACCAGCACTCCCCACCACGCCTCCGGCGGGGGTACATGACACTTCCGATGGTGCTCGAAAAAGAGGCCATTTAGCCTCCCCAGACGAACAGATAGTAACTGGAACTGTGGTGCGACACCAGCACAATGATGCTATTTTAAAAAAAGGACGACACGACACAATTACGTCGCAGATCACAAATGTGGACGCCTCTGAGCGCATAGATAGAGATGATTGGGCAGCTACGTGGGAGACACTAGCTCAGGGGTGGTCACATCCCGCCCACATCCCTTTCCCGACAGCTCAAAGCTCTACGATAGAGTGGCAGAGGGTAGCCCGGCATGCATCGGACCTTTTACTGTGGCATGTCAAGCGTTTCGTCTTTCCAGGGGAGCTCTTGCAGATGTTGGACGTGTCCGTTTTTGAGCACTGAATGACAGACAGTCGACTTTCATGTTTAACGGATGGGCTTAAGACGTATCGGAAACAATTAAAGGACCAGCCTACACAAGCATGGATTGATCAATGGATCGCTAATACGCAGCACCGCAGTCATCATACCAAGCTGGCGCCGCTATTTGACAACGCTGATGATTGAAAATTACTCCGTGCACATAACTACGCGGGGGACGATGTACTCAAATTATGCGATCCCCAGCGTAAAACCCGGCTCAGTCAGCACTTGTTGTGCGCGCTACTGTACGACACCGAAATAGCGGCGCTCGTCAAAGGCGCACCGACGGCTAAACGAGTGTCTGACAAACTTCGATCCCATATTCAACTAATCATCACGAACGGACGATATAAGGAAGCGTATTACAGCCCGACGAAATCGGCTAATTGGGTTGCAATCGAGCGATTTTTCTGCTCGGGACTGACCCATACGGAGGAAGCTAGTCTTATTGAGTACTAAGGGCTCTCTACGGATACCGCTGAAGACTACCTACTTTAAATCTGCGATCGCTAAAGCGGATGCCTATGGACGCCACGCAATACTTAACGATGCAAGCTTCTCAGAACACCCATCTCATCCAATAGCGGATCGTCGGCTTATAACCCAAAATGTTCTCGGGTTTAAACAAGACACACGAAAACTCTGGATGGAGGCTTGGCGAAAAACTCCGCCGACGTCCTATCGCGTGGTGCATTCAAGAAACCCACGTCACGACCGCGGCGGAAGTTTCTGACTTACAAATGGAGTGGAAACGTCTATGGGGAAAACATGTGGACGTCACTCAGGCCCCAATGTCGTTCTGGAGCATAGGCGCATCCAAGGCTGCGGGTGTCGCTATTTTACTCACGCCCCAGGCTGCTTCTGATGCCACTGCGTGGAATGAACATCGCTGGAATCCGCGAGCCATCGGAGTAAAAATACAGGACATGACCATCCTCAATGTATACTCGCCTAACATTCGGGCTGAGCGCGAAGATTTCTTTACGGGCTTACTGGAATGGAATATGCCTGTGGGCACCACTGTTCTACTAGGAGATTTTAATAGCGTGCAAAGTCCCCAATTAGATCGACTGGGGCAACGCTCGGCCAGCAGACCGGAAAGTCCAGCATTAGAAGGACTGCTGCAGGCGACGGGGCTCAGTGATGCCCGGCTTTTAAGAGATCATGCAGAGGACGATGAGTCTGCGGATACGACGGATCATTTTACTTATTGGAACAACGAAAAGGCCAGCAGAATCGACCGGATTTACGTGCCCCATGACTGGGCGCCACAGGTCATCTGGGTATCCTCAACACCACCTCCCCTATACTCGGACCATCAGCAAGTGGAATTACATTTACGGAATGCGCAGTCCGCTTTGAAACCTCCTAGGCGACGTCAACCTGCGTATCCCATAAAAGCTCATCAACCAGACCGCGTTCTGGCGAATTTGTTGCGCGAAATGGATAGTGCGGCGGTTGGACGCACGCCGTCAGTGCAGTCATGGGATGCGGATATTAATGAGTGCATTAATTGCATACGGGCTGTTACTCGACGAGAACAGCAGAGGCGTAAGCGATTTATTAGCAAAATTCGGCGGCGCAACAGACGACAATTTCTGATGCGTCGTCAGTGGATTTCTGCTAACATGGAAGAAATGCGAGAGGAGCATCTCCTCCGAATGGGCGAAAATTTGGAGCGTTCGGCGGAGCGGTTGAAATGGTCTTACAAGCGTGTCGCCAATTGGGAACGCAACCAACTGGTAACATCGGTGCGAGCGCGACATGGGGAGGCTTTTGGGCGACACATGTCCATTGCGGATAAGTTTGCCTCTGAATGGGCACCAGTGCTCAGCATCAGCCACCGTACCACAGCTCTTGAAGAACTACCTGCAGCTCTAAAGAATTTGGTGACGATCCCGAAGGAGCAGCAATTAACGGATCACGACAATGAACGATTATTACAGCCGATTACAGAGACTGAGGTGCTTTCAGCCATTCGAGGATTGAGTCGGCACAAAGCGGCCGGCCAGGATGGTTTAAACAACGATTTCTATAAAGATACGTCAGCGCTGCTGGTACCAGCTCTAGTCAGCATCAGCAATGAAATCCTCAATGGGGCGGATTTACCTCCCTCGTTTCTCGAGGCGCTAATAATCCCGCTGCGAAAAAAGGAGACTCGGACGACGCGATGGATTATCGTCCGATCTCCTTACTGCAAACCAGCTACAAGGTGTTTGCCAAGGTACTGGCAACGAGATTACAGCTATCGTTACCCCGGGCCATCAGCGACTCCCAACAAGGCTTTGTGCGCGGGCGCAAAATGTCCAAACCAGTTATGATGATGATGGCTCAACTGTCGACTGCAAGGGAGCAAGAGGAGGTGCCGACAGCACTCAGTCGGTGTATTTTGCTGCTGGATTTCAAGAAGGCTTATGATACCGTGGACCGGGACTTTCTGTACGCGACTCTACGTCAGTTCAGCTTTGACGAGCGATTCATCGACCTCATTCGACGTATTTACACCGGCACGACAGCCAGCTTCGTCGTAAATGGTTGTTATTCCACACCTCTACAGGTTCGGTCAGGGATTCGGCAAGGATGCCCGTTAGCACCTCTTCTATTTTTGCTAGCAGTTGAGGTTCTCGGCCTAGCACTTCTGCAAGACCCCAACCTTAAAGGGCTACAAGTGCCCGGCCAGCCCGGGCAGACCCACCTTTACTCAGCATTTGAGGATGACACCACCCTATTTCTCGAGACAGCGGAGCAAATACCCCACGCGTTACATGTTGTGCGAGCATTTGGCGCTCTTGCTGGCCTACAGGTTCAACCTGCAAAGAGTCAGCTGATATTTCTGAATAGATCTGTCATGCTGGAGAGGTACGAGGGAATGACGGTCGTCCCCGCGGGCGCAACAACTCGATACTTGGGCTATGAGGTTGGAACGGGGGAGTTAGTGAACAAGAACTGGGCCCAGCGGATCCGGAAAATTCAAAGGAGGCTTCTCACAGCGACACGAGTAGCAACGAGCGTGGAAAATCGTGTGTTAATCCTCAACTCCATCGTGCTTCCCTCATTATTATTTACCGCGATAGTTTTTGAATTACCTCGGTGGGCGGAAAAAGAACTGCACAATCTATACAAGCAATTCCTGTGGGCGCACGCGACGACGACAGAAAGCAGTCGCCACAAGGTTAATCCTGGACTACTTGTGACGCCAAAACAAGCGGGAGGCATCGGACTAGCGGCTGTTTCGGTAGCGGTTAAAACTCAACGCACAAAGCACGCGTTTGCTTGGCTTACTCAGAAGCCGGATAAATACTATACTGCATGGCGAATGTGGACTTTCCGGAACAATCAAGGACCGGCCGCGACAATAGTGACTCCGGCTCAGGCTAAACTACGGGCATCGTTTAACCGGGAAGGTTCGCCAGGCCATGAGCTGAGGCAGGAGCTGGGAGAACGGCTCTTCCCAACAACAGATCAACAGGACCAGGTGACCGCGTGGAGGCACGCCCACTCCTCGGCCTTACTTGACCGAGCCATTAGCTGGTGGGAGGGGGACGAATTGGTACTGTCGTTCATTGACCCTTTCCCCATACGGCTGCTGGGGTATGATGATATGCCGGAGGAAATTCAGCGATTCTGGGCCACTTTTAACTGGAGTGCGAACCCATGGATTCGGGACCAGGGAGGCAACATGCTGGCCAGGACTACTTATAACAGGATCGAGGACTGCACCCTCGATCAACTACACATCCGGCGTACGGGGCCAGCGGAATTCGTTTTACGAATACCAATCCCTCAGGACCAACCCGGCCCTCATTCCAACGCAAAACTCCGTCGGTGGGCAACAGCCATCTTGCTTTCATCCCCGGACTTACCTATCGGGTCAGAGTTGCACGCGGCACCGCCACTACGCCTACGACAGGCACCACCATGTCTCCGCAGTTTTCGCTGGAAGCTTCTCGGAGCAGGCCTTATCGAAGGTCACTCGACGGATATCAAGCACGGCCAAACTCGGCCTGTCACTCTGCACCAAGCTGATGATGGGTTACACTGGTTTTGTCACGGCTTCCTGCCGGAGCTCACTGTCGGTTCGCCATCGGAACGCCAGGCGGTCTGTCGTGAGATTAGAACTTGGGGTCTGGTATTCGAAGCGCACCCGCAGCTGCATCGGTTTCCTTGGTCTGTGCCGACCACAACGTCTAATCACTTTGTTACAAAGGCCTTAGGCAAGCAAGCTTTCCGGTTCCATAAAAAGGTTCTCGCTCGCCAACTTTCCGTTCTCATTGATCGACTGTCCAAATCTGCAACGACGGATGAATGGCAATGCGCAGCGCTCCGGCAAACGCCGAGGCAAGTGTGGGATCATAGTAATGGACTCACACCGTATCAAGTCTGGACAGGGTACAGGGTGGCGACAAGACAATTAAATCTGTATCACGCTACGAGGTACGAAAATAATAGTTGCAGAAAGGCACCGGCCTGCAGCGGCAGTGAGGAGACCATTGGTCATCTGTTTTGGGACTGTGCCTGCGCTGCAGCGCTATGGGGCAAACTTATTGGTCACTGGACTGGGCAACAAGTTACCCGCCAAGCGACCAAACACTTTGTGGTGGCCTGTGCAAGCCGAAGGGTTTACAGCATACCCGAGCACCGTATACAAAGTCTAGCGGACCGATTTCAGGATGACACGGATGCAGCCGAACGTGTCTGGACGCGAATTTGGCACGTCTTGGCAACGATATGTCACACACGGCTATGGGTCGACAGAAATGCCGCTGTCTACAAGGCAGTCCCGCTCCACCTTCCCAGCAGCATAGCCAGTTTTTGGGCTTCGTGCCTTTGTCAGCTCCGAGCGATCGCGAAGAGAGAGCATCAAAAAGTTGCGTCCGCCACAACGGGTGCTTTGCTATATGCATGCATCGAGTTGCTCGAGCGCGAACCTAGAGGGCCACCGCTTTCAACGGTGACCAGCCATGATTTACAGTCGGGCCAACCGGCGTTGACATCCTGGCTCAGGACTTTCCAGAGATCTTGCACATAGTTAACACCATGTAAATAGACGATCTGAACAAAAAAAAAGAATTATACTAGAGGCAAGAGAAATGGCACGTGAGTTGTCTATAAACACGGTGTTTACGACATTACAAAATTCAGGTGGAACAAAGATTTTATTGACAGCTGGCAATTCTAGTCAAGCGTTTTGACAGCTCTATGCTGCTCATACTCATCTTGAAGTGCACAAGATTCTGGAAACGTTGAGAAATGGGAATTTGCGAGATGAAAATGTCGAGATGCTGGAGCTATTAGGAAAGCGAGAGATGGGAAAGGACCGTACAGTCGCAATTCGACGCGTCACCCGGCACTTAAAGTGAATTGAATCATGCCATTTAATGCGGAGCCACCGGCAGAGCTGTTAATGGAGTTGTTCTTTGTGCGTCACCATATACCTGTGCCAGAGGTAGATATGGAGAATCTTACTTTGAAAATCCTGGACTAAGTGTTGATAAGGACATGGAATTGACGTTTGAAGAGTAAATTGAAGCACCACCCCCAAGTAAATGGGCTTGCATTACGAAGTTGTTAGCATTCAACGCCGTATGAAGATCCGAATGGGTGGTGATCTTATATTGAAGCGGCGAGATTGTGCTGAATGATGATATAGAAGCCAAACATGTGGCTCACATGCAAGACGCAATGGTGGTCGAGCCCACGCGGGTTCGACTCGATGCCAGGTTGCACAACTATCTGCCCTACGAGAAGTTGTCGAGGTATGAAGTTTTAGATGGATTGTTTGTTAGTAAGATAACTAAGTTACTTCGTGTTCGTTGCAACGTCATATTGAGATTGATCTAGGTTTTGGATTCAAGGAAACTCAGGCACTATGTGTTGACCTCATCCACGAGTACGTGACCATTAACACCGGTGATCGTCAAATAAGATATGATAGCTGTGGAGCCGATTAAAAACTAGCTCCTGCAGCTTCAAGTGGATACGGGATGCTGCTACACTACTGTCAATAAGGTTGGATGAAGCACTACCCGGTACTTATTTTTATTTATCAAGCGTCTTCCCACCATAAAAGAAAATGCACCTACTTTAATTTTCCTGTTGCTGACGGATAAGTGAATGTGCACTGGAACATCTTGCCCATCCATCAGCCACAAGGTTCTTTGAGCTCTGACAGAGCCTTTGCTGTAAATGCCATGATAATTAAATTACGGAATTGTCTACTCAATGGTCGGAAATGAACTATACACGCGTCGCAAACTCAAATCATGACATTTTTGTCGTGCAATGCCGCCCCATATAGTAGTAGTAGCAGACCGTCTATTTCAAACACTAAGGATTGGTAAGATGTATGGAGTGCTTCTACCAGGACTTCGTCATTCTTCGCCTCGCTGGCTCAATCTGCTGGCTCGAGACGTCGGGCGTCACAGGGCACACTCCGAAAAGGCACGTGGAATCGGTTATCCAGTCCGAGGTGTAAGCAGTGGCTTAATGAACGCAACAAGCGCCGGGCACCACACCGGTCAGTCCCGATCGACCGCTGATGCATCTGGACGGGGCCGATCAATTCACGTTCTTGACAAGTTCGGTTTCGTGGGACCGGTATTCGCACTCGGCGATCGAGTCATGCCGCCCCATATACTAAAGAAGTTTCGAATGAGTGACTGGTGTCGCAAATGGGAGCGGATGCGTGATAACTAAACAAAAAAAGGTGCTAACCTCTCTTTTTGTTTTTACATTTAGTTTTTGTATGTGACGATCGCATCCATTCTACACACGCCCATCATGATTAATAGCAATGGGACGCGTAGAATCATGACAAAGACCCGCTTCGGGGCCAAAAAAACGTTTCGTTTCGTTGTACCAATACATGTGTTAGTACACGTGGAAAACGTCGAAGTACTACCCTTTCTACTTCGAAAAAAGGGCTGCAGAGCATTAGCTTTGACACTGGTATGTAGTCTGTCCAATGGTTGTGCTCTATCTCCCTAAGGCCTTCCATTCGGTGTACATACGACGTGCTGTTTTTTCTACTGACTCTTAGCCTTCAGCAACCTTCGGAAATATATTTGCTCGTTTTACAATTCGACCTGCAGTTCAGACGATCATGCGAGTCCACATTCCATTGCTTTTTGCAGCAGTTGCAATCACGCATGCTACCAAAGCCGAGCCAGCAATTTTAGTCGGTGTGACCACGAATAAATCAATCACCGAGTCAAGCTCTACTGCGGCTAGAGAGAAAGGCGACGAGATGACGAATGCGAACGTTTTGGTAAAAGAGGTTGTTGCCGAAGAGAAGACAAGAAGAACTATTGCCACTGGGAGTCCGACTAAACCCTCTGAAGAGTCAACCTATACTGCGGGTAGAGACGACGGCGAAAGGATGTTAGAGAGACTCAGCGAAATGGTCGATAAGGTAAAGGATGCAGTAAGTTCTAAGGTGGGCAATAAGGTCATTGCGAAAACAGAAATTTCGCAACCTGATGCGTATAAGATGTTTTTGGAAGTGATCAGGAAGCCTTCTGAAAAAAATGCTCTCGGAAAGTTGAAAAAAAAATGTTCAAGGACAAACAAATTGCAGAGCTCATCGAATTTGCGAAGACGAAATATCATTATCAGGAAACCTTTTTGGCGTTGGAGAAAGCACAAATGATGCATTGGCTGAGAAAAAAAATCTGCTGATGATGTGTTTGAGCTGCTAGAACTGACAAATTTCCCGGCTAATCATGCAGATGGCCTACTTTGTAGTCCACTTTTTGGTTATTGGAGTACATACGTAAAAATGTTCAATACGGAATACCATAAGACAAAAGTAAGTGTCGTGGACACTTTGACGCCTAAGTATTACAGCGATGAAGATTTGGCGCGCCTAATAGTATCTGCGAAGAATGCCCCAAAACCTAACGATGCTGTTTTGGAATTGGAGAAAGCGCAAATGGATAATTGGGCGGAGGAGAAAAAATCTGCTCATGATGTGTTCAACCTGCTGGGACTGGCCGAGGCTAAAAATGGCCTGCTTGATCATCCTTTCTTCCATTATTGGAGTACATACGTGGAAAAGTTTAATACGATAAATCTGAAAAAAAGTTGAGTGTATTCGACAATCTGATGTCCGAGTACAAGAACAACGATGAAGACTTGGCGCGCCAAATAGTCAATGCAAAGAAGAAGAAGAAGAACAAAGAGATTAACAACAATGCTCTAGCATTGGGGGAAGAGCAACTAAAGTATTGGCTGAGCAAGGGTGAATCTGTTGATCGAGTGTTTGAGCTGCTGAGACTACATACAGTTGAGGATGGCGTGCTTACTAATCAACTCTTCAATCAATGGTATTCCTATTTTGAGATGGTCAATCGGAAACATGGCAACAAGGAAACGGTCATCGACTTCTTAAAAAATAAGAAGGGGACGAGCTTTGAGGTTTTTATAAACGATGAGTTGGAATTGGCAAACTTTGGAACAAAAAGCAGAGTTGATGAACTGTTCGTGGAGCTTAGACTGGAAAAAGTTGGGGACGGCCTGTTTGCTGATCCACTCTTTAAATTTTGGCGTGCCTGCTTGGAGAAGTTTAATGCGGCACATTCCAAAAAATCCCGAACAAGTGTTGTCCAGTCGTTGCGAACCGTTTACGGTGACAAAGGACTAGTCGACCTTATTAATGCTGAGCGAAAGGTCACAAAATCATCAGGATACGCTAGTCGTTTGGAGAACGATCTATGCGCGACCTGGCTGTCAGATGGAAAGTCATTAGACGACGTGTTCAGGATTCTTGAACTCAACCTTGCAGACTATAAGTTGTTGGAAGACCCTTCGATGGAGATTTTTGCCAAGTTTACGCAGGTTTTCATTATGAACACAAAAGAACTTCTAAAGACGAAGGAGGCGAGCTTTGAGGAGAACGAGATTCTTCGAGGTACAAAATTTGCATCGAGTACAGGAGGGTTTCGGTCTACGGATTCAGAAAAGGCTCTCTTCCGATTGTGGTTCACCCAAAATAAACATCCAGTAGAGGTTTACAAGATGTACTTTGGTCAAAACAAATTGGAAAGAATTCCGAAAGACGAGGGCAATTTGTTTAAAATCCCTCTTTTCATCACTTTCGTGAAGTATTTGGAGGGTTATTCCAGAACCAAAAGACTTGCAACAGATGAAGAAGTAAAAGTGGTTGTAACAAACCCCGAACAGAAACTGTGGGGGACTGACTTAACATATATGGTAAAGTACGTAGATCGTGAGTTTGACGTGTCATTACTGTTACAGGATCAATTTTCTTACAAGATGGACAAGTTAGGCAAAATGATTATGTCTGTCAAAGAGTCTTCGAGTAAGTCCGTAAAAGAGCCATCGAGTAAGCCCGTGGAAGAGTTATCGAGTAAGTCAGTACTGTATGCTGTTAAGCGAGTGGAGAATGGTTTGTTTCTTTACTGGAACAAAAAAGCGCAACCACTCAATAAAGCTTTTGAGCTTCTGAAGCTGAATCCCAAGATGACGCCTGCAGAGCTGTTCGGAAACCCTTCATTTCGTTGGTGGATTGATTATTCGGATTTTCTCTTCAAGCAAGTCGCGCGTAATAAGAAAACAGGAGAATTTTTGATGGAAGTGTTCAAGTTCAAGCCTTCAACTAATCTTGCTTGGCTAAGACATGCACGAGAAGAAGAAAGTACGAAAGAGCTAGCTAACAGGGTGTGGACCAATCTGTTAAGGGAACATTTACACGGTGATACCAACCCGGAAATAATCGAGACAAAGCTAATGATACCGCCAAAATCATTCCACGACGATAAAGATTTAAAAAATTACGAACTTCTGTACGATAAAAGAGAAAAGGACGCTGAGAAAAAGAAAAGTGACTACGAAGTTGAGAAAATGAATAAGAAGTTGCGAGAAGAAAAGCGAAAGAAATTAAACTCAGAAGAGACAAAGAGATTGGAGCAAGAAATGATAACAAAGAGGGAGGAAGATTAGAAAAGGCTGACACAGTAGCGGCTCATCAAGAAAGCGAAAAGAAATTACTAGGAATCGTTAATTGTGTAGGCAAAAACGCTGTTTGTATTCTTAACTCGCCCTCATAAACTTATTGAACAAAATAGTGATACACTACATGTAGCTTTTCTACACATCTTTTAAGTTAGAGGAAGACTATTAGGCTGAAAGCCTCGTAGTTCTATAGATGTAACGGGCTAAAAGTTACACGTTCGTTAAGTATCGAATACTTAACGGGCAGGTCTAAAAGGGTACGTGATGTCTTAGCCTGCCACTTGGGTGCGGCACCCACCCTCGTGAATGTGATATCCATGGATGAATTTACATTCAACGGAGATGACGCCAGTTGGGTTTGGACGTCATGGTGACGCTCCAGACAGACGTCATCAGCGAGCTTAAATATATTTTAAGCTCGCACGTAAGGATACGCTTTTAAAGAGACGCGTATCCGATCTTTATATTTGACCAATCAGTAGTTAGATTTATATTTAGTTAAATTCTATTAAATATAAGTCAGTCTTGAATTTACTACATCACACTTACTGCGCACAGAAGCCTGAAAACAGCTTCCGTGACGCGGTAGGTGCTTGTTCTAAAGTTCGTTGCGCGGACCGGTTGAAGCGGCCGGCAACAGTTTTTTTCGGCGCTTTAAGCGACCGTCCAACACCACCACCACCGCACGCGGAGGCAAGACGGTATAACCGCTTCCTTGCGCTGCTCGAAGGTGTGCCCGCGTAGTATGTGGCAACGAAGTGGCCGTCTACACTTGGTAGCGCTAGTAGTACCCGTCTCTTTGAGCGTGCGTGTGGACACGGATGTCCCTCAACGTGGATTGGGGTGATTTTCCTCACCTCTCCCAACATCATAGGAAGTTGGCAGAGCATATGGCGCAGGGACTTGGTGAACAAGCCCTGGTCAACCTCTTTCATTGTCCTCCTGAGCAACATGTTGCTTAGTTGGAGCAATTTAAAGGCGTTTGTGCTCGGACAGCGTAGAAATGCGTCCAAGGTAAACAGCCAAACCACGGCTGAATCCATCAATAAGACTCAGGATGAGCTTTTGCGTGAGCAATCTCGATACGAGGCGCTCAACAGGTCTGTTGAGACACTCTCTGCCCGGCCTAATCAACCGAGGCCCATTCGGAAGGACCCTCCAAAATTTGATGGGAATGCCCTATGGTGGAGCGGGGTTCACAAAATATCTGATGTGACCCTGACTCTCCACTGGCGCCCGGACAACCGACTATCGGAGGGGGTACTCCGTTTCCGTGTATAGCAGTTCCTTCCTCACCTTGTGTACCCGTCGGCAGGGCGGGTAGCACTCTTCTCGGTGGACTCGAGTTGATGCTGAACTTGACCGTGGTTGGGATTGGTTGGGGTTCAATCACGCGGGAATCTTCTTGCGATCGAGGGTTACTTGGGGGGGCTCTATACGAGTCGCCCTGATCTCTCTTGAGATCGCCTTGTCCAAAAATGTAGATACTTGATCCACTTGATACACTTGACTTTCTGACCACTTGAGCCGTCTCGCGATCTTGTGCCTTGTCCTTTACGTGATACTGCGTCCAATCGCAGGCGAAGTTTGTTTGTGAGAGGTCTTGTAATCCCTGGTCAAACAATCCAGGGATATTACTTGTAGGTACTGGTGGCAGAAGCTCTTGATCGTCGGGGGGCCAAAAATTTTCCCACCCGGAAGTGCGTAGTTCGAAGTAAAAGAAACTCTGTTTAATGTTAACCAATCAGATACCCAAAACCTATGATATTGCCTATTGGTAGCCCAGGATCTACTGCCGCGTGTCGCCTTATTGGAAATAAATCAGACTTGCTATGTGGTCCACTTCAAATACTGTGTCGATCCAGGTTTGTCGATCCTGTTTTGTCGATCCAGTTTTGTCGATCCAGTTTTGTCGATCCAGTTTTGCCGATCCTGTTTTGTCGATCCAGTTTTGTCGATCTAGTTTTGTCGGTCCAGTTTTGTCGATCTAGTTTTATCGATCCGGTTTCTGGATCGAGGTTGCGTATCAATTTTTAACTGGTTACGCTTTGCGATCTTTTTTCTGGTCCGAGGTTTTGATCCGATCCTCCTGGATCGCCACTGTGGTGTGTGTTCCACACCCAATACCCTTTCGATCCATATTCTTTCTGTGTTCTTCACACCGATACTCCCTCTTCCAACCATCTCGCATGCCTTCTTGACCAATCGGAGCGCAGGGTTGTGAATCGACGACATTTCTTTGATCGATCCCTTTCAAATTATTCGATCGCTTTACCACAGCCCCACATACGGTTATCCACTGGCTTTTAGCCGTAAAGCATGTGGTTTGATGCAGCTCATTGAAGATGACACCAGAATGGTGTCGTATGCCATGTCCAACTTGCGTGGAAAAACGTCAGAGTGGGTGCCGTGTGACATTGGGTCCACCAGTCACCTGGGTCCACCGGTCACCTAGGTCCACCGATCTTGTGGATCCACCGGTCTCCTGGGTTCACCGGTCTCCTGGGTCCACCGACAACCTGGGTCCACCGGTCGCTTGGGTCACCTGGGCCACTTGGTTACTTGTGGTCATCCGGTCACCTGTGTCAACTGGTCCTTTGGGTTCATCCGGTCACCTGGGGTCAGCCTTGGGTCCTCCTGGTTCTACTGGGGTGCCGGGTCAACCTTGGGTCATCCTGATCCACCTTGGGTGCCGGGACCACCTTGGGGCCTGGTCCATTTGGAGTGCCTGGACCACCTTGGATTATGGTCCACCTTGAGTCCTGGTCCACCTTGGGAACGTGGACTGCCCTCGAGGCACTGAAACGTCGGGCTCTTGGACTTGTGCCGGCTCTGCACTATAGAAAAACCTGGCACTTCTCCAAGTGACTCCAGGACCCTGAACCTTCGGTACACCTGTCCCGGCGACTGAAATCCCTGTCCCCGGCGACTGGAAATCCTGTCCCCGGCGACTGGAAATCCTGTCCCCGGTAACTGGCGCCCTTGTCCCTGGTGACTGGAAACTTTGTCCCCGGTAACTGGAAACCTTGTCCCCGGTAACTGGCACCCTCATCCCTGGTAACTGAAATCATGTCCTCGGCGACTGTAAACCATGTCCCCGGTAACTGTAAACCTTGCCCCGGTAAATATAAACCTTGTCCCCGGTAACTGGCACCCTCATCCCTGGTGACTGAAAACCCTGTCCCCGGTAACCGGTACCCCTGTCCCTGGCGACTGAAACCCCTGTCCCCGGTAACTGGAAGCCCTGTCCCCGATAAGTGGTACCCCTGTCCCTGGTGACCCTGGGCTGAACCTTGAGACCTTGCGAGACGCAATCATAGTTATTCCCTCGAGGGAGTGACCTAGATTTCTTTGCCCTTTACTACGATGTCTTCAGGGGCCCCGATTCGTTTGGCACTTCTCCACACTAGAGTTAATCTATTGGTTTATATCGTATGGCTTATTTGAGTAGCAATGTTCATCGACTGCGGTTGCTTACGATCTCCAGAAGAGGAGCAGAGGCCAGAAATTGGAGCGCGAGGATTGACAAATTACTGGATGATGTGTACGTATAGCTGCTAAGGATGGAGCTAGTGGCGGCTTACTTGCTGGTGTAATGATTATACTGACCATGATGCAGTACGGAAGAAGGAGGAGAGCTGTCGAGCTGGCTTGATGCAGGTACTGCTGGCGGAGCTGGCAGTAGCAAGCTAGCTTCCTATCAACTATGGATGCTGAACCGCGGTGATTTTCTAAGAAGCATCTTTCACCGACCCACATACTTCATACTTTGTTATAACTTGTCAGCACTTCGCTTCTACGGTCTACTTTGTCAATTTGTCCATGTGCCTAGTTATAAATTTCACACATTGGTTTCTAGTGGTACGTCACTAGTCTAATCGAAATTGCCGTCCTGAAAATGAAACAAACTGCACCATTCCAGCACTAATCAAGCATAGTATCAGTTTGCGAGTCGTGAAGAGATGTCAAGTGCCGTAATGCGGTTTTTTCAATACTTGTCAGCGCAAACATCTTGAGTTTACCTCTGACTCGCTGACCGGGTACATCAATAGTAAAAGGAGACGTTCCGTGATGCGTCATACCAATGCGATAACAGAAGTGTTCATATTATGTGCCAGCCGACATTCACTACGATTAAGCCCTGTCAAAGGTTGCGCAGACCTGCTGCCTCGAGAACTTTTCAAAAAATAGAGCTCAATGCAGTCTAGTTTCTTGTAACTTCACGAAGATATCTAAGAAAAGACTACACCGTTCTCAGATTGTAGAAAGACTTCACAAATTATACAATTTTTCGGCCAACTATCGAACGACTTCATCTCTTGGCCAGCTAAGAAAGTAAAAGTCTCACATTTACCTTTTAACGCTCCGTACTCCCCATGGTTTTAACTGAGATTCCGTTCGGTGTGCCTGTCATTCTTCAGTCTATTCGTTTCAACCGAAATCTGCAGAATCCTCTCGGGTCCAAGAAAGCTCGTTTTCTAACAGACAATCGCGACATTTACGAGCAGCTCATCTTGCATCGAGTTCGCGACGACAAGATTGCTATCCAGTCTGGTCACAACGGCCGCTTCCTGCAAGTTTGCGTATCTGGGGAATGCGTGTTTGATCCCACTGAGGTTGGCGCGTGGGAGCTCTTTACTATGGAGACAGACTCGAGTTGCGCTCTCTACTTCGTATCGTGCCACACTGGAAATGTCCTCCAGTGTGACTACAATAATGTGGCGAAGTGTGCGAATCAAAACCGCCAAGATGGGGAGGCCTGGCGGATCGTGGAGCCCCGCTTCATTGCTACCTGTCACTGTGCCCAAAAACAATGTGATACTATTCACCATACGCAGCGTGCTTAGGCTTAGCGACGGTCCTTGCTGACAAAGACCGCCAGCACGTCGTCTCGGAGCTTCCGAAGATGTGGCAAAATACCTAAAAATCGAGCAGATTGTGATGAGTATCTTTGATGGTCCAGATTCCACTACTGCAAGCTCCACATTGGCTGTTCCGGCCGATAAGGAGGCGTAGTTATCAAACTAATCTCTTCATCTACTCTTTTTCTGTGTCACAATACCCATCGCGACACTGAGACTTGTTCGGTAAGCTCTGCACTCTTTTTATGCTCGCTGTGTGGAAATCATTGTCGCGTAAACGATGAAGCGAGAACAAGCCGGTTGACCTCGTAGTCTGCAGCAAGTTCATTTGCCTTTAGTTAAATAGTGATTGACAAATCCTGCCACGGTTGGGTACTCTGCCAACATAGGTATTTCTAGCTTAACGTCTCCATTAGCATCGGCAAGTGCGTCATTCTTGATGACGGTATATCTCGCCTTTAATTGTTCAGCATCACCTTTGCTTTGAATATCTCGTTCCTTGGTGTCTACTTACCAAACAAACAAAAACTACGATAGCGCTGTCGTGACGTCAGCTACTGCAAAGTATTTCCATCGTCCTCGCTGTAGCAACACCAAGAAGATGGGATTGGTAAGGCAACATCAAAAGCTTTAATCTTAAAATTATTTCACACACTTCTTCCTAGATCAAAAGCAACTCAGCGACTTGGATCGATGATTGAGGCTTTCAAAGAAACGACTTGAGAGCTTGTGCACTCAACTCATCCAGTTCTGCAGCAACCTGCGATAGGCTTTATTACTCTTTCGAGCCAATTTAAGCTGAACTACTTGAGGCTCTTGATTGTAAACCTCACTCAGCTTATGCAATGGAGATCATTCCTATAAGCGCACGTTGTTAAATTACCAGCTGGGTCTCAATTTTAGAATGAAGCAAGTTGCGTACACATGCTGCATTATTTATAATTGTGGCTTGGAAATGGGCGTTTGTTGATCCAGGGATTATGAATCAAAATTTTGTGGACGTCCGTAACGACTGCAGAATCACTGGTACACTACAAACTGAGCATAAAGTGGCAATGACTCGTCTACGACTCTTGACAGTATGTCTCGTATTGAGTCAGCGAGTTCATTTACGCTGACAAGTACTGAAAACACCCGCTTTACGGCACTTTGACAGCTCTCACCAGGCGTCACAATTCGACCTGATGCTAGGTGCATCTTACTTCTTTTTAAAACGACACTTATGTATCGACAAGAAAAGGTGTCATTGTAAAAGAGCCGCAGCCAGTGATGCTGTGTAATTAAACGAATGTTGACGTACGTTGACTGCGTATAAAGCAAAAAAACAAAACTTTTACTAATGCCTGAAAATGCAAAGAAACGAATATCAATGAGCTGTCTGCATTCAATTTTCCACTACTGTATATATTAGTTCACTTGGCTGTGTTTTAATCAGTCTGTTTGGCTGTGTCGAATAATGCCCAAACTACGGGTGGTTGCAACTGTTTCGATGTCAAAATGTACGCTTTACAGTACATCCATGTGCTAAATACCTAAGTTTACGATTTCATGGAGTCTTACGCACAGCTTTGGCAATGACAGGCGGTAAATGATGAAAATTGCGCCGCCACAAGATGCGAAAATAAAAAATACTAGGGCGTATACTATACGTATGGCATGATAGAAACAATACTTACTAAGCTAAGAAATTAATCATTTGCAAATGTTTGCTGAAGCTGGCTCAAAGATGTAGTCCTGTCTCGGGGCCGGACTGGCTGGCACCCAGAACATCAGGAAAAAACACCCGTCCGTGGTACGATAGCCAAGACTGGCCAGGGATGCGTAGGTCCTCGCCTAATTATCGTGTATATGACATCGAGAGAACAAGATCGATATCCGACGCGATGCCCGTTTCGATGAATCCATTTATAGAATAACTCCGCTCGACAACTCGAAATACCAGAAGAACGACATTGTTACCTAACTCGACGACATTAATGTTTAACGCAGATATTGTCTTTCTGACCTTAGTAGACTGGCAAATGTACTGTTTGTTTCTCTATGCCCCCCTAATATCACGTGTGAAAGCGCCATACCCTACTCCGATGTCACCAATTTCAAAGACAATGACTGAGTTCGACGCTCGACCACCGACGATCAACCACCGACGCACTGACGAACGAATGGTGACATTTGAGTGCCAATATGGTCCAAGTTTGTGACTTTAGCGAGCCAGCCAATGTTAAGGAAGCTGTGAGCGGCTCCGCCCAAGTACACAGTGGCACAATGAACTTCTAGTCGCATTATTTAAAGGTTGCCATCAAACTCTTTCGTCAGATTCTGGGAAGATTTCAGCTTTTTGCGCTCAAAAAGTATCTCAAGAAATTTCAGGGAAAAGCAGACTAGAGAGCTTGTTGCACTCAGCGATCGAGAGACCAAGTCAACGAGAACCTACGAGCGGCTAGTCAGGCTCGGGTGCAAGCGCATAATGAAGGGATAGGCAGCCACGAAATTCAGCCAGTGTCTCAGGTGTGGCTATACTTAGAACGGGTGAGAGAAGGGTATGCCAAGAAATTGGCCCACCTCTGGCACGGACCGCTATGAGTTCGGGAACTAGTCGGAGATTATGCAGTACGCTTGGAATTACGAGGCACAGAATATAGACTATTCCCAATCGTGCACATCTCCAAGCTCAAGCCCGTCAGAGAGTTCCCCGATCGACCTAGCAGCAAGCTGAAAGTGGATAGAGCAGATCGAGTTGACTTCGACGAATGTCTGTTACTAGAAGACATCTGGGTGCGGGAATTGGAGGAAGGCGAGTATGAGGTCGAAGAAATTTTAGAGTCGTACAGGTAATAAAACTCGGTATGGACGGCAACAACGAAAATTCCTCGTGCAATGGAAAAGCCACCCTGGCCTTTCGTGGGTAGACGAAAAGGATCTAAATTGCGGAGCCCTACTCCAAGATTTCGAGCGTAAGAAGACAAGCCATAGTCGCTTCGAAGTAATGCAAAGCCATGAGAACTAGCGGAGAGTACCAAGATCCCTGGAAGGCAGACCATGGTATCCCATTGGGAGATTTGAGTCCCTTATTGGTAGACCTGTTATCGTATTGGTAGACCTGATTCCTCAGTGATAGGCTCGGTCCCTCGTTGGTAGACCGGGTCCCTCAGTGGCAGGCTCGGTCCCTCATTGGTACACATGAGTCTCCTATGGAAGGACCTCGACCTTTCACGAGTCCGAGGTGTAGAATAATGAAGAACGAAGAAGGAAGACTGAAAAGATCACCTGGAAACAGAGGGAAGTATGGCAAAGGATATGGAAGATGGACAGACGCACAAAAAATAGGGTCGAAGAAAACGAGTGTTCGTGTTCAAAGGGAGACCCAAGAGGGCGGACCAAACTTACCCTTGAGGCGCGGGACTAAAGCTCCAGGATGAGGCACGGAAGACAACCGATATTGGGTAATCCACGGCCACGCGAAATCCGACACCTGAAGGGCCTCGATCAGGTCGAATGGATCTGACCCTCCTCACGACCAGGGTACCAGTAAACTACACGGCGGGTTCGAGGAAGATGTCGGAAGAAGGGGTCCAGGAAAATGTCGAGATCGCATCGGCCCTTACTCATTTCAACGAAGATAAAGTCGGTCACCTCCCGCTACGCTCGAGTCGCCCGACTCCGACGCTTCTTCCGCGCGTTATAATATGACGCAAGGAAGGAGTTCGCTCGCGCTTGGTACTTGGATATCCACAGGCAGTGGGTCGCCTCCCAGAGCGCTTGGCTATGCTCTTCGTCAAACCGTGTGTAGACCGCCGCTAACTGAGCGAATCAGTCGACAGGTCGGAAGGAAACGGGCGGAATCGGAACACGGTCTTCTACCCAAGGTTCAGCAGCCAGCAGTTTCTGGATCATCGGGGAGTTCACCAGTGACTTCCTCCACTTGGGAGGGCGGTCGAGGTTTCCGTCCGGTGGACCGAACCACCCCAAGGTAGATCCAACTGATCGACCAAATCTTTTGGAGACATTGTCACAATGCACCGAACTTGACAAGGTCGACCGGCCAAGGCGCCACCTCCGCGGCAGAGAAGGTCTTCAACTGCATGTACCCAGGGATGATGGCATCCTTGGGGAGCTAGCAAGAGTCGGTCGGAAGGGGTGAATTGTTGTCCGCAACCGTGGGCGCGTCCTTTTCCTTCCCCGTGGACGACTCAGTCTCCGAGTCAGAAGTCTCGAACATCGCTCGTTTCAGCGAGAGACCGGAAGCCGAGGTGAGGTAGTAGACGTCGACGGAAGACTTGAAGAGCTTGTACTAGTGGGGCGTCGACCAGAGGAGCGAGACTTGGCCAGGGCCGCCCGAAGCGTCTCGCTGTCGTCGCTGAGGTCGTCTTCCGAAGACTCCAGCATGACAGGAGAGCGGCTGCCAGAGACTCCCGACAGCGGCATCGCGGATGTGTCGGATCTCAGAGACTTGGTAAATTTGGCAGGCACGCGGGACGACTTCCGCCTGGACCGTTAACCGAGAGATTTCGCCGGCTTCGAAGGTGGACATACGGCCGAGGGCGAGACCGCCGAAGAAGGAGTCGGTCCCGGAGGAGGCCCATCGGAGAAGTCGGCGTGGTCGAGCTCTGCTGGAAGAAGAGACTAACGGCTTCGACTGTTGCCGATCTTCCATCGTAGGAGGTCCGCCAGTGCCGTCTCGCGCTGAAGTGCTTCGCGGAGTTGAACTACCAGCCGGAAGTTGTCGCGTAGCGCCTCTTCCAGGTGCTCGCACGGGATGGACAATAAGGTGGTAGAAGGGGGGACGACACTTAGCCGACCCTCGCAGTCCTCTATGCGGCGAGATTGCGCGTCCACGTTAACATGCAGCTCTTGTAGAGCTACGCGCACGTCGACTGGCGCGAAAGATGGATTGTCGGCCATGGAGACCGAAGTGGCGGAAGTATCGGCCGACTTGGAAGGAGGAAAAGCGGCGAAGACAGGAGGGCTATCAACGGCGACAGTTTCAGCGGAACTCAAAGGTGAGGAAACTGGCCCGGGAAGGTCGAACAAGACTCTTCTTCGGATGGAGGTCAATCAAAGGCGCGGGGACGATCGAGGTCGGCTATTCAGACGGTGGGTCAGCAGACGGTGGGTCAGAACCAGGGGAATACATGGCTGAAACGACACAAGTTA